ACAACCAGACGTAGGCGCATCCAATCCTCTCCCCTATAGCCAAGGCGATCTGTACCGATCTGAAGGAGGACGAGCTCTAACCAACCGACCAACCGACCAACCGACCGACCGAACGAAACGACGTTAATAAGAAATTAATGTCTTGATCATTTTCGATCGTTATGTAAATCAATCAGGCAAATTATAGCTCAGGGGCTTGCCACAATAATTAGACCCTATTCGTAATAATGCGCCACAAGCTGGCGGTGAGCGAGCGAGAGGGTCGTTACCCGGATAGAGATAGCGATAGAGCGATCCTCTTGGCGTGCAGACGCTGACGCGCCCCTTTGCAAAAATGAAAAAAAAAAAAAACAAAACGAAAGCGCAACAAAAAAAAAACCAAAAGCGAAAAAGAAGCAAGAACGAGGTAAAAAATGTGGCATGCAACGCCTTGATGTCTTCTTCGACTCGGGAGACTAAAGACTGAAGACGGAAGACCCAAAGACTGAAGACTGAAGACTGAAGACCGCAGATCCAAGATCCAGGGACGTCTTCATTAAAACAACAAAACATTTATGCGCCGCTTTGGCATGTCGATCGTAGCCGGGAGATCGTTTGAGAGCAGTTCGTCATGGCAGCGGACTTTGCCAGAGGGGGCCAGAAGGGGTGGGTAAAGAGAGAGGGGAGGGAGGAAGGGTTATGAGGGGTTGGCGGGGGGCAACTGGCAACATCGTAACAAGATGCGTAAAAATTATTGATTTTCTTTGACTTGATTGTTGTTGGCTATCAAAATTTAATCATAACATGCAGCACAACCAGCAAACAGCAGAGGGGGCAAGAGTACACTTAAAGAAATACTAGAGATTTGTTTTAAGGAAAATTAATTAATATAACTACTAAGGAATAGCCCTTAAAAACTATTACTATCCAAGCTCAATGGTTGTATCAAAAAAAAAGATTTTGCAAGACTTGAAAGTCTCTCAGGGACTCACTTTTGAGGTTTCACTTTTAGCCTGAAATCTTAAATTACTTACAAGATTTCTTCGAGTGTAGAAGGATGGCCAAGAGCTGGGTATGAGCTGGGGCAACAGGTACTGCGAGATGGAGATGGCTAGCATGTTGCCAAGTTAACCACTCGGCCACTTCCACTTGAATTTTCAATTTTGCATCGCGCAGCAGCAGGGCAAAGTAATTTGCCGCGTTGACGTGCCTGGCCTGGCAGATGAGCAATGACCCGGCCCCAACCAGATCGGAGGAGAGACCAGAACCCAGACCCCAACAGCTATACCTATGTATATAGCTGAACCAGACCAGTATCAGAAAGCAACCCGGATAGCCTTTTGCTGTCGATTTCACTCGCTCGTCGTGTCGATCAATTCGTTTTAATGCAAACAACTCGTATAAATTCATGTGGCAAGTGGGCAGCAGCAGCGGCAGTACTTCACCTTGCCCCTTACTCTTTGGTTGATCCCTTCCTGGAAGCAGGCAACCAAACACCAGGGCACTGGGCACTGGGCATCAGGCAAAGTGCAAAGAAATTCATTAAATTAAGTGCCACACATTTGTGGCCCACTGTGCGGTGCCTTTGGAGAGCGGAGCTGAACGCTCCTCCGATTGCGGTTATTATTGCTCGCCCATAAAGCGGCCGACGGAAATGAGACTGTGGACAAGGACCACAAGCTGGTCAGAGGATAACCAAAAGGGTGGGAGGGGAGGGCTTTCAAAACTAAGAACTGAGAACTGAGCGGTTGAGTGACGGCGTCAGTAGTGTCGGGAGCCTAGACAAATTACTGGGCACCTCTCGCAAATGGCGATTGTCCGGGTGTCTACTGTAATGCGGTTGGCGGAGTCGCTGGCTAATGATGATGGACTCAAGCGATCGTCTCTCTAGGGGTGGCAAAAGGCGGCTCTTCTCTCAGGTATTTAACCCATTTAATGTCTAACTCTGGCTGAAGGATAATCTCGGTTTTATCATCTCTTTTTCTTAGAAGATAAGTTAAGATTAGATAGTAGATGAGTGATATCAGCCAACAGCTTCCCACGTTTAGAAGGTGGTGAAGAAACCATTTAACACTCCTCCAAGTTAGTCTTGGGAAAACTCGGACAATCCATCAATGTAGCCGGGAACTAAACGCCTTTGACAGGCAATGAAAAGTGTCGGCGGCGGGCAAAAAGGGGTTAATTTTCGAGTTTAGAGTGTGAAAAGAAGAGGCGTTCGAAGGGAAATCCTTGTGTCATGGGCTCGTGTCTGACTTTACTATTTTTTATGGCTGATCATCCTGGGGGTTGACTCTCCTCAACCGACAACAACAACGAGGGTCACACAATTAGCAGCCCTAATAGTTTTTTTTTACCACTTTTTCGTAACAGTTTTTTAAATTTAGCTATTTTTTAGGGCGTTTTATTTATGTATTTTTCTGGGGTAGAGTTTGTTCTTTTTTTTTTTTCGTGTGCAAAGCAAAAAAGCAAATCAAATCATGTGACAAGCTTCTAATGAACCTCAGAAAGCACCCCAGAAATGACATTTTTTATGATGATTTTCTGCTCCCAGCCAGTGCCAGTGCCAGTGTCGGCGTTTCCCGAACTTTTGTGTGGCCTATAAATGCTAATGAGCCCTCACATTTTTTTCCTTCCGGCTTCCGCTTGTCGCCTCTCTCGCCTTTCGCCAGTTTCAATCTAATTTTTTTTATAGATTTTTACGGGCATTTTTTGGGTAATTTTTTGTGGGTCGTTTTCGGAGGAGGTGGAAAGTCAGTAGCTAACGTAGGTAACGTTATGACTTCGTATAGCAGCAATCCCTGTCCTTGTGCTCATCATCATCATCGTCCCGAGGGCCTCCTTCCTTCATCTGCGTGTGCATTTTGTTCCACTTGAGTTTGTTTGTTTAACGACCTTTGAAATTAGGCAAAACTAAGGGGCAAAGGCTGAGGCTGAGGCTGAGGCGCGCTCTCTCTGGGGTTGCCACTGAGATTGTAGGCCTTTTGGGTTTGGTTTTTCAGTTTTCCAGTTTTCAGTTTCCCATTTTGGGTTCTCGACTGGACAGCAGAAAGGAATTTATTCTGTTTATATGCTAATTCCTGCGATCGGCCTTTCATTGAATCAGATTCAGCCAGCAGATTCGCCATTTGCTGGCCTAATTAAAATTGGGTTAATGTTTTTAATTAGCCCAGCCAAGAGGAGGGGTGAGCCATGGCCAGGGGGGTTGAAACTTGAATTCATTTACAAGAAATCGATTAAATAAGTTTTTAATTAGACAATTGGGAGTTTACGTTTTCCACAATTGAATTTCACTTCCTCATAAAGTAATAAGTTTTTCTTTCTTTCTCCTAATACATCCGCATTGCTGCCCCATTGACTGCCCCATCAATCCTTGGGGGTCTCAATCAGCTTCAGTTTCAGTTTCAGCTTCAGCTTCAGCCTCCACTAAATGGCCGGCAAATGTTTTAACCATTAACTGCCACGCCCTCGCATATCGATTGCGGGACTCGACATATGAGACTGCTAACATGGCTGGACGCCCCCTTTCCCAATCCCCTTCCCATTCGGTTAATCCAAATCCCTGAACTCAGACCTCGAAGCGGCAAAACAAAAGCCAAAGACCTGTTCCAGTTGCCAGTTGAATCTTCGTGGCAAATTAGGTGGACAAACCCCCGAAATGCTGCTGCGGCATACAAAACTATGCCAGATACCCAGTATCCATAAAGAAACCACATCTCATCCTCGTCCTTGCCCTCGTCCTGCTCCTGGCTCCCGGGGAGTCGGAAAGTCAACAAAAACCATAATTCAGATAATTTTATTTATAACACCCTTGAGGAATTATATTTTATTTACTCTTTCAAGTGTGATGATGAGGTTGAGAGCGCAGAAGTGGCAGGGAGCGGGCGGGGTAAGGGGCATTGTTGGATGGACCGATACCGATATGGGCAGAGTCCTTGTCAGGGACCTGCCCCTTTTGTTCGGTGTTTGGTATGTTTTGGTGTTTGCCTGTTTGGGTGTTTGCCTGTTTGACTGTTTGCCGAACTCTGAACTGAAATGTCTGGGTCGTTCCGAAACAGGGGTTGAACTCGTCCCTCTCTTCTCCTCTCCTGCAACTCCTTCGATTTCCTAGCAGATGTGTTTCTAAATTGTCAAAATCTGTGTGCATTTCAGCATATGAAACTCACGTCGTAGACCGCTCTATGATTATTTTTATTATATTTTTTTTTTGTATTCCATATAAGATTCCAAAGCGATGACTTGGGTTGGTGGTTCCTGTGGTTAGCCAATGGGCTCCACAAGTCAGTAGTCCAAGCTTCCCCTTGCTTGGTAATTGCCCAGTCAGCAGGAGCAGCAGCCAAAGCCAAAGCACTGGCAATGGCAAATTTTTGCAATTAAATTTCACTTAAAACTGCAACCGAACAGAGGAAAGCCAAAGGATTCCAGGGGGGTTCCAGGGTTGGATGAAGAGGGTCCGTAGGAGTAATTTACTTCCGCCATTGGGGGGCTTTAAACATATCCGAGCAACACCCACCACTTCCTAATTGTGGAAACCAATTTGCGCCGCTATAAATTAGAAAGACAAACGACGCTCCTCCTCGAAATCCTGGTGAATTTGTCAGTCGGTCGGTCGGTAGGTCGGTCGGCTGGTTGCTAATGGGGGCGTGGCCACTTCCTGTTCCTGTTTCGCTTTGCAATTTCTACTACTGCTCCTGCTTGCGGTTCCTAGTCGCACTCGCATATCTTGGAAATTTGCATAAATAGACTTTAATTGTTTGCAATTATAAAACGAGACTGGCACCGCCTCCCCGCCGCCTTTCGGCATAACACACGGCCACATGGATACGTGGACTCATGACTGGGACTCCCCCGTTTAGTGGCTCCGTATCCAGCAGATACTATTCCGGTTAATCGTGCCCGCTATCACGGGCTGGCTTCCCATCCGAAAGGCTAAATGTAACAGAGATCTTAGTTAGTTGGGGGTTTTTCTCGAGTTTCTAACAGCTAACTAAACGAATTTTACCCCTTTTTCCTTTCCTATATAGACTGCAATCCTGCGGAAACTGCCATGGAGGAGTCAACCTTTATGCGTTCCATCCATCAGAGTCCACAATGCGATGAAGAGCTTAAGACCAATCTGGAAGCAGATGAGGAGACGGATTCCTCGAAGCGGAGACGCTGCCGGACCAACTTCAACTCCTGGCAACTAGAGGAACTGGAGAGAGCCTTCATGGGGAGCCACTATCCTGATATCTTCATGCGAGAGGCCTTGGCCATGAGACTTGATCTGAAAGAGGGCCGCATAGCGGTGAGTTTGCTTTTCCACTCCAGCTCCTTCTCATTTCACATCCCGAATTGCGGGTTTTCTTAGAAACCTTGACTAGCTTTCAAGTTGACTTACCCTGTGGCCTATCAGTAGACCCTATCCTAACCCTATCCTAACCCTATCCTAACCCTATCCTAACCCTAGCCAAACCCCATCCGTTTCGATAACATTTGCGTGAGCATTGTAAAACAATTTGGTGGCAACTGGGACTCAATTACTCAATAAAACCAATTACCTGACTATTTTTATCCATTATAATTCATTTTATTTCATTTGCCATTGCGTTTCGTGTCGCTCGTTGTTGTAATGATTTCAATTGCATTCCCATAGCGTAGCTTAACCCTTTGTCGCCCCCAGCTCTCAGCCCTGAGCCCCCTTTTCCGTTGCTGGCTGACTTTGCATGTCAGTGAGTGTGATTATCGTGGCTCTTTGTCTATCTGGCTATGGCCCTCTCTTTCGGGGACATTTGGCTACGCTTTTCGTCTGAAATTGTTTCTTGACATGACATATCAATTTGTCAATGCGAACGACAAGACAGCGACAGTCTGTCCATTCCCTCTTCCCTCCAGTCAGTCAGCTTTTGGAAGGCATATATATGTATATATCTCTCTCTATATATATATTCTCGTATACTATGGGGCAGGGGCAGGGGCAGGGGCTCTTGTTAAGGCCCAGAACAACGAAGCATTGCATGCCGCTGTTCGAAAACAATTTGTTGCACACTAAAAAAAGCACAATGCATGCAAATGACTTCAAATTGTCACACACACACACACACACACACCGAGCGATAGACTAACACACACTGGTTGCCGCCCATTGGAAAATGCCTCCTCGACTCCACCCCTCGATACGGCTGGGTTCTCCGGCAAACTGCACGTCAATTAGCGACGCCATCTTGTTTATGACTCCAACTAACCAAAGCAACCATCCCCATCTCCAACCTCATCATCATCATTGTAATCATAATCATCATCATCATCATAATCATCTTCGCCCTGTGGTCACGATCTCCAACGCGTTGATAATGATGACCCACCGCCAGAACGCATGACACATTGCCCTTGGCCAGGCTAATTGTCCGCATCTGAATTGGTGGCTTATTGAAATGAAGCAGAGGGAATTACCTCTGTCCAGTAATGGATATGTCTAGGTGGTATATACATACAGCTAATCCCATCTGATGCATCCCCCAGGTCTGGTTCCAGAATCGCCGTGCCAAGTGGCGCAAGAAGGATCACACCAAGAAGGGTCCTGGCCGGCCGGCTCACAATGCCCAGCCACAGAGCTGCAGTGGCGCACCCATTCCCTTGACCGAACTCAGGGCCAGAGAAAGGTGAGTACAATAGATCATTCCAACTTGATCCTTGATCCTTGATCCTTAATCCATATATCATATCATATATTAGAGCCCAGCGCAGCAAGCGGATGAAGAAGGCCATCGATCGGCAGGCGAGGAAGCTGCGTCTCAAGGGAATCGAAGTGGATTACGCTAGACTGAAAGCGGATTACCTGGCTGCCCACAAGGACAATTGGTTAGAGGCCGAGGACCATGAACTAGACGATATGGAATGCTATGGCGACGATGATCTAACCATTGATGTGGTGGGCGAGGAGGGCCAAGAGGATGTGATGGGCGACAGTCAGGATAACTCCTTTTGCTCTTCGAGGACCTATCCCAAAAGCACTAGCAGCGAACTAGATCTCGATGACATGGCGGTGCCCATTAAACTGGAGTCATCGGCTCCTCCGCCACCGCCATCCTCCCAGAACAAAACCCTCTACAGTTCCTCCTTCAGCATTGAGTCCCTTTTGGGCTCATAACGAATATCGCATATCGAATGTTAACTAGAGTTAAGATTCCGGTGGCTAGCTAAGATCTAAGTGCGAATATAACCTCTAAACCTGAAACCTGAAACCTTTAACCTCGTTCTCTGCTTTGGGTATTCACCTGGGGGTCAAGAGTGTGCCAGTACGGTTAGGAGAGGAATACGCAGCATGCCAAAATAAGACTGCATTTTAATTTCCAGCCAAAGAGCCCCAAGGCTCTGGGAGGGGGTTAAGACATACGGAAATTCAGGCAGAAGAAGGCAGCTTCAAGAGGCGGAGGCAGTGCATCCATCAAGTTCACACGCAGCTTGCACGGTGGAGTCTGTTGGGTAAACTCGGGATAAAAAGAAGTCAGTGGTTAACGAGTGGTAAAATCGGTAGACTAGATAAACTTTCCTCTTTACATCACTTTCTTATCTTATCGATATCAAATTGATTGTTTCCAATTACTTATCGATAAGTTAGCATTCCTTTCTATTCACTGCATGCCACCAAAAAGCATCCATGGTGCAGGTGGCCTCATCAGCATCAGTCGGAATCCAAGAGTCGCAATTTCGACCTCAAGGCAATTTCAAAAATGCAACTCGCGACCGTTGTGCAGCAGAGACATGGAAAGAGATGGCCATATGCAGAACGAAAGAGATGGACGACTCACAAATGTAATACACACATCAGGCAAATAAATTAGAAGGCAACTCCTTCGGCAGAAGCGTCAGCCAGGCCGCGCCCCTCCGTTCGCACTCAAAAGGGGTTCGCCAGAGTCAGAGACAGAGCCAGTCAGAGAGTCCTACAAAATGGAGCCCCAGTCCGAGTCCGAACCCGAATCCCAGGTGAGGCGAATCCAGGGGATGCAGAGTGGCGAGTAATGCAGACAATCCGTCATGCAGGTGTGAATGATTCATTAATTTCTCGCCTTCATACGAATTTTCATTTCAGTTAACATGCAAGCGGAACCGAAACGAGCCTCAAAGAGTTACGCAGACAGTGAGAAAAACTGAGGTTATCATTTAAAATGATTAAATAAACTTTCTCCCAAGCAAATTCCTTAAATAAAGAAGTTTTCCTCTAGAAGAAGTTGCCCTGCCTTTTGCATCTGATTTAAAAAGTCAAAATATTAGCAACTTCCCAGTTTTCTTACGGTGTAACAGAGATCGGTAAAGAGGGTAAGACGGGAGAAGAACAGCTCTCAAGATGGAGATGGGGCTGGACTTTAACGGCGACGTATGCCTGGCAGCTTTCTTGAAGATCCGCTCGACTCCAGCCGCATCCACATAGCCCACTGCTGATCCTCCGAGCTTAACGTCTTCATTACGCACGGCCACGGCCCACGTTTCCTGCCGCCTGATGCCTTCCTCTCTTTCGAATCCACAGAAACAGAGACACAAAAAGCTGAGACTGAGACTGAGACTGGTAGACTCTTTGCCTCTGTTGCCAATTTCGTTTTGCATTTTCAATTTCGTGGCATTTCCTTTTCGGGATCTGGTCATTTGGGCATCTGAGAGATCTGCAAGATCTGGGCACCTGGGGATCCGTAGTGATTCGCAGCTAAGCCGAAACACCAGCGGGTGGCCCGAGGTCGCAGCTGGTGGGGATTGTGGACTGTGGATCGGCGAACGTTAATTAGCTGATGAGCCCAAAGATCAAATGCCAATTAACCAATCGAAGGGCGCTCTAATTGAATTAGGGTTAAAAGGTAAAGGCTGCGACATCTCAAGGGTTAAGCTAATAATTACTGGTTAATATTTGCATAAATATTGAAATTTATTTTACAGAAAATAGTTAAACGGAAGCTGTGATTAAAATATTTGAAAATGAAATCGAAATTTTCTTTTTAAAAATAGAAAACCACAAACAGCTTTTAATCAAATTAGTTTTAACCCATGAATAGCCAATTTTATTCAACAAAAGCAACTCATTGTTAGCAAAACCTAACTGGCTTTGTTAGACAATCACCTCTGGTCAGGCAATTCAATTGCTCAGTCAATTTGTTTAATTTGAAAATTAGATTTCTCTTTTGGAAAAACAACTTCATTCAGATTGATTACAGCATTGCTTGGTAACTTTGCATAAACTATATTTATCAGCTGTTTAATATAATGTTTTATTTAGCATAAATAGCCATTTATAGTCTCTAATTTGGTGTAGTTAACAATTTATGGTTTTATTGCAATTTAAATTCCTTAAAACTCAGCCCTGACCTACGCAGAATCTTCCTGGATATAAGTTTTACAGGGATTTCACACGAATTGCCAGTTGGAGGTCGTAAAAAGCCTTGAATGATCTTTGCCTGCTGTTTGCCGTTTGGATGGATCTTAATACTATATAACAACAATTCATATTTTTTATTACACCTACTTTGGGGCCAACAAAATGCGACGTCGAGCTGAGCCAAAGCGGAACGGGCAACGAAATGAAGGCGTTAACCAACTTTAATACATTTATTTGGGCCACAAAGCCACATTGCTGGCCAGGATTGAGGTATGGGAGTATTGGAGACTCCAAACATAAAACTGAGAAACTGAGAAACTGAAAAACTGAGCAGCTCTGGAAGTCGAGCGCAGGCGCAGGCGCAGCAGACGCTGCCATATCTGTCCAAAGTAATAATTATGTTTCACGTTGTTATCCTAATTTACGTGCCCCAGAACAGAGACCTAAACAGAATCCCAGTATGAGGTGCACGAGGAGAAATAAATGCTGCATTATTCGTAAGGAATTATTAATTTTTAAAGACTTTTTGTGGGTTTAGGAAGTCTTCTGGGGGCGGAAGTAGTTAGCCATCTATGTAAAGATCTTAATTAGGAAAGAGAAAAAGCCTTTTGAGCTGTTTTTAAAAACGTTTTTAGGAGTTTAAATTTAAGAAAAACCCGAAAATAAATTAGAAAATTGCACAAAAAATTTTCTGCAAGTGCCTGAACCTCAACCTCCGTCACAGCCAATGCCCGGGGCTCAAAAGTGAAGCCAAAGCTGAAGCTTCAGCCAAAACTGAGGCTCATCATCATCGTCCGCTGGACGACTGGTCGGCGCATTTCACTGGAAAAATATTAAACACAAAGCGAGATACTGAAAATTGATTTCTCACCTTCGTGCACGTTATGGAGATGGAGGTGGATGTGGCTGTGGATGTGGAGATGGCGGCTTTAGAGCTTCAAGCTTGGAACTCTGGATGGAGGTCTCTCGCTGTCCGGCTGTCCGGCGTCTGTCTCTCTTTGTGGGTTATAATTAATTAATACGTAGCTGCACATGTACAAATACAGGTATAAATATCCGGATTTGGATATAGCACTTCGTGATTTGCACGCCCGCCGCGTTTCGCTGCCCTCCCCCTCCTCACACTCTTCTCTATCTTGCTCGAAAAACATTTCAATAATCATAATCTCAGAGGAGGCCCCATTGCTGGTAAAGGGGGTATCACAATCCCTATATACATATATACATTTCTATGGAGGAAGGGCTCTTGGTCAGGAACCCGCCAGACAGCCTGTCGCAGTGCCATCACCCCCCTTTTCCACAGGCGGCGGCGGCTGCTGCTTCTCCTCCTCCTCCACTCGTAAATTAACATTTATCTGTGAATTTATTGCATCATCGAGAAAAGTTTTCAATTCGCTGGAGAAGCAGCCGAGAAATGGAGAAGCGTTTGGAGGTGCTTTCGGGGGTTATTTCAGTCGTCTGGTAGGGGAATCCCCATAGCCATTCCCAAGCACCTGTTGGTCAATGGGAAATTTATTTGACATTCCTCTTGCACCATTTGTCGTGGCTTTTAATTTGCTTTCAAAACGCAGCTTAGTTTTCCATTTCAAAATCATTTCCCGACTGTTTCCAGAAGGTTATTTTCCTTTTTCCATTACGTTTGTAAAGTTTCGATGGGGAATCCAATCTAAAAGATATTTCTTTCCAAGATCGAAGCTCATCCTGGTACTGCCAAGCAAATTAACTTATTATTGTTAACCAATTTTCCTTATAGAGCAACCATAAATCGGTCTTTTTCCCCATTTCCCAGCCACCGCTTTTGTTCATTTTGTTTTTCTTTAACCTGGCTCAGTTCGTTAGCCTCTCCGCCGGAAAATGCCCAGCTTTTTGGACCAACTCGCGGCAACGTGACATTTTAAAACGAGCATGGCATATAAAAATTTGTATGATATGATTTTTATAGACTTCAAATCGATTTTTTTATGATCATCGCTGCTGCTTTTTATGCGCTCGCCGCGGTTTTATGTGACAGCAGTGCAGCGGGGGTTAACGGGCGGGTGTTAACCCATTCGAGACCCGAATGACTGTTGCCGCTGCTGCTGCTGCTGTTGCTGTTGCTGCTGCAACGTTTTTATGTAATTATGTAATTAGGTGTTAAGGCAAACAATTTGGTTCAGAGACCGGGAAGCGAGAGAAAGAGTCACAAAATATTGATGCCGATGATGGCGATGATAATGGGCCGAGGACCGTTAGGTGGGCATTGTACCTCCTTATCGAGCCACTGGGATCGGACGACATATGGGCATCGATCGATATGACCCATGTCGATGAGCAGTGACCAGTCGAAGACCGATTCAATATCCGGCCAACCGACCGACCAACCGGCTGGCCACCTGTTGTGCCCCTTTTTCTATGTGCGCCGCATTTTTAATTTAATTTTTTTTTTTTTTTTGCCTCCTTCTTCTCATATGCAAGCTTAAATTATTTCGTGCGGGCTTCAACTTCGAACCTCATGCTCATCCTCCTGCTCCTCCAGCTCCCAGCTCCTGGCCGCCGGTGATTAATAAAGCCAACATCCAGACCGGATCGGCAAAGGCAACGGCAACGGCAACAGCTGGCTGCAACAGCCTGGCCAATTCCCATTGCCAATCCCGTTCGTGAGAAGAGCAGAGGCCAGCCAAAAAGCCAACCATCCAGCCAGGCCCAAAAAACAGTCCCGAAAAGCAGTTGACTTTCCATTTTATGGCCTAATAATCATTTGGCCCGTCACTAATTGGCGAGACTTTACACGTTTTTCCCTGATTTCCTTCGAATACTACCAAGTAAGACACCAAACTTAGGATATGTATAGGAGCTAGTGAATTGGACTAAAAAACTTCATTCAACAAAAGTTTTTACATTCTAGCTTTCAGTCGATTTCAGCCCAAAAATTTTAGAATTCTGACTACTGCTAAGCCAATAATGGTACGAATAGGGAATGTCATACCTCGCTGTAATCGTTATCGAATTTCCATAAAAACTGCATTCACAGCTAAAAATCTTGATTTTTAGCCATTTTTAGCAAAATTTGATGATCGAAAATGTGAAATTTGATTTCTTCTTATTTTCCCCCAAAAATGATAGTTTTTTGTTCATAACTCACCCAAAAATGGTCCAAATATGGAATTTTATACATCGTAAGACTCGTTTTTGGATTCCTATGATTCCCAATTGATTTACATTAAAATGTGGAAAACTTAAATTTTTGGCATTTTTCACAAGTTTGATGATGGTACCCCTTATCAAAAATGCGAAATTTGGATTGAAATTGAATTTCCCAAAATCGAAAAACGAGTGATAGGGGTGGTAAGTGGTGGTCGTTGGCAGCACAAAACAGTCGTTCTTTTGGCTGTGCGTCTTGTTTTGACCGAGCTAGAGCTAAAAAGCCGCAAATAATTTTGCTCATTTCTGATGAAATTGGGTTTCCTGATGTTTCAGGCATTAAATCGGAGCTCGCACCGAAATATCAGAACGATAATGACAAAAGTAAGTATAGGGGTTTTAAGTTTCGGTAGTTAGCTTCATAAAACAGTCGTTGTTTTAGCCGTGCGTCTTGTTTTGACAAAGTTACAGCTAAGAAACGGCGACAAAACCGGGCTCTCTGCTGCCAGAAGACGTATACTTGATTTTGGGCACAATAAAAATCAGTTTTTTCGTCATAGCACAGCCAAAAATGGTCAAAATGAGGAATGTAATACCTCGTATGGATCGTAACTTGATTGCCATGATTCCCAATTGATTTGCATTCAAATCTGGAAAACTTCATTTCTGGGCATTTTTCACAAGTTTTGATGATGGTACCCCTTATCAAAAATGCGAAATATGGCAAAAAAAAAAAATTACTCAAAATCAAAAAACCAATGATTAGGGTTGCAAGTTTTGGTCGATAGCTGCACAAAACAGTGGCTCTTTTAGTTCTGTGTCTTGTTTTGACTTAGTTAGAGATATAAACCCGATACAAAATATGCTCATTTAATGTAAAAACCAAAAAGCCTGATTTTTGCCCCAAACTATTCAGAATTCTTCTCATAGCAAAGCCAAAAATGGTCAGAACATGGAATGTCATACATCGATGAACTCGTCTTTAAAATTCCAAGAAAACTGCATTCAAAGTTGAGAACGTAAAATTTTAGACATTTTTCACGAAATTTGGGTGATGGTATCCCTTATCAAAAATGCGAAAATTAGCGAAAAATGTAAAATTCAAAAATGAGTTCAAAAATTATGAGAAAAGTTAATTTCGGTCATTAGATTCACAAAACAGTCTCCCTTTTAGCTCTGAACCTTATTTTGACAAAGTGAGAGGAATTACTAGAGTTACAAATTCGAAACTTGGTGACACCCAACTTCCTCCAACGATGTTCCACATTGCAGAGGCGGCGCACACTCCGTTGCAGACCTCGTACTCCTTTGCTTAGCCAATAAATATAAAAAGCACCCAAAGAAGAACCTCAAAGTATTCCCACATTCAAATTATACATAAAACTAATACTTAAATAAAATAAAATAATAAAATAAAATTCGCCACTTACCTGGATTCCCAGCTTGGCATAGTAAATTCCCGGTATAATAGGCAATATTCGTCATTGATATCCATAATCCACGTAATCAGAAATACCAAAAATGGGAATCCGAAAAATGATGCACTGCATCCTCCTGGCGGCCATGGGGCACCTCCAATATGACGAGGTACCATCACCACGTCATCCACACTACTTAGAGGCACTTTACTAACACACACACACACACACTTGCAAATGACTTGACTGATTTGTGGGTGGTCCGCTGCGCCTATGCCACCACTTTGGGACTAGTACCAGTTGGGAATTATTTATACCCTGGCATGCCAAAAATTTCACTTAACAGTGAGTTGGCATAAAATGTCCGTTAACAGAGAAATTCATATTTACATAGCCGTTAACATTCAAATTCGCAGTCGTGATCATGTTAACTAACATTTCTGTTAACTTTCGAGTTTTTCCATTGATCTTCAAGTTTTCCGTTGATCTTCAAATTTGCACTGACCTAAAAAAAACGATAAAAATTAAATTAATTATATATTTTATAATTTTTAATTACTTTTTACTTATATATATTTTTAAAAATGGTTTGAATTTTGAAAAGATTTTGGATAAATGCTTTTTTCTCTTGATTATTCTGGACATTGGCCAAAAATTTAAAAAAAAAAAATTTATCATACTACTTAAATCAATTATATAAAAATAAAAAAAAAATAGTGATTGCTTTTTTTTGATTTTACAGGAACTGCTGGCCATTTCTCCGGAGCGCCGAAACTGAAGCGGAATCTTCCGTGCTCTGCTGGTTATAGCCGCCGTCCTAAACCTGATCATATTCTCGATCTTCCGGCTGTCGGCGGAGGATGAGCTTCTGCGGATCCCAATGCTGCTGGGCAAAAGCCTCCCCCAGTGGACGCCATTCAACTGCATCTGGAGTAGTGGTGAGGATGGAGATCCTAGTTTTTCATATATAATTTATAATTTGAGTGTTTTTTACAAGTCGAAACCTCATTTAACATTATAGCGGCCTTTGCATTACCAATTTGGCCAGTCTCGGCTCACGCAATCTTATGACCAATTTAACATTTGCAAGTTTAGTTCATTAACATCATTAAATGTTACTTTTATCCAAATCAAATTTAGTGATCAAGTCCATTCCAAGTGATTAAATCGTAGTTAATTTTATTTTCTTACTTAGTCTTAAACGAACTGTACACTTATGTTAGGAGTTAAATTATTAAGAAACTATTTACAAGTCTTCCTGGGCCGTTCCGGCTTTCACTTCTTGAGCACCGCATTGGCACTCGTGTCCTGGTGGAATTGGAAGACCTTCAGGCGGTGGTATGAGCAGGCCACCCGACATCCCCGGGTGCAGAACTCCCGATCCGCGCACATGGAGGTGGCCAGACTCTGTTGGACAACCACGAGAACGCGGCAATAGTCGTGGCACATGTAGCACTCTGGCCGAGATCGGCAAAGGAGCGGAGGCGTAATTCCTGGCATGGATTGACGGTAGCATAGCTCTCGGCACTCCGCAATCCTCGGGGTTTGTTCTTGGCTTTCGGATAACGGGGATATGGATGCGCCCAGCGCATTGCCAGCGAGAATGCTGGTTAGGCAGAGGATGGTGAAGATGATCCTTGGTACGAACGCCATGTTTTGGTTTTCCTTAGTTTGCTTTTTGATTTACTTCCGAAAGTTCCTCTTCGCTGCAGTTAAGTGCGGATCGCTTGAGGTTTCTTGGGCTTCTGATTGTCCCGGTCTGGTGGTATCACCTTATATACCTCCGTCGTCGTCGCAACATTTTCATTCACAAAACGGGTGGAAAACCCCAGCTCACTACCTGGTCGCCGGATATTTACCTAAGTCCAGGAGGGATCGGATCCTGTAGTTTGGGTCTGCAGATTCAGGTAATTGACAACACGTGTGCGCAACGCTTTTCATGAATGACCGGCTCTACTGGAAATCCCCTGGAATTTCCCTCCATTCATAACGTTACCTAAGAATGGGTTGAAAATCCCGGACTCCTTGTGGCGCCATTCGGTGACAGTTTTTATTATTGCGTAATACGTTTCTAACTGATCTCCGGATCAACGGACTGTTCTACCTAGCTCAAAGACCAGAATGGACTAGAGCCAGTTAATTGGGAAAGTTGCAGGTAAAACCGCACTAAGACTCCTATTGATAAGTCTGGCATGCTAGACAAATTAGCCTTAGGAGACTGTAGATGTCACAATTTTTGAAGTAAAGTTGAAAAGATTTTACTATCGTTGGTTTGGTTTAAAAAATATCTTAAATATCGCACAGAATTGCGATTTAATACCAATTTGGTAGCCTTAATATTGAGTGTTGTTTGAAAACAGGTAGCGTGGCGCCATCTAGATCTAGGGCCTGACGCTTAGCGAACAAATTTTACAAACAAAATATTTGGAGAACAAAATGTAAAAAACAATGTAGACATGTATAACTTACGATCTAGAAATATACATTTTGGATTTCTGTACATAGACATGGAAAAGTTAATAACAAAATAATAATAAATACACAGGCATAGGAAAGACTTCATAACAAAATAATAATAGTAAAAATAATACTTAAGTCTAGTCTAAATGTAGCATTTTAATATACTGAACTAAATTATTATATTTAAAGAGATTAACATACAGACTTAGCCTGCTATTCCGCCCCCCAAAACAAGATTATTAACTTAACTTAGGCACACCCCAAAAGTAAGTACGCCCAAAGAGATCAAGAACAATCGATGGCGAAAATTTCGTGTTTAATTTTTATTATTAAAAATGTTCTTTATATTGCCTTTGTTGTTTTGCTCATTTGCTGTGACCGTTCGTTTTCTTTTCCACTTTTCCACTCCCCCGCACTCTCTTATCATCTGCATTGCTTTGTATTTCTATCGTCATTCGTTTATTTTAATTTCCATAGACAAATATTGTTTGTTTAATGTTCAAAAGAGGAGCGGAGTCCAAAGACGGACTCGAATTTGGCTTGGCTTGGATTGGATTTAATTGGGTTGGATTGGTGGCGGCTCACTTACATCGTATACGTATAATTTTACGATCAAAAAAAAAAAATATGTATATATATATAATATATATAAGGATAAGAACTAAAAACAAAACCATAAGCAATAGTGTGTACAAAAAGAGTTGAGCTTAAAACATAAATAACAAAGCCGAAAACAAAAATTAGTTAACAATTCAAATAAATCTAAATACAAGTTAATAATGGTCGTTGGTTTCCCATTTATCTGTGTGTGTGTGTGTAAGTTTCGATTAACCTTCGTTTTGAGTACATGACATGGATTAAACTAAGTACAATGATAATAATAATGGTTATTACATCTTCGATCTTGATGCATGAAGGATCGCTTTGACCTTTGGGCACGGGCACGTTGTAATGATTGAGCAGCCATAAGCAGTCATAACAGAACCTCAACTATATCGGGGGCTAGGCTATATCAAATCTATTAAATATCAAACTGCAAATCGTCTTCCAATTAACATTCGACGACTTATTTAAATCACAGCTAAAAGGCAAGCATAAAAGTAATTAATTGATTACACAAAACATCAACGACCTTGTCTCCTTCTCTCTCTGATTCGTGCCCAAAGGGGAAGATAAGTAGGAGGAGGATATTTTGGGGTTGTGGTTCTTCCAGTTCTGGTTTCGGTTTCGGTTTTTGGTTGTGGTTGTGGGTGGGACTTGGATTACTGGCTCTCAAACATATTCTTATGTACAATTCTGGGTGTTTTTCGTTTTACTTGACTACGCATAATTAATTTATATAATCGTCATATTCTGTTCTTGTTTTTGTTTTTTGTTTTTCGTTTTTACTTTTCTGCGTTCCTTTCATTAAATAGTTAATATTTATAGTATAGCACCGAGTACAAAAAAATGATCAATAAACAGAGTTTTGAATTTTGTTTCCTTGGTTTTTCTGGTTTTTCGTTTTTCTTTTTCTTTTTTTTTTTAGCAAAACTAACAATTTCCTCGCTTTGCTTACTCTTATAACTTTTGTTTTTGTTTGGTGTTTTTGTTTTTGTTTTTGTTTTTGTTTTTGTTTTTTTTTTTTGCTGTTCTTGTTATACAGAACGTTTAACGGTTGTTTGTTTGTTTGCTTTGTTACTGTTGTTTAATGTTTCGTTAAATTCTACTACTTATTTAAGGTAATAATTTCTGTTGCTTTCGTTTACGTTTTGTTGTCACAAGCGAATCGTCTCTGATCTTTATTCCTCATCCTACATCGTTCCATCGCCAGATATCTTTAAGATATATAATATATGATGTTATGTTAAGAAAAGTCTATTATTGATTATATTATTACATAGGTGCATGCCAGTTTTTACTTTCTTTAACAAATAAAAAATTCCATTTGGAAATGATAATTTGGAAACCTCTTTCAAAACTCAGTCGTGCTTCTTAACTTAACTTTAAAAATCATTTTACAAATAAAACAAATCACTAACTCACCTGCGAATGCGAACTGTCGCTCTCCACCTGCTCGGAGTAGCAGTGCTTATAGTTAAGATAGTCTAGAAGTCTTCTCGGTAATGGCAATGTCTGTATTAGATCCTTTCGTATAACCGCCTTTAGTATAACAAATCTAAAATTCCACAGATAAAGACATTAGTAGAGGCAACCATGAAAGGCAGGAAGAACCACCCACCTGCACATGTGCTGCAAGCTTTGTACATGCTTAAACCTAGATACTGGATTGGTTAATTGCACACGCATTGGTCCGTGCTCTGGCCGACGATGCAGAAAGAATAGATATCTGTGGGCATAGAATTTTGGTTTAATCGATGATTGGCAGATTTTCCACTAATAGTTGCTAACCTGCCGCTCCGCGAATGCTCGACGGCCTTCTCAATGAACTCGGTGATGGTCTGCGATTTGAATTTGGCATACGAGCCGAAGGAGAAGGTTCCTGGCGAAGTAAACAAACAGATATGAGTATTTATGTTACTTGACTATAATATCCAGTAAACTCACCCTGATCCTGCTCGATGCGCACATGGCGCACGCAGTTGTTCAGCTTAAAGCTCAGCGAGAAGATGTAGTGATCATCGGAGCTGTCGCGCACAATGAAGGAGCCATCCGGTTCGCTGGAGAGCACCTTCTCAGCCGCCTCACTCGACAGAGGACCCCAGTACCAGCCATACTAGGGGAGACAAGATCAGAATTAACCCCTTTCGAGCAGCAAACAGCTCAAAACCTACGTCTTTAACTTTCTCAATGCTGGAGGTGAACTGCAGTGCCCGAGGCTCCTGGACTACGTTCGTCTTTAGCTCCTCTGGTTCCGGTTTAATGGCTTCAATGGCATAGGCTGCTGCTATTGATAGAAAAGGCCGGGCTTTAGTGACTCTCCTACGGATTTAGAGGGGGCAATACTTACCCTTCTTTGGTAGTGGTGGCAGGGCACGGGACTGGAACTTCTTGCGCAGATCGGCATTAGGTTCGTCCGCTTCCGCCGTGATTAACGCCCCTCCTCCGCCAACACCGTTCAGTTCGGTGGCCAGCTGGGTTTGTCCTGCTACCCCCGGAGCGCTGGTTATCACGGTAGCTGGCGGAATCAGGGGCGCTGTTGCCGCTGCATTCGCATTGACATTGGCAAGGGTGCCGGTTTGGTTTCCACCCGACCCGCGGCAACGACTGTGATTGCTCCGCCGGAAGCGGAAGATGCTGCAGAAACGCTGCTTCAGGTTCAGCGTGAACTGTGACTTCTTCTCAGAGTGCAGGACGTGCTTGTTGTTTGGCGGCTGGTGCTGATTGTGGTTGTGGTGCTCCGTTGGTGGCTTCTCCAGCTGCTGTTGCGATGGCTGATGGTTGTTGTTGTTATTGTTGTTGTTGAGCTTATCGTTGTCCAGATTGTGCTTGTTCTGCTTGCTCAGATACTTGCCACCGGCAGAAGTACCACCACCACCAACGCCACCATCACTGCTGGCTCCTCCAGCCCCATTGGCCGCTCCTGGCGGACCACCTCCTGCTCGAGTAGTGCCCACACTGCTCCGCGTTCTCGCCGTGGTGGTGGTGGTATTGGTCGATACACTCCAAATGGTCTCGTTACTCGACTTAACCATTGGCTTGGGCGTGGGCTTACCGGCATCCGAGTAGAGGGTGTGATAGAACTGCTTTACCTCGTCCAGTGTCATATGCAGCGGTTCTGATTCGCTGACTTGGCCCATTCCGGCACCCACGGGCGTGCGGTACTTGCCATGCTTGCTCTTCTCACCATCTCCATCGCTGGTCTCCGTCCCGGCTCCCGTTCCCGAGCCTGCATAGCGCTGCTTGCGCTTGTTCCGCTTGTTTCGCCTGCTCGCCTTGTGGTATGTGGGAGCCGTGGGCTTTTGTTGCTGCTCCTCCACCAATTGCTGCTGCTGCTGCTCGATCATGTCCACAGGGAAAGCATAGATATCGGAGTCGATGGGCACGTTGTAGAAGTCGGAGATCTCGCGCGTGAACAGTGCATCATGGGACATGGCCTGGGTGATGAAGATAGAGTCATCCGGCTTGTTGGCCGACGAGACATTCAGTGAGTTGTGCGAGCTGCTCAGACGACTGTTCAGCGAGTTTCTCGAGTTGGGCCGCTGGCCATGGCTGTAGCCGTAACCCGGCTGGTGGTGGTGATGGTGATGATGGCTTCCATGCCCATGACCATGGCTGTGGTGGTAGTGACAATGGCTGGTATGGCCCAGGGGACTGTACAGCGAAGCCTGACGTCGCTGCAGACTGCTGTTGTCCACCGGCTGTCGCCTGGCACCGTAGTACAAGTCGTAGTCATGGATCTCCGACAGGCCAGCGCTGTTGAATCTCTGTTGGGCAGCCGCTGCTTTGGCACTGGCTATATTGTCCTGCTCCGTGGGTATGGCCTTAAAATAGCGCGTATGATCCTGGTAATACGGACACAGCGTTTGCTTGATCTTAACTATGGATACGGGCGGCGGCGGCGATGGCAGCGGTGAACAGCTGCTGGCCTCCGATTGTTCATCCTCCAGCAGGTCGACGCTGTTGCCCAGTGAACTGCTCACAATATTGTTGGGCTCGTCGTAAATGTTGTCCGTGTGGCTATTCAGTATGGAATCGCTCGAGTACAGGTGCTTGTTGATCGCATAGGATTCCTTGAGGCTCATTTGCCCCAAGGCTTGGCCATCCAAGGCGTCCAGCTTGCACTCAGCTTTTGCCAGCAACAGTACCAACTCTTGGCTGGGCGGATGCGGTTCCTCAGGCAGGACAGCCGTGGCCAGGCCGCTTACCATGGTGGCGGAATCATCTTTCAGGTGCTCGAATGACGATTGCGAGGAGGTCCAGCGACGCAGACTGTTCACAATATTCTTGGAGATGGAGCGTACCAGGGTGGTCTGTGGCGAATCCTGGAATTCGGGCGGTGGATCGATGGGTGCCAGCGGTCCCTTTTTCAGCGTATTGAAGTTCTCAGCACTCATCCCGCCCTCGGAGCAATTGTCCAGGGAATCGAACTGCGAAACCTCACCATCGCTCTCCACCATCTGCATAGAATGACATGGGATTAAGGATTAGGTTTTTGGGAAAGATTTTCTACAACATCGTACTTACCTCAATTTCGAATTTGCACATGCCCAGACGATAGGAGTCTCCACTGGAGATGGAGCTGTTGGTGGTCAGGGGAACACCGCTGTCATCGCTCAAGGATGCAGCCGCATTCAGCTCGATGCTGTTGGCACTGACCAGTTCGTGATGCGGCGGTGGCATGATGCTAAAGCTGTCGCTGCTGCAAATGCTGGACACGCAAACGCCACCTCCGCCTCCTGACACACCTCCGCCCCCGCCACCGCCCACATTGCCATTCGAATTGGAGCTGCAGTTGGAGTTGCTGTCCTTAAGCTTAATGGACGATTCCATTTTCGGGGCAAGAGACTCAGGTGAGAGGCAACAGCTAAATATAGAGATGAAAGTGGGGGGTTCAAGATATTAATAACTGTTTTCAAGGATACCAACTTTAAAGGTTAAAGTCATGGCTGACTATAAGGTTAAGAATCAAGATATTAAAGGGGATCAGGTTATCAGAAACCAGCTTCGGTTATATTATATGAAGACACTGTAAGTTATTTAGTTAAAATGTTAAAAAGTTAAGGGCTGATTGATAATATTCTCACCAAATAGTGGTAACTATTTTAGAATTATTCATAAGTACATTTAAAAGAGCCTATATTTTTTTAAATATTCTTTGAATTCAAAATATCTCTTAATAAATTATATCGCCGACTTTGCTGAAAACTTGAACTTGTCAACAATGTTTTTTATGGGAAATTCTTGTGTTTTCTGACCGATAAGAAGGTTGCCTTATATACCATTTATATTAAGCGGATAAGAATAGTATTAGCTAGCATTTTTAGGGTTCGATTTTGATTAATTGGATGACACACATCTCAACCTATGACCTTTGGGTGCGGCGGCTGCAGCTTGCAACGAATGCAATTGAAGGTCAATGACAGTTGCGTGCGCCGTTTTTCGTCCTGTCGTCCTGGCCGCCCCCCACACCCCTTCTTGCCCACCCTCACCACACCCCCTTCGCCCACCGCCACCTTTTCACCTACGCTCGTGCTTGTGCGCAGAAATTGAAGCCAAAAATGCAGACGAGATTTTTTTTTTTTGGGCGTAGAGATTTAGTTTGGGGATTTGACGGGAATGGAAGATTTTCCAAGAAGATTTTCAAAATAAGAGAACTGCTGGAGAAACTTGATTGGATTGCAAGGAAGCCGGACTTGGATGGATCATTGCCAATTGGATTCTGAAGTGCGTAAAAAGTACCGCTGTAGTACACACACACACATGGGCAAAGAGTAGCCGGAAAAGGCAGCCTCCCCCCACCGAAAACCGCCCACCGACGTCGTGCGTCGTCGTTTTCGTAGTACGACGTTTGCTAGTATTTTTTTAAGCCATTTTATATAGATGCCGCCAGCGGGTGGGAAAGAGAGAGGGTGGACAGAAGTGCAGTGCAGCGATAACAAGAATTCTTATTAGAATTTTGTCACTCTGCATATATACACAACTCGCACACACACACACAAACACACTAGCAGGCACACACTTTGCGAGAGAGCCACGACACCTACGCACTCACACACACACACTGGCTTAATTTAACACCTTTGCTTAATTTAATTATTGCTCTCCTGGCTCTCGCGTACACACACACACACTAACGCAGACGAGACTCGACACAGACACATATACAGCCGTTTGCATTCATTACAAATACAATTCCAGTTGCAATCGCACTTGCCTTTCGCTGCCTCTTTCGTCGGCTGCTTTCCTCCGATTTGATTCACGACTCCCGATCCTGTTACCAATTGCAATACCGATCTGATGCCTATTGGCTGCTCTGCGCCAATTTATTGTTAACGGGATTGATTGCACGCATTGCAATTGCTGCACGGCCGCTGCTTTCAATTTCGATGTTCAATTTCAGCATTTCAGTTTAGCTAGGGATGGCCCAGCGCCGATGTTCGTTCGATACTATCGATAAGAGGCAGGACACCAACGATATGGGGATGGGACAGACATCGATATCTATACAATACTATCGTGACTGCCTGAGATTTAGAATAAAGATTAACAATGTTATACCATAAACCCTTTTTAAAATTCATTTTTTATCTAGAACAAAATATAGACCTTCAACTATAGTTATTTATCGCCAAAAAACTTTTAAAATACCACTCGAGGAATGAGCCTAAAAAATACTGAGAATACTGCTAAGGCAAGTTTCAAGTCGCCATCACTTAAGCTTGGTTGATGTCTTTGTATGAGCTAGGACTCAAATCAATCATTAAAACCAGTATTTCAAAAAGTTAAGCATTTTGTGCAGCTTTAAAAAATATATACATTTAGTTAAGGCATTTAAAAAATCTCCAGTGAAATAGCTTGAAATAAATCCAAGAAAAACTTTAAAAGGGAGATCTGGTGATGTTACTTAATGGCGTTTACATCTTAGTCGTCAGATTTGCCCTACTCCTTCCTACATTTCAAAGGTCACCAAACTTATTAAATTAATTTCCCACAAAATAGTATTGAAAAGTATCATAGCATTAATTCTCACGTTTGCGGATCTGGCTGGGAGGGATCATCTTGGTGAACCGTTGCCATTTTCGCCTTCTGACCGTCGCGGTCAACACCTGTTACTACCTGTTGCCTGTTGCCTGTTACCTAGTGACTGTTGACTTTGGCTGTTACTTTCACTGCGGCGAACACGTTTCGCTGGGCTTTGTGATATTTGTTTCTGCTCGTGTCCACAATGCAAGAGTTATTAAAATGACAGAAAGACGACCGGCCATGTATGGCAGGGCTGCCCCTTACCAATAATCGCATATATTAGCCATTCTGTGTGCAGCATAGAGTGGCGGAAGTATGAAGTCTCTTCTTCTGTGGCCTTTTCACCACAACGCTCTCACTTTCGTTGCGGCCCGTCAAATATTTAATAATTTGTGCTAAAATGTGAATTAAGTGCCAGGCGGCATGCACAACGCATAATGCTGGTTACCACCTCTCGGGTAACTGAACAAACTTAAGGCAAAACCAAAAACAACAAAACATTAAATAAAATTGAAAACTGAAAACTGAAAAAGTGACAACAACATGTCGAGACGGGACAAAAACAAAAAGCGACGTTGTGGAATTCCAGTGGAATGCGAAAAGAAAACGAATTATATGAGCAGAAAGAGAGGGGTAATGGGGCGTCGAAAGAGACAGACAGACAGACAGGCACTCGAGAGGCCTGAAAACTTTTGGCCAGCAATTGAGATCGAGAACCGAACTGAACTGGCCAACATGCCGATCCGATCCGATTACAAACATTGCTATATAAGTGCATGGCTATTCTTGTTGTTATTTAGGTAATTCTGGTATTTCCACACTCACACATATGACACCGCAACTGTAGTCAAAACATTAGCTACGGGGTTTCATTTTTTGAAGAACTCAAAAGAAGGTTTTTGAAAAAATATTTGGTGAGGGGAATCTATGCTAGCAGGAAACTTGAAACTTTGGTTGAACGCCAAAATGTAGCATTAAAGATATTATCTTATTGAAGGTAAAGAAGTTAAATAGGAACTTTAAGATTTACAGATTTGTCTATACTGCAACTTATTAGTACGATTATCTTTCAATATTTTTACCAAAAATCTTTAAGAACTGCTATAATCTCACCCGCCATTGCGATTGGGCTGCTGCAGTCGAGAGCGCGCCCAAAAATGCAATTGAGAAAAACCCACGCCATAAACAGAAACCCAAAATAGACAAAGGCATTAAAGCCGATGAAAATCAACAACAACAAGTCGACGCAGCGAGATGCCAATGCCGCACACGTACACACAGATCTATCTATATAGGTACAAATGTATATACAGATATATATATTTTTACCTGCGCAGTCGCAGCATCTTTGGGTCAATTGCACACTGCGAGAAATCGGGCATTGGCTGCGCCCTAATTAACAGCGGGCGGTAGAAAAATCCATTTACATCATCATATGGGCGGATTTGTTCGTTTATGTATCTAAATATCCAGATTTCGATTCTAGCCACCAGAAGTTAATGGCTTTCTTTTCAGCTGGAGATATTGTCTTACCAATCGATTTCCCGGAACTACAGAACGTTTTCAAATAAACCAATTAACATATTGGCTTACAGAATTTTCCATATCGCAAAACAATCCACATATCCACATATGGTTTACCAGGCTTGAAAGCGAAACGGTTTCTATAGGGGCTTAAGTGATATTATTCCAGGGAGAGTTGCTTACTATCTTTAATTTACAGATAGTATAATCCGACTTGTGTTATCTTTAAGCATAAGGAACAATCAGTTAATATACCCATATGGGTATTGTAGGTATTCCCTTTGGGATGTATTACCTAAGATCTAAAGATCTTAGCCTTCAGTGTAATAGTTTTGTTTGAGGAGGCTGATCCCAATATGTTGCTAATAAAATATGTTGCTCAGTTTTGACAGAGTTACGATCTGGCGCGAAATGACTGCGATACGGTTAAGATATGGAAGCACTCCCCTTGCAATGTTAGTTCCAACCCACCGCCTACGCCCCTGTGCCTTTGTGGCTTTATGCCTTATGCCTTCTGCATTCGGGTCCTATGTATGTACTTTCCTGCCCACTGGGACTCAGAAACCACTGGCACAGGCAGCACTGGCAACATACCAAATACCAAACGAAAACACGAAAATATCAACAGGCTGCTGCTTTGTTGTTATTTAGCTTTCGTATACCCTATCAAGAGGTATTTTAGGTTTAAAGGAATCTTAATATACCATCTTATAGAAGGAAGGCTTCTGTTCAGAGAAGCTTTGATCAAAAGCCATGTTCTAGAATACAAAGCAGTTTTGATAGAGGTCTTTGGTATAACATATATCATCATACATATATCATCATTGGTAAATATATGTAAGGTTAAAGGATCATGTCGAGTTCTGTTCAGATCAGACTATATATGATCGGTATATAAGGGTATTTCAAGATTAGCTTGCCGAATCGAACCTCCATTTCTTGTTTTTGCGTTATCCAGCAGGTAGAAGAGGCACAGCCACAGTCTCCTTGCCTCCTTCTCTTATCTCTCTTTCCTCCCCCTTCCATTCGGTTGCATTCGTTCAAAGCGCTCAAATGAAACGCCGACTGCGACGCCGACAGCGACAGCGACAGCGACTTGAGACTTTGGGTATGGGTATGGGTATAGGTATGGTTATATGGTATATGGGTATTTGGTATTAACTGAAGTCGGGCTCAGTCGCCGATGATTTTCAGTACGCTAGCGAACGTTGTTGCGATCACAACGTCTCAGTTCTCAGTTTCTTCGCTGTGCTCAGATTCTCAGCAGTGCTTAGCAGTTCTTAGCAATTCTTCAGCTCAGATTCTTCGCCGGCGCGCGTGTCTCTAGGTGTATGTGTGTTGTGTTCGTGTGTGTGCTGGAGGCCGTGTCAGTGTGTTAGTGCTGGCCCGTTGCTAAAATTATTATATATTTTTTTTAAACGAACGTTGTTTTTTTTTTTTACTGTGCCTTCGAAACTGGTTGCTGCTCTTTTAACTGTGTATTTGTGCAGCAGCAGTAGCAGTTAAAGAAGAAGCAGAAGTAGCAGCAGCAGCAGCAGCAGCAGAAGAATCTAGCTGCGGAAGAAGAAGAGGAAGAAGCAGAAGAAGACCGCAGATCGAAGAAAAATAGCAACTGTATTTGGGTTGTAGTTGTTTTTCTTTCGTGGATTTTCGGTTTGATAAATCTCGAAATATATAAACGAAATATAAACGATTTCGAAATAGTTCCGGAATAAGGAAAAATACAAAAATGCCCTGCTCGGCCGTAACCCTATCTATAGCGACGATCTGTGCGATCATCGCCACCGCCCTGCTGGCGATCGCCTTCTCCACGGATAATTGGCTGCACTACGATGTCTGGCGCAACCAGATACAGGTGAGTCTTCAATTTCGAGTCTTCAGTTCAGTCTTGCAGCCAAGGCCCCTAACCGAAAAACAAGAAGTTGGGTGGGGGAGCTACGAATCGAATTAACCCAAGGCCCATCCGCTTGGAATACATAATCAGCCAGAGTCAGAGCCAGAGCCAGAGCAAGAGCCACCAAAAAATATACGGTGCATCTGCGTCTGCGTGGCAGAAGCCACAGCCACAGCCAAAGCCGAAGACTCTGCCGCTTAAAACGGAGCTTAAACTCCGGTTACGAACTCCGCACATTGGGTCAAGAGATGTGGCAAAAGTAGACCCAACGGGGGATTAGGCAACAGAGCTTAAGAAATCTTAAAAAATCGGGTTTAAGCTGAGCTGCCACGAAGAGAATAAGTGATCTAGCTGTAAAACTGAGGGGTATCGTACTCATGGTGGTACATAATATTTCTTATATGGTATCAGAAACTACAATGTAATGATTTAAATTAGATATATCGCTGTGTACTCTAGACATTCCTTCATAGCTCTGAGTTCCTTCTTCTCCTTCCAAGAACCATATCTACAGAGATGCTTAGATAAACAAGATAATTGAGATGCACTTGCTGACATTAGTGCACTGTATGTAAACAGGTGTGTGTGGCCCACTGTGCGGATAAGGAGGAGGGCGAAATAGGAGGGTGAAAGAGTGGTAGAGAAGAGGCAGCCACAAAGAAAACAACAACAACAACAAGAAAAAACGGTGGTAACAGTAACAGTTGCTCGTTTTGTGCTTGGCCAAAAGAAAATAAGGGCAAGGCGGAGAAGAAGAAAGGTCGAAAGCAAACACACCAACAACTGGCATTGGGTATATGTACAAGGAGGAAAGGGGATATGGGGGAAAATTGGGGGCGGGGAAAAGGGGGAGTGGAGGGTGGGCAACGGCCGTTAACGTTGAAACTTTCTACGGCGAGCGCTTAGCCAAGCCAAACGCGATGAATGAGAAGCGAAAAAAAGAAGAAGAGCCCAAGCAGAAGAGACACAAGAAGTAGATAGTAGGAGAAGGAGGTGTAAGAGATGGAGGAGTAGCTGGCACTATCGCCAGCACTAGCACAACTTTACATTTTACATTGCAAATACAGTGAAGCTTCTTCAAATCAACTCTTCTATATCTTGCTTAGTAAAGTTTCATAAAAAACTTTAGTCTTTTGATTTACAAAGAGGGTTTATAACCTTCTTTTCATTTGTTATTCCAAATAATCTTTAGTTTGTCTTAACGACGTGCCACTGTAACTCAGGCTCTAAGGTGCAATAGAGAGAGAGAGAAAGAAAGGGAGAGAACTTTAGAGAGATATACATGTAGATATAGAGGTAGTAATACAGAGATCTTTTCGAGTGTGAGTGCGCATACCATTCATACCAAAACAAGTTACCTAAAAATCAAAAAAAAAAAAAAGAACTAACAGAAAACAATAAGAAAACAGCTGGGTAAGAGGAAGAAAACGACTCAAGGTGTGCTGAAAATATTTGCACGTTTTTGACTTTGCAAACGACGGGGTGAAGTTGTCGCCTAATCCGAAAGTTTCAATGGAATCGAAATCGAGGGAACGATAATTACGGTGAGATCTGCTCGGATCTCTCCCAGCTCTTTGAAAATTCCAACTTAACGAAAATGTTTAGGGCATTTATAAAGCCATTAGAAGTAATTGACGGTGGGACGGGAATTCGTTTGCCTTGACCTCCCACATTTTGGGTCATCGTTCCCTTCTCTCTGTACAAGTTGATTCCCTTTTCCCCCCACTCTCTACTCCTCTTCAATTTCCGCCCTTAGATGAGGCTTTGAAAAAACCGCTCAGGTGCTATAGGTACAGGTAATTTGAGACGGACTACCTGGGACAGGAAACCATCAAGCATGAAAGTGCATTCCCGGGGGAGTGGAAAATTAAACACAAAAATCGATTATGAACGGTCCTCAAAGGGAAAGGCAATCCCAGAATGCCGACTGAATCATGATGACTTTGTCAGAACTATTAGCTTCCATTTCTTGGTATCAAATAATCGTTTTTCTTCAGATTGCTGAAGGTTTTAAATAGAAAAATACTATGTATTTTGCAAAGTTATATTACACTCGCTTATCGGAAAAAAAATTCTTGGTCCCCCTTCAATGACGTCTTTACTATTCCTTATATTAATTCTGATATAACCCAACATAGATAAGACTTTCAATGGATATTTTAATGGGTATTATAAAGTTCTAGTAAATCCCTTTAGGGTAACCCATTTTTCGTCTTGAAACTCAAACTGGACAAGTTCTCCATTAGTATTTCCTTCATAAAGAACCCTTAAAGCCTAAAACCTATATGTAAAAATATCCCTTACCTTATTCTTTTGCCCGTCTCTTCCTAGCTTCTTCCCTTCCTTAAGCAAAGTTCAGACACCTGAAGACGGTAATGTCCCTATCTACTTGTGGCTTTCCCCCGCCGATCCTGCTGCTTCTTCTTCGTTTTGTTCATTATCTTTGAAGTACTCGTACTGGCTGGCATGCCAAAGCCATATCGCTTTTTGTTTTGTCTTAGGCCAAACCATTTGGCTTTGGCTTTGGGGCTTTGGATCGTATCCACGCCTATATCGTCCCCCGTCCCCGTCTCCTTTCCCATATCCCCAGCCCAGCCAGCAAACTGGTTTCCAAGTTGAGTTTTCACTCGTTTCACGTTTTCGAGACAACAACGACGACTCAAAATTGGTATGCGGCTAGTTGGCCGGTTTGCTTTGCCACTTCGCTTTTTTGGCCCTAACTCGAAGTTGTTGTTTCTCTCTTTCAAATCCAGGGGGCGGAGGGAGCTGAAGGGGGTAAAGGGGTTTTGGGATCCCCGGGCACCCAAACCCAATTGATGGAACTGCGTTTTGGCCTCGTCTTTAGCTCGAATCGGGGTTCGTTGTTCGATCGGTGAAAAGAGAAAACCCTTCTCCCCACGTTTACAAACAAATTAAAATTATTGTACATGCAATACTATAGGTTTATAGCCTTTTGATTTTATAATGAAGAACCCATGAAAAGGATTTATTGAACTTTTTTCCTAATGGAAATTGAACCCCAAACTGCCCTTCCAGAGCTCATAACTTGGTCAATTGGTGTCCGATTTCGGTGTGGCATACCTTAAAATGCTTGCGATTTTGTTCTCTAAAAAACTGCATTCACAGTTTAGTTTGGAAAATTTGATCGATTTTTGACAATTTTGACGATGGTACCCCTTATAAAATTTTCGAAAAATCAAAAAAAAATATTTTTCTTACTTTTCAACACCGAGTTAACTATCTTAAAGAACGCATTTTTCCGAGTCGAGGAAGGTATAACAATCGAAGATCTGACAAATATTAGCCAAGTTATGAAGGGTTTGGCGAGCAAGAAAACTGAAAAAATTAAACCGAAAAAGCTTCAGGGATGTCTAGAAAACTGGATTTAGAGTTTTACAAAAACTATTAAATTTGATACATAGATTTACCAATACAAGTACTTAACTAGATTTGCCAAGACTTACCTGTTCTTTGCGAGATATTTCATAAATTCCAGGGCGCATTGGTGTCACTTTTGAGTTACATTTTCCTCAGTGGATATATGCACTCTCCATACCTTAATTTTCCCTGCTTCTGTCTTCGGTTTCATTTTCACAGTCGTCTCACTTTGGGCAATGCAATGCCAACGAAGATGACGACGAAGACGGCGACGACGACGACAAATAAACTAAAAAAAAAAAACACCAAATGAGAAATATATAATGTAATATATATAAAGGAAAAAGCGAGTCCCAAACCAAAGCCAAATCAAATATCAAATGAAAAGCTGCCAGTTGTTGGCCTGGCCGGCTCTTACCAGTTGGCCGTTTTCCCTGCCATTTTGCGTTTTGGCGATGAATGAATTTCGTGCTGGGTCTTTACGCTTAGTAAGCTTTTTGTTTGGTAGAAAGACGAAACACATGTTAATTCGCGATGTGAAATTAATTATTTTTAGCTGGGGTTGCGCATACGCCGTGTGTGACAGCAGAAGATTTCTTTTCACTAACGTTTTTTTTTTTTCTGTGGCGTTTCAACTGAAGTGGAACCCATCGTATCGTATCTTTTCTTTGCACCTTTCGATACGTATTGACGCCATCATTGAGTGCTTAATTTATTATTTTATTGCTGACATCATGTGAAATTCCGAATTGGTTAATCAGCACCATTGGCCATGTTCCCGCGATTGGCTTAAATTAGCATAAAGTGAATTGTGCACTTGTCCCAGAGCGATTTGAATTTGAAATTGATTTCGGTTGATCTGAGTCTGGGAGAATTCTGGGAAGAAAGGGAGCTTATCGGGAGGAACTGGTTCATGTTTCCGGCTTTCAAATGTTTTTGTTTTCTTCTTTGGGCGACGAAAGAAGTCGAAATTGTTTAATGGAATTCACAGAAACCAGCTTGAGTTTTGGTAAACTTCTTTTGAGAAATGTGACTCAAAGTATAATCTAGTTTCTGCAGATCTTTGGTAGATCATTTTAGATTCAAAAATAAGAAAACACCTCCAATCAACACCCTTTCAAAACGCTATTCTCCATCGAAAGTAACTGTCGAATAATCAGGTCCCGGCAATTGAAAATTAAGGCTATATGCTATATGCGAAACTTAATTTCTTTGCAATTATCCGCATGCGAGATTCTTGGGACTCGAAGATCTCTGTATCCGAGGTCTCTCATTATGGAGACCGCTTGAGCGTGCGATTGAAAACGCTTTCGCTTCCCACCAAAAAAAAAAAACAACTAAAAAATAAATAAAAATTTGTACAAAAAACCAGGCGAAGCAAACAAAGTTTCGAGCAATAATCGTGTGTGCTTTTTTTTTTCATTCGCTCCTTCAGTCAATAAACAAATCATTTGATTTCAATCGGTTTCAGGTTTCTGCGCCCATTTACGCTTCTATTATTACTCTTTTTTTTTCATTATCACTTTTTTTCCACGAATGTGGCGACTTCCGTGTCGCTTAGAGTCTGCCATAAAATATAATATAATGGGGCTTCTTTGGGGGCTGTAATTGCGATCTGGCTATCTGGCAAACTGACAAACTGACAAACTGGCTAACTGGCAATCTGTGTGGGCCAAAGTACGCATACGAGTGTCAAGAATGTGATGTGGAATTGAAATACCTCAGTGATCTTCTCGTCAATGTCGTGCTCCCACGACCTTTTTTTGTGTTTTGTTTTTTGACAAATCGAGAAACCAGAAACAGTCACAGAAATAGAGAAAACCAGTTGCCTGGCGGTTGAAATTGATGGCTGTGCATCGGATTTGTTGCAAACTGTTGTTTGCCTCTTCTATCTTGTATTGTCTTAGGTGCAGTGCGTTATAAATTATTCATTAATGGCTGCACTGGGAGAAATAAGACCAAGTATTAATTTACTTCGGACTTTAGTTCAGGGAGACGTGGTTATCTTCATCTACACAAAACCATTAATTTTTCTGTTCAAAAATCAAAACTACAACCTTTTTTGAAAGTAATGATGAGCTCTTAAGTTGAATATATCTTATATATTACCCCAAATACCTGCATTATCCGTCGGCAAGAAATACCTAGCTGATGACGAAGTTTTTGTGATACTTTTGGCCCGTGTGGGAGGTGGAAAATCCGAAAACCCAACCACACCCCGGGGTCCAAATCCAGCTAAAAATGCCGCCGGTGGGCAGAATTTGTTCGGCCTTGACTCGATCGCATTTTGCCAGAGGCACTTTTCTTCACGAGAGGGGGCGTGGGGCGGTTGTAACAAGGGGGTGGTGGAACTTGGAGCACAGCTGCTGGCATCCTGCTCTCAAGAACCGATCCAGTTTGCAACTCACTGGGGGGCTTTATCTGGTTTTATCCCAGCGGCACCCCACCACAGCCCGCCTTACACATGTTGCCCGATTGGCTAATCACCGACATCCGTCCTCGTCGTCGTCGCCGTCGTCGTTATAGTTGTTGGTACAAAATGAGGAGGGGTTTATAAGGTGGAGAGGTGGAGAGGGGTCTGATCTGCACTGGTAGGCCCCCAAACTAGTTTCGCATGTGCTCGTGGCCCGGGTGTCATAAAAATATTTGTGCCTCGCCAGCTTACCAACTTACCAACTTACCAGCTTGCCAACTTTGCCAACTGTCCAACTGAGCCACTGAGCTCTCTGGAAACTGAGGCAACCGCCAAACCACTAAGCCACTGAACCACCAAAACGACTAAAACCAATAAACCACCAGCCGATTGCCAAGTGGCTGCAGTTGCCAGTTCGCAAGTGTTTCCGATCGATTGGAATTTCTTCATATATATACAAAGATATATATATATGCCTTATCTGGTCTTAAATAGATTAATAAACTATTATTAAGGTATCATTTTGATCATTATGATTAACCGAAAGAGATCTTCAAGATGTTTAAAATCAACATTTAAATGCAAACTAAAATGTAGCCCAAAATACTAGCGTATGCTAGCCAAGCATAACCAGTGGGACATCTTAAAATGTAATCCCTGTTTTTCTTAGTCGCTCGTTTAGAAATGAGTGGTAAATAATGGTTTAGTGTCTCATTCAAGAGGATTATCTTATCAGCGACAAATTACAACTTTTTGACAGACTCTTTCGTGAGACTTTCTTTCATATGTCCGATGATGGGTAATTTCCTTGAAGAAAGTTTTATGCTGAACTGAAGATGAAATCGCATTGATTTGGGTCACCAATGAAATGAAATGCATTGTATTATCGATCTCTGATATAAGACCACTTCAGGGTATGATTTCTTTGATCACGGTACGCTGCTTGTCATACGAAATTGTTTAGATAATTTAGCAAATTGTTTTCCAACGATCACTGATCAACCTTGAAGCACTTTTCGCATTACAGTTTTGCAAGTCGCAATCGATATGATGCCATGCGTAACCCTTTAACCACATGGATATATATATATATATACATTGAGATATAGTATGCCGTATTAATCCAGCTAACCAACCGATAATTCGAATCGCTCTCGTTTTCCACCTCCTCCGCCGGCTGATTATACAGATTTCTTCACATTTCTCGGCAGTATCTCTCTTTGGTTTTCGTTCACAGACGAATGCATTTCTAATCCAGCTCACCGGCCCCTTCCTGATTGAATGCTGGACAATTTGTTAGATCTTCATACATATATCTATATATATAGCTGTCTGAATTACAAGTCTGGGGGCCCTTAATTGCCCAAGACTTTCATAAGAAAGTTACAAAATTAATCCGCTGAAGAGGCGCTAATAAAGAGGGGTCTTTTTTTGGGGCGAGCCAAGCGAAAAGGTTTCTCAAGAGTGGATAGAGTGGATAGGTTGGCTAGGTTGGCTAGGTTGGATAGCTGAATGGGAGAAGAAAATGGAAATGGTAATAGAAATGGAAATGGAAGGTGGAACGCCCTAACCAGTTCACGGTGCCCTAACCATCGTCTCCAGACAAAAGTTACGCAAGCGAAAATCATTTTCCAGCCAGCCGCCAATTTACATAAGCTTCCAATTCGAGATATATATATATACATATTTATCTACTATACAGATACACCTAAGAAAATGATCAACAAAAAACTGAAAACTGTTTTCAATATAAGCTGGGCGATGAACCCCCTTCAGCTGCCCCTCAAGTTTTTTATATTTTTGGTATTTCCCATTGTTGTTTAAGTACCGGACATACCGTAAAGTAAAACACGTTTTTCGACTCGAATTCCCCCCCTTTGGCATTTCTTTTCCACTCATGAAAATGCATGACTGTAATGGTGAAAAACTCGTCTCGTCTCGTCTCTGTGCGATTTCCCTCGCCAGTTGGTGGAAGGTGGAAAAGCCAACGATCATCCGCATAAACCGAAATCGTAGAATTTCTGGCAAACTGCCAAAACGTGAGGAACGTGATATCACTCGGAATAGTTGGATTTCACTTGGATTTCATGCAGAGAAATTGATAGAGGATGATGGTAGTGATGAGGGGGAAGGGGGATCAGGAATCGAAATACTAGACAGCACTACGTGGAGTTCTATATTGTGAAAAACACGATTCCAGATGGAATGAAAAGCGAAGAATGGTGATTTAATCAAATGCGTCATATTTTAATGCATTTTAAGATCACCTTTTTGGGTTGGAGGCTAAAATAAAGATGACTTTGAGTAATGGGTGCCAGGTGATTAATGCGAGAGTATATAATAAAGTTTATTTATAGGTATAGGTCATTCATATGATTATGTTTACATGTTCTGCAGTTCAATATCTCTCATGATCTATAAACCCATTTTATAAGACATTTCTGTTAAGTTACCAAATCTGAGATGATACTACCACCAAATATAGATTGCTTATACTTTTTCTCATCTTTTGAAGATAATATTTACTTACAATAAAGATCTCTTAATTATCAGATTAGCACACCTCACCCAAAACCCATTAGGCTCAAGGTCTCAACATTAACTGAGTTACCAAACACTTTTAAGCGAGATGCGACCCTTGGGGACAATCATCAGTTAGAGATCGCTAAAGCCAGGCTGCCCTTACAGCCAAGAAACGCACTGTATTATGCATTATGCACACTTGGGCCCAACGAACCTTGGGCCGTAAACTCGCTCTCGAGAATTGCTCAATTCAGCAGCAAAAATAAAAACAAAAAGCAAAACAATGAAAAACCGCGGAACGTGTTCAAAATGCCACTTGATCTGATACAAGGGCTATATAGCATATAACCACATAACCATATACCATCCCACACTATCCGAACATCCGTATATCGTTAAGATGACCGGATGATGATGATGATCGACATCGGTTCAATGCTGACTCTGTCTGTCTGTATTTCTCACTGGGACTGTGATTGCGATTGCTATTGTGATTGGGATTGAAGTCTGAGGCGAGGTAGTTGAACAAATTATCAAGATACGCCCACGAGGGGCGGAAACGGGTTTATAAATGAGTAAATTGTTATATATTTTGAAAATCTGATGAACAGCGGGGCAGGGCTGGGCTGTGTTTGAATTTCAATTGAATAACAATTGACGATGAGCTTGAATTTTTGGCATTTACTCTAGGCAGGCGTTAATCCCTTGAGAAGGTTAAACTCAAGTGCGAAGATGTATGTTATCTTATCAAACAGAACTTATGTCTAAGTAAGCTTAAATAAATACTGATTATATATAAATATAAATATATAAATATATATAAATATGCTTGTATCTAATAAATACCTGTTTTCCAAATAAATTTCAGTCCTTTGCCTCCAAGCATTCGGATGCGGAGTCCCTGTTGCACAACATGAATGTCAAGTACTATTACTACACGAGGACACGAGGTTTGTTCAGGATTTGCTATCCCAAGGAGCGACCACCGGCATCAGCGGGTAAGTAGTAATGCAACCTTTTGAATATAAATGATAATTAATCCATGATTTATCCTATTACAGTGCCCACCTACCTGTCACCGATCGAGACACACTGCTCGAACATCGACTACTTCCCACAGGCGGAGGATGAGAAGATCGCCAACGAGGATGCCACCTCGCGTCTCCATTTGGCCCGATCCTGCATTGCCCTGTTCATCATCAGCTTCGTGACCATATTCTGTGCTTTCTGGACCGGTCTCTCTGGCTGCTGGAAACGTTCTTCAGGAGCCATTACAGCCACCTCGATCCTGCTGCTAGTCACTTGTCTTTTGGCCGCCGGCGCTATGGGACTCTGGCACACCGTTGAGTTCTTTGAAAAGGAGAAGGTTGTCGGCGAGGATTACTTCCAGCAATGGAACACGGTATGTATATATGGTATTATATATATTTACCAAATTTTTAACCCTTTGAGTGTATTTATAGGTCCTGCGCGACAACACGAAGATTGCTTATGACTGGTCGTACATCGTAGCCTGGGCAGGAATCGGAACCTGTCTCCTGGCGGCCATCCTGCTCTCCGGAGCGGCTGTTTGCCTGCGCAACGAGCGCGAGAAGGAGGAGCAACTGAACCTGCAGTACCTGATGCCAGGTAAGACTATTCATTCGATCGCCTGAAAATATATAAAGTTACTAATTATTATTATTTCCAATTCCAGTTTACTCGCAGAAGCAGCCACCTTATCCGCCGTACGCCAACTATGCCCAGCCTCAGATCTACCCAGGACCCTATTATCATGGCTCGCAGTATGGCCCGTACAACTACTAGGGATTGTCGAAGGCAACCGTCATGGAAAACCAGCTTCAATCGAGATACCCTCTTCGAGCAATATCAGCATAGAAATCACAAATGACCAGGGGGGAACCTGGTTATCCAAACAACCCCTCCCCAGTAATCAAAACAAAAAAAAATACTTGGCGATCAAAGGAAGAAGAGCAACCGCTAACGAAATCTTACATACATTCTGACAATGACAATAATATAAAGCATAATTTTTTTTTTTGTGACAAGAATTTAGTTTGTAGTCTATATAGAGCTATATATATAAATATGCTTGTATGTATAACTGATCGTGGGACTTGAGTCAAAGTTGCGTCCAAGTTTTTGGTGCGCGAATTGTTTGCGCGTAGTTTTGCAAATATCTTAAAAAGACGGACGGATGGATGGATAGATAGATGGACGGATGGATGGTTATATATGTTGACCACGAGATGGCGAATAAAAGACGGAACAATAAAGAGTTAATTTATTGTAGCACGTAACGTACATGTAGCGTATCTAAAATAATAATAATAAACAACAAATATGTATGTATCTAAGATAAAAGTTTCATTGTACAATGTATATGAATGTAATAATGCGCGACAAGCTTCAAATTGTCTTCCAAGTATAGTGCATATTGTATGTAGAGCTGTACGTTTAATGAATAAAAGTTTCTTACGTTAATTTGTTGGTTTTTCTCTTTACTCTATTTAAACTTTAGAAAGCAATCAATTTTACTTGAAAATGTATTAAAATTTTACCAAAATATGGGTTACAATTTCTTACCTTTTAAATTCCTTTCCTTTTTTTTCTTACCTTTTTAAATAAGAAATATAGCGAAATCACTGTTGTTGGTAGTTCCGGGTAGTTGGGGTTCCGTTTATTACTAAACGTAGATATTTCACTGGCTTATAAGAAACTCCGTTAGATATCATTATCCGTGAGAATAATAATATAATGTACTATTGGACTTTTTTGGCGGTTTCCCAATTTACAGTTTACAACTGTTGGACAAACGTTGCCAGATACAATTTTCAGGCGCCATATTTATTTAGCGGGTACACGTTCCATTTTATCGCCTGTATCGATAGCTCAAAGGAAACATTAACTGCATCCCTAGTTTAAAGAATCGCCATCTGGTAACACTAAAACATCGGTTTAAATAAATATATATGTACATTTACAATTATTATAAATAACAACACAATGAGCGGCGAAAAGGCCGAAAAGGCCAAAATAAGTGCCCAAATTAAGCATGTACCGAAGGACGCGCAAGTAATCATGTCGATCTTGAAAGAACTCAACATCCAGGAGTACGAGCCACGCGTGGTCAACCAGATGCTGGAGTTCACCTTCCGTAAGAGCCAAAAAATGCCGCGTTTTTCTTGAAATTTTCCTAATATTAATCTCGTTTTAAGGCTACGTTACCTGTATTCTGGATGACGCCAAAGTGTATGCCAACCATGCGCGCAAGAAGACCATCGACATGGACGACGTCCGTCTGGCCACCGAGATGACACTAGACAAAAGTTTCACTGGGCCGCCACCGCGTCATGTTCTGGCCAAGGTTGCAGACGTCCGGAATGGCATGCCCCTACCGCCCATCAAGCCTCACTGTGGTCTCCGCCTGCCGCCAGACCGTTACTGCCTTACGGGGGTCAACTACAAGCTGCGGGCCACCAATCAGCCCAAGAAGATGACCAAGTCTGCAGTAGAGGGGCGTCCACTTAAGACTGTTGTCAAGCCTGTGTCCAGTGCCAATGGCCCTAAGAGAGCCCACTCGGTGGTGGCCAAGCAGCAGGTGGTGACCATTCCCAAGCCCGTAATCAAGTTTACGACGAGCACAACAACGAAAACGGTGACCAGCTCCGGTGGATCGGGTGGAGTCGGTAGTCTGGATGTAAAGAGCGAGCCCAGCACCGCCAGCGCAGACCTTAAGATGGAGGTAGACAGCGATGCTGCAGCAGTTGGCAGCATCGCCAGCGGATCTGTATCGGGAGCGGGAAGTTCCAGCGGGACAGGAGGTTCATCTAGCGTCGGAGTGGCTGTTAAGCGGGAGCGTGAGGAAGAGGAGTTTGAGTTTGTAGCCAACTAGAAACGAACAGATTAATTTTAATTATATTTTCAAAACCACACCTTAACAAGAGCGTTTAGCTGGGACATTTGGGGGGAAAACTCATAATCTGAGAACTCAAATCACATGCAAATCAGAAATAAGATGGAAAAAATGAGTGGCTTACAATCACGCAAAGAAAGATCAGCTTAAAACATTTTTACATTTAATCTCAACGAAAATCATTTGTAAGGGGTAAAAAAAAGAAGGAATTTTAGATTCTTTAACACGAAAAAGATTCACTTTTAAATATTAAGAGATAAGAGTTTCTATGTTAGAAATACAACTATAAGCTGTTCAAACTAAATATTAAATATATTTTAGACTTCAGTCGCAAAAAAAAATATGAATGTGTTTCGAATGGATGGTGGATATTTATTTTAGGGCTAAGATGATGCAGCAACCAAGGTCCATGATTTGTAGGTACTCAGATCCACCGTCCTGCAGGCGAAAGCAACATTCCTGAAATATAAGTAAAACCATTTAAGAAGGGAGAACAGAAAAGAGCACATACATCGATAACTTACACCCAACTTATCGCAGATCTTGGCCTTTTGCGGATCATTCAGCCCCGGATGGTGGACGATGAACTCAACGAATTGCTCCATCATCTGGCCAACGCTGTAGGCCGAAAAGCCGATATCTCGCACGAACTGCTCCAGGCGTTCGTAGTTCCCCGAGCGACAAACCTCAAGATAATCCTCCAGATAGTATTCCGGAATAACGCCTGACATCTCGAACAGATCGGCAGTGTTGATAATGTGTTCTGGGCCCTTCAAGCGGTAGCAAGACTGCATGGTGGTAATAGCCCGGCGCAGATCTCCGCCAGAAATCTTTACAATGGACTTGTAAGCATCCTCTTCTATCTTCACGCCCTCCATCTCGCAGATGTGTTTCAGGCGTTCAATAACCTTATCGTCGCCCAGCGCCTTAAAGCGGAATTTGGAACAACGCGAAGTAATGGGCACAATGATCCTGGAGACATAATTACAGATCAGGCAGAAGCGGGTGCTCCGGCTTTCCTTCTCCATTGTGCGCCGCAATGCAGATTGTGCGGCATGGGTCATCGAGTCGGCCTCATCCAGAATGATGATCTTGAATGGCGGACACGGCCTTCCATCTGGACGCACACTGCTGGCTGATAGCTGCGAAAAGTTCTTAATCTTTGTGCGCACCACATTAATGCCACGTTCGTCGGAGGCGTTTAACTCTAGGATGCGGTCCTTAAACATGTCTCCAAAGATCTGCCGGCCGGCAGCCAGAATCGTACTGGTTTTTCCTGTGCCGGGAGGTCCATAAAGCAGCATATTGGGCAGGTCTCCGCCCTCGACACACTTCCGCAGCACGGCCACCACCTCGGACTGCTCCACCACATCCTCTACGTTGCGTGGACGGCTAAAGTTGTCGGGTTTTAGGTATATTAACAACTTTACATAGCATGTGCTTTAGTTTGGCGGCAACAGAAACTTACTATTTCTCCACCCAAGGAGCTGGCGGTTTGCGACGCGTAGCTGGAGTTCCCTGGCTCTTCTCTCCTGATCCCGTCGTCGCTTTTCCCGTTTTCAAAAAGGCCTGCATTCCGGAATACACGTATATCAACCAAATAGTAAATAAAAGTCGCCACAAAATGCAAAACTTTGCCGCGCTTCTATCGATAATCGATAGAAAATTGCAAGGTTGCCGGCTGCAGAGTTGCCAGGCACAGAGCTGCTATTATACACTCACAAAAAATATATTAGTTGGACATTGGTTGTTATGGAAACGAAAGAATTATGTACATGTTTTAAACAAGATTTCTCTCCGTGCAGGCAAAATCGTCTACCTGGCAACCCTGCCATGCATCGCTTTTGTTTTTTGTTTTTTACTGTGCTGATAACTACAGGTTTTATACAATAGTCCCCCAATATCTGGCAGGATATAAATAGAGCGGCTTTCGCAGGCGGGGTGGACAAACATGATTAGCCGCCCAGCGCGTGCCATCAAGTGTTTTATAAGAGCGCGATTTTGATTTGCCATTGCCATTGTTATTGTTATTTCGCCTCTGCCCACAAACGCAGAAGAAAAGCTAATAAAAAAACAAACGTTGCCAAAACGTTGTTGTTATGTAAATGCACGGAAGCAGAACATTGGACACGGACACAAAGGCACCATCCTCACCCGGAATCCACCATAATCCGTGCGCTCTCCATTGGGATACAAAGCGAAAGGTCGGAGCACCCGCGATCATCACGCGATTGTGTGAAAGTTTCACCTGCCCAGAGTTTGTTTAGCGCTTGTTTACCTTTTCAATTACGGAGTTATTGAGCTACCCCCTCTCTGAATTGCAGATACCCCTGGCTTGGAAATGGCCGCCAAAACGGATGACTCCTCGCCAGCAGTGGCCCCTGGCAGCAGTAGTAGTCCTGCGCCGTCCAGTGGACGCCACCAGCTGCGACCTGTAAAGTTCGACTACGCGGACTCTTTTGCCTGCACCTACATCGTATCCGTGGTGGCCGCATCAATTGCTGAGCTCGCCACGTATCCCTTGGATTTGACCAAGACGCGTTTGCAGATCCAGGGCGAAGGAACGGCTCAATCCGTGGGAAAGTCTAGTGTAAGTGGCATTTAATTACCCGCTTCCCGCTTGTTCGTGTCGTCTCCGGCTTTTGGTTACTCCTAATCCTGAACCTAATCCCACCTATAGTCACATATCCATCAGCTCACAAACTAAATCAAACATGGAACTGCCCCTCTGATTTATCTCCTCCAATAGCGCTAGCGATAAGAGCGCCAAAATATTGAATGTACATATTTCCGAGCGCGAGATATGACAAATCGGAGTGGGCACGGCCATGCTGATAAGACCTGGCATGCAAGACACTTTTGCGAGGTGTATCGGTATCAGTCACAGCTTCTGCCCAGATCAGATCCATCTCCCCACCCTGGCTTGCGCATTCATCCATCATATCCGTAGTCGTAATCGTATATACCCATCCTGGTTTCCCATTTGCGTGTGGATTGATTTCAATGCAATTGTATTCCGTGCGGTTGTTAGTGGAAGTATTGATTGAAGCACAGCCTTTAGATAAGCTATGTTTATTACTAAAAGAAAATTTGATAACGATAATAACAATAAGTAGTGTGTATGCACTTATTCTAATCGTATTAAAAGAATGCTAACAACAAAATTTAAAAGATAAAACACTTGAGAGAGCATATTCTAGAATTTTTAAAAGAACAAACAACACATTTTTCGTAACGTTAACGATTGAATAACCTATAGATTTTTTTTGTTAGACAACACAAAACACTAAAGCAATATCGTACATTATGATGAGTACATTTGTATTCTGATACAAGTTTCTATAATTAAATCAGAATTTAATTTAAAGTTTAGTTGAAAACACAAAAAAGTTACTGTTTTTGGGTCCTTGCTATGGATTAGAGATTATAATTACCATATAGGGTAGGTTTCCCGAGACCCATCCCCATTGTCCACCTTTTCCCTGTTTGTGTGTGCCTGTTCCATGTGAATCTTGTGTTTTTTCGGCCTGCAACAGATACAGATACTACAATGAACCTCCCACAATTACCGATTCCCAACGATTACCATTACCAGATGCAATACCGCGGCATGGTGGCCACCGCCTTCGGGATTGCGCGCGAGGAGGGCGCCCTGAAGCTGTGGCAGGGCGTAACGCCAGCGCTCTACCGACACGTCGTCTATAGGTGGGCATTCCCAAAACTCCTCATTCTAGCATCTTGATCATCGCCACAGCCAATCTGCCAGCAGCTGTTAGCCATCAGCTATCAACGCCAGTTACAGTCACTCAGATAGTTCTAACCCGAGTTCTCCCTGTCCATGTCCATCCGCAGCGGCGTGAGGATCTGCAGCTATGACCTAATGCGCAAGGAGTTCACCCAGAACGGCACACAGGCGCTGCCTGTATGGAAATCGGCACTGTGTGGTGTTACTGCTGGAGCCGTAGCCCAGTGGTTAGCATCGCCCGCTGACCTGGTCAAAGTGCAAATCCAAATGGAAGGCAGGAGGCGACTTATGGGTGAGCCACCAAGAGTCCACTCTGCTGGTCACGCCTTCCGAGAGATCGTACACCGGGGCGGTGTGAAGGGCCTGTGGAAGGGCAGCGTCCCGAATGTGCAGCGAGCGGCGCTTGTCAACCTTGGCGACTTAACAACATATGACACTATCAAGCACTTGATCATGGACCGCCTGCAGATGCCCGACTGCCACACAGTCCACGTACTGGCCTCTGTTTGTGCGGGTTTCGTGGCAGCGATCATGGGCACGCCAGCTGATGTTGTAAAGACGCGCATCATGAACCAGCCCACCGACGAGAAGGGGCGGTAAGTGACTGACTAGCACACTTAACCACTAGAAGGCTTAATCATCTCTTCCTAAAGGGGCCTGCTGTATCGCGGATCCGTGGACTGCTTGCGTCAGACAGTGGCCAAGGAGGGATTTGTGGCGCTGTACAAGGGCTTCCTGCCCTGCTGGATACGAATGGCACCGTGGTCGCTAACATTCTGGCTGTCTTTTGAACAAATCCGTAAGATGATCGGCGCCTCTGGCTACTGAGCGGCGGCTCAATCTATGTTTAGGTGTAGATGTACATACAAGCAGATGTATAATGCAGTTCGTTCATATTGCCCCGCCTCAAAGTCGGTCTTAATCTTTTTTGCCGTGCCTGAATATCTTAATGCCTGGATGTTGTGCGGCTTCTGGCAAAGCTTAGCATATACTCTGTCCATTTTTAGTGTGTTATGCCAGAGGGTTTTTCCCACTTAGATCTTTCGGGTTTCTTTCTCCTACTTTTTGTTATTGTTGTTGCCTTAAGAAAATCAAAAAACCTTACAATAAAGCAAGAAACTTGTTATTTCAAACAGTGGTTACTTTTTTAAGAGCCTAGTGAAAAGGAAAGAGATAGCAATGTTGGTACTCTTTTCAAAAAAACAATATAATCCTGTAAAATAAATTACTAATAAGTGAGATCCCACTGTGAAAATGAAAAAGATTTTGATTACTTTATCAATAGACTTTTTTGGTATATATGTATATATTCCTAACCAGCTCCAGTGCAAATAAGTTAAATCAAGAAAATAAAATTGGTAATAATACCTAGGAGACATACACACAGGCACACATATGTACATAAATACATAGCTATGTATAATATATATAGATATAGATACATATATCCAAAATTGCATTTACGTTTCGATTAAAGACTGAACAATGGAAAAATTGGGTGCCCAAAAGCAAAACACACACAGAACGGAACACCCGGAAACAGGTTGTTGGATGGCAACGGCCTCTGGATGGCTTCGTCTATAGCTCAGTCATCCGTGTTCGTCATCATCATTCAGAAGTTCTGGAGGGGAGCGGGGGAATGAATGGCGACGGTGCTAGTGGTGCGAGTGTCTCGCCCCCTTCCAATTGATCTATCGTTGTTGAACTCGTCGCGTTTTCTGTGTGGCTACATGTGCAGGACTTAATCCAAAGTGTGTGTGCTTGACTAGACGCCGGAAAAGCTAGTACCGGAAGCAGGACCTACTCCAGTCCCAGCATCCAGTTGATGCCTTGTACTATGAAGAATATGAGCGGTTGCCAGGCTACAAGCCAGCGAATCCAGTCCAGCAGTCGTCCGTACAAAACATGCGGTTTCTCCCAACTGCCGGAAAATCAATGGATATAAGAAATGGAATCACAGAGCTTTTTGAATATGTCTTACGGATTACGGAACATCTTCTGGAGATCGACCTTCTCCTTGCAATACGGACATGTCTGCTTCTTGCCAACAATGCACCATCCGCGTATGCAGAACTCGTGGAAAACATGGTTGCAAGACAGCTTGTATGTGTTCTCGATGACGCCCTCTTCTTTTTCAGAGACCAGCAACTGATTGCCGCAAACGGCACACACGTTCTGATCCAGATGACGGGTGGGAATGCCCTGAGGTGCGTAGTACTGCGGGACGAAGTGCGGTTGAGTATGTTTAAGATGAGAACAAAACCAATGTTAAACTCACGCCAATAGCTGCCGCCATCTTATCCGAACATATCTCCGATATATCTCGCCCCAGCACACCGATGTACAGACCGTAAAAACAAAACATCAGGCCCACATCCATCCAGGTGTTTGGAGGCTGCGAGAAGAGGTAGTTCATGCCTAGAAAGGCGGCCATAATCACCAGGTAGCCCACTAGACCAAGGCCATAGCTGAGCTTGTAAATGAAATAAAACCACTTGTAAACCAGCCTGAAAACGGATTAGATTGGCTATCACTTCACTTTTCGGGTCAGTTCTTATCTAAAGTGACTCACCTGGGTGTTGTTCCTTGGATGGGCTTACTGATTGCCCGTCGCATAACCAGGGCCGTAACGCAGGTGAAGACCAGCCAGATAAAGATGAAGCGTAGCCAGCCGAAGCTGCATGAGATGATTAGCGGGATAAGCCACATGGCCAGAAGGGTAACAAAGGCATACGAGCTGTAGTGCCGCTTCTTCCACTCGACCAGAATAATCTGGGCAACGACCAGGGTGACGAACAGAATGATCATCATCTCAGAGTGCATGGCGTCGTGGCCGCGGTGCTTCTCTACCATCAGCTGATGCTCGGCTCTGTGAGATTCCATAATAATTAGCGTCGAATATGAGGGGGTATCACTGCTCAACTCACCGCATGCGCTCCTCCGGCGTCATCTCGTCCAGGGACTGCAGAATATTCAATTCACCACACGATCACATGGAGTAGAGCACATCGACAGTAAATATGGCTTCTGGGACAGTTACTCAGAAAAAAACTCACCTTGTTAAGGTCCACTGGCGCGTGCAGGTCCATGTGCTGCTGGTGCATTTTGTTGCCGTTGTATCCGCCGAATCCTGCAGCCGACAATCCGCCGGTCAATCCCACACGTCGTCTGCGTCGGTGCGTTATCTTGCCACCACGTATTGCGATCGGGTTTTACCTCTAAATTTCTTGAAACGAAAACAAATAATTACATGTTGTATTTGTGTGCGTGTACAGCTGCCGCAGCGTTGCCATTTGTCACAGCGGCCGAGAAAATAAATATGTGACGTGTGACTTACCTTACAAAGCAAAAGCAAAAGCAGGCCAAAATCCAAAACCAGCTAACTGTACTGGGGGTTTCCCCCTCTTTGTATTTATTTAATACTAACCTTGACTTAATGAGGCAACGACGGCATTTTCTGATAACCGAAACATTCGAGGCCGGCGTTGCCAGAACTTCAATCAGCTGTTGGAAAAGCTTTTAGTCGATATTCGATATGTCCACTTATCTATAGGTCGGACAGCACAAACAAATAATAATATTGATATCGAGAATCGATAAATCTAAAACGAAAACATCTTTTGTAATTAAATTAAATCAAATAAAATTTTAGTGAAGTTAACCATGGAGGTGGAGCATTGGGGCTCGCTGCCAACAGAGGACGATGGTGTACAAATGACGCCGGACAAATATGTGCCTTCGGCGGCCAAGAAACCTAAACTGGACGAAATTCGCCTGCGCGGGGATCCGGAGCCGGATGAAGAGCAGTATATACAGTAAACTAGAAAAATTATACGGCACTCTGACTTACATTTGTAATTTATGTAGACACACGGTCGAACTTAAAAGCGCTTTGGTGACCCAGACCATTGAGGTGATGAAACAAACGGAGGTCCTGCAGTCCCTCATCGAAACATACTCCAACAAAAATGTAAGCACCAGAAAGAGTACCCTCTCAAAATTATAAGAAATAAATAGTATAATTAATAAAATTGTCAAAATTAGGGAAGTTCAAACTACCTGCTAAATCCCTGCCTTATGATACCGGAGGTGGACTTTCCACCAGAGAACGCCGCCGAGTTGGTGGGCAGCCAGAAGTTCCAAAAACCCATCTGGTTCACGCCTACCGTGGATACAGCTTACTCCCGCGGAGATCCACAATCATATCCGGAAATCTCCAGCAGTGCCTGCCGACAAGCGTTGCGCAAGGTGATGTGCGGCATGTTGCGTCTGGCCGGATTCACCGACTGTTCTGAGTCCGCAGTGCAGTTGCTGACAGATGCCACCGAGGAGTTCCTACGCAGCTTTATTGGCGAATATCGTGGCTACTACGACACTCAGCCGCGGCTGCAGAAATCGACAGTGCTTCAACTAGTTCCACTGGAACGTGCTCATGCTGCGCTCACGGGTACTTCACTCACCCAAGTGCACAACTACTACAAGCACAAGGTGTTGGCCAGAAATCGCGTGGAGATCGGAGAGTTTAACAGCGTACTACAGGAGTATGACAAGCTGATGAAGGAAAGTCAAAGCAGTATGCAGAAGCAGAACAACGAGTTCAATGGACACGACTTCCTTAACATCTTGGACAACAGCGCCACCGGCAGCAGCCAGAGCATAGGCGGGAATATGGCTATGGGCGATATGCTGCAGGATCTTGGCGGTAGTACGGGTTCCAGTGGCACTGTTAGCTCCCAGCAGATGTTGTACGGCCTGCTTGATGGCCAAATATCCTCAAATACCTCAAATATGACGGGAACAAGTGGAAATGGCAGCGCAAGTGGTGGCAATGGCAATGGGGTCACGGTCACCAATTTTCACTCCACGTTTGAGTCATGATTCAGTAAGGATCTCCTCAACTTTTGTACCATACAAAAAAACCATTTCTTAAATAACATAAACTCTATGGATTGGATTTGTACCTTAACAGCCTTCAGACTCTAATTGAGTGTTGAATATTATCCGAAATCGGAATTACCAATTCTAAGTGAAGTCTCAAATGGTATGGATCGAAACGGGAGCGAATATCTTAAAAGAAGATATCCAAAGTAATCAAATCTAGATTTTTTATATTTTGACTAGGATCTCCAGTTTTAAGTTTGTAAGGTAAAAAATAAAAAAAATTTAAAGTGTATAACCTATAAAACTTAATAAAATAACTTTATATTTTATTTATTCCTTTTCTTTTCGCTGATCTTTGATTCGTTCCAATTATTTTGCCTTCTGCGCTTGGTAAACTCGTTTGTGGGCTCAATGGCCACTAACTTGGATGCCTTTGGATCGCTGGCTCTGTACTGCAAGATTTTGTCCTTTCGCGGTTTCTTCTGAGTCCAGGCAATCATGTCCTTGCCCTCAAGTATAGATTCACCGGTGACTACTACAGAGTTAAGATCTTCTGGACAGGATTGATCTTCTTTGGGGATCCGTCTTTTAATGATTGGTTTATTTTTAGGGCCCGGAGGACCTTCTTCCACCAAATCGGCGATTAAATAGCAATCAGCATTGGATACCAACTTTACTTTGTCAACTGAAGGCTTCTGTTTTTTCACGCTTTTGGTTTCTTCTTCAATAAACTCGATCTGCTCTTGAATTATGCCACTGAGCCTGCTCCAAATGTGTGCTTGCATCTCTTTTGTGATTTGCAGATCGCTGATGGGAGCGTCCTGCTCCTCCACGTAGCGTTCGCTTTTGGGTGTTGTTTTTTCCTGTTTCCTGGTGGTCACCGGCTGCTCTATTTCAGCTACTTTTTCTGTTTTTGCTTTCGGCTGCTCCTGAAACATGTCATTTGTTAGCAGGGTGCTGTCTGTCGCCTCCAGGAACTGACGCATCTGGGCGTCATCCTCCGAATCGGAGTCATCGGTTGTTGGTCCTCCTGCCATATTTTTGTAGTCTATTTGTTTACATTTGACACGTGCGTATAACATGCATGTATGTATGTGTGTAATGGGGCCCTAATAGTCTTATCGATAACAATAAGCAATCGGATTCGCTGGACTTTAAAATTTAATTTTCATGACAAGGTTATCTATTTTCCCTTAAAAAAATTGTATAATAAATGATTACTGCTTTGAATGTATGAATTCAAAATCCTATATTTTCTTTAAAGCAACCAACGGCCGCCAAAATTCCAGTATACCGGTTTTACCCGCTTAAAATCAATCCTTTTTAAATGCCAGCTTAAAGGTAACGCTTTTATTGCTCATATGTGAGGTAACACTGTCTTTATTAGGCCACCGAACTGCACAATCCACAGTTACTCACCGGGCACATCTTCATCTCGACATCCTCCCCCACCCGCACCACTGCAGCCATGCCGTTCTCCGAGTGCGGCGAGATATGACAGTGAAACATCCAGTATCCCGGACTATTGGAGTAGAATCTAAGGATCGTATAGCCGAAGGCAGGCACTTGTACCGAGTCCTTAAGTGGAGCACCTTTACCGCGCCTCGACAACGGCGTCTTCTTGTCGATCTGCTCGATCTGACCAATCTTCTGCTCACCCAGCACACCCATTCCGACCACCCGGAAAGTGTAGCCATGCAAGTGAATCGGATGCGGAGTCTGCGACAGACTGGAGATGACAAACTCTACATGCTGATTGGCCGGCACTTGGATTACATTCGAGCACTGACAATGGCGCTGCCGGCAATTAAAGCCCAGATCTGCCTGCTGGGACCGATTGCAGAAGAATTGGCCAACGCCCAGATTACGTGTCTGCAGCAGCGACATCTTAGGCATGGTGAAGCTGATGTCGTCCATCTGGAAACGGAATCCCTCACCCTGTCGCACTTCAAAGGCGTTCATGCTGGTGTAGAACGTAACTGATGGCGGCACTTCCGGTTCCGGTCGCTGAGCATTGAGAGAAGCCAGAGATATACTGCTACTACTGCTGCTTGTCACGTCGCCCAGCTCATTAAGGGTCTTCCCTGGGGCATCATAGGCATAGCTTAGAGTGTGGGTGTCCAGAGTACGTGAATCCGCATCCCTGTAATGCAATACCGCCTCCTGGTGCAATTGGTTCTTGGCGCAAAAGCTATAGCCCTTTACGCGGATCCAGTAGTTAGCCACCTCCTGATTGGCGTGCAGCACAAAATCAAAGCGCTCAGCGCCGTGGAACATAATGCGCTGCACCTCTACAGGCTCAATGTCGTTGCCATCGCTGGAAATCACCACCAGGTCGTGGTTGTCGATGCTGAGGCTAATCGGGCAGTTGGAGACGCCTGCGCAAGTACAAAGGGTGATTTAACAAATTAAATAATATAAACTTTTATTTTTTATAAAACTCTTATTCACTTCTACCATAATAATAATGGCTCACCATTGAAAATCACACGGAATCGGTAACGTCCTCCCCTGACCACCGGAAAGTGGGCATATAGCGTTGGTTTGACGGCCTTGACGCCCTTCTTGAGGTTCCTGCCTCGCCCATTGATTAGGATATTTTCGGCGACGCTTTCCACAAAGTTATGAACCCAGTCCTGGATCATTATAACATGCTCCGACATATCGAAGTCGTAGAGATGGGCGTGAGGATTCAGTTTAGGTGGCATTCGCACAACCAACGGACCTGCCAGCCCAAAGGCGCGCTGGTGCTCCGTGTGGCTGTGCCACCAATTTGTGCCACCGTGATCCACCTCAAAGCGATACCGGAAGGCCTGACCGGCCTCGATCGGATATTGCGTAACATGAGGCACCCCATCCATGAACGGGGTCGATCGCTGATGCATCCCGTGCCAGTGGATCGTCGTCGTTTCATGCATGCTATTAATCACGTCCGCCACCACAGTATCGCCATAGCACACCTCGATGCTCATACCGGGCAGCTGTCCATTCACCACCATCACCTCGCTCTCCAGTCCATCGGCGTACTTGCAATCATCGTTCGCCGCCAACTGATCAGCCAGCTTTATGCCATCAATGTACTCCTTCCCATTCAGCTTGAAGCGGAATTTAGACTGCAAACATAAGGAATAATGATAGTAATCGTATTGTTTACCAATTCGAGTAAATACAAGTAAAGGAAAAAAGTACCTCAATTCGAGATTTCTTAAGAATATCATCATGAATCAAATGGACAAATAACTCCTTATTCGCAAGACACTTACCATTAGCAATGTAATAATGTTATTTATCATAAAACTACTTATTAGTTATATAATTTTTTTCCATTGCTATTATTTTAAGGGCTAACTATAGTTTTTTATAGTGCTAATCATTTAGGCCTTTGGGTTAGTAGTTGATGTCATAAGTAATGGTTAGTTAGGAAGGTCTTTGAACTCACCTGAAGGTATCGCTTGCAGGTCTCTGCCATCGTATCATCGTAGTGCACTACCATGTAGTAGTAGCAGGTCATCGGTTGGTTATCAACGCAATCGCGCTTGCAAGGATGCCGCGTATTATCCTTTTCGGCCGCCCGCCACTGCGAGGACTCGCCTGCGCCTGAGGACAACTGTGGATACATCTGCATTATCCGCTCATACTTGCTTACGATCCGCTTCCCACTGGCATCTATCGGTTTTATTTATTAATAATTAATAAGGAAACCTTTTCTAATACGTAAAAGACATTTTTGTTCAGTTAATTTGCCTTCAAATGTTCTCCTCAGCTTTTATATTAAGCCACTTAAAAAATATTTGAAAACCATTTAAAAAGCTCCGAGTATGTTCTTATTTGAAGGGGTATATTTTTAATATTTATCCGATTAATAACTTAGGTAATTGAATAGTTTTTTCATATTTTTTTCACTTAAGCACCTTGAATGCCATATATTTGCACGCTTATGAGGCACAAAGTGAAGACCAGTGTCTGCACCAAATTGAATTTCATGCTCGCATCCAATTGAATCAAAAAACAGAAGCACTATATTTAGAATAAAAAATTTGTATAAAGGAGCCGTGGCTCTGGCTGTGGGCCAAATGGTACTGTCAATGGGTTTCAGACATCGGTTACCTTTTTGTAAGCGACTCCGCCGGGGAATTCTGTAAAAAATTACCCGGAATCGGTTGCTTGTTTGCCGTTGTCTAACAACTCGTTGCACTTAATTGAAGATTGTGCGTCTAACAATTCGCTTGAAGAACAGAAGATGCCGATTACTGACGCAAATACACGAATAATTTACCATGTTATAGTCCCTGCCGTTGGCAAAAATGACATACAGGTGAAATGGCGGTACCATTGGCCTAGTTTTTGCATTTTTGCAAAAATTGTATCAATACGTGAAAGATTTTCTAGCTTGGAAAGCAATTCGTGTCTTTAATTGATCAATGCTTTAGCAGTTTACTTTTATGTTTAAACAAAATGGTTTTGCAAGTAATTCTTATTGACTAATAAACCGTTTTTTTTTTCAAATTAAAATTCAAATAAAACAGTGTTGCACACCGTGTCAATTGGGCAGGGCTGGCAACCGACCAACTGTTAGATTTCAAAACGACTTTGATTTTATGCCAGCTACATTTCATAAATATGCAAAACTTGTTTTTGGGGTGTTTGCCTTACCATCCCATTGGTTATCACTTGCAACCGTTCTTTTGCCCCTCATTTGCACATAGCATTTATCTTGGGTTTTGATAGGGCGATGGAAATGGAAATGGAGTGGGGCGAAAAACAACAAGAGGCAAGAGTTGTCAACGTAGATTACACATATTAATTTCTGTACTGACGCTAATCAGAAGGCGATTGCCCACCAGCAAAGTATATTCCGAATTTTGCCATTGTCATTGGTAACACCATCCCCCCGAAACCCCCTCATTAGCATACTATATAAATGTATTTTGAATTTCGTTTTCATTCGCTTTTATCGCACTGGCAATACTGGTCGTACATATGTGTATATGTTCGTGTGTTGGTGGGTGTTTGTGGGTGGTGGGGGGTATGATTATGCATAAAAACAAACAACAAGTAGCGCTGCAGCAAAACATATAGCGGTAAATGAACGCACACAAGTACGAAAACAAGTTTCAACGCCGCAAAAATCGTACAATTGGCCGCCATGGAGTTCATTAGCCAGTTCATTCGATTGGCGAGCGGACGCGCCACCGGATTCATCCCAATCCTGCAGAGAAATCGGTTTGGAATCAACCAAACACAGTAAGGTTTTCAGTGGCAGCCACAACTGTCTCTGTGTTAGTGGGTGGTGGAGCAGGTGGAGGGGCAGAGTTGCCATTCGCACGCACTTTGATAACGTTGTTTTTTTTTTACTGCCACCTTCATTCATTGGTGAAATTTCACAACTGGCAAAGATCTTTAATCGATCAACAGGCATATAGCACCATGGACACCACAATTCACTCAGCGGGCATTGCCGAGATCCACCAAGTTCCGATGAACGTCATCCAGAGACCCATACCATCCGTTCTGGACGAGAAGAAGGTGCAATCCCTGATGGAGACAATTAAGGTAGGTGCAAATGTACAAGGTGTAGGCCAATAAATGTTTCAAGATAAGGTACGAGTATTTCTTTGTGCAGCTAAAAATAGAAATAAGATTTTGGAAGGTTACGATTAAAAATACAAAGAGCATTCCTAAGATATAGGACCTAGTGTCCTACAAATAATTCATAAGACCTGCTAAAAGGTTCATGACTCTTTAAACAAATTCCAAAATACAGATTTTATAAGTAAACAAAATTCCAAAATAAGTATAAAATGACCATAACTTTGTTTTAATTAGACGTTTTTAAATACTTCTTGCCAATTAAGAGAAAATGTACCCAAAACCGCATACCGGTTACCTGATCTACTAGTTACTCTACCGGTTGCATTTCTCTTTCCACTCCTCAGGGCGAAACAAGCGAGGATGAGGTGCCCCCCATCGACCTGTTGTGGATCTCGGGAAGCGAGGGAGGCGACTATTACTTCAGCTTCGGTGGATGCCACCGGTTCGAGGCATACAAACGACTCCAGAAGGAGACGATCAAGGCGAAACTGGTGCGGTCAACTTTGGGGGACCTGTATCACTACATGGGATCCAGTGCACCTAAATATTTGGCCTGATCTTTATACTAAATTCATAGCTGTTCTGTTTTCAAGAGCAAAAACCTTTTTCGTTGATTTATTTCTTTGATAAGAGAGTCGTGTTTTTACTTAACGCTGGATAAAGTTCTAATTTCACGGCTAAAGCAATAACAATAGCTTTATTCTTTGTTTTGTTTTAATCATTAACTTTTTGCTTATATGGAGCTTATCTCTAGGCTCTAAATTTGTTTAGCTTATCTTTGATACATAATATTATACTTCCAAATATAAAACAATCGAAACAAAAACAGGCTCAGGTGCCTGTTTAATGTGCCTTTAAATAAATACGTACACTTTTTTTATGACATAATCTTAAGTGTTTCCTTGAGGACAATTGGTTGTAATAATCGTTAATGCTTTGGTCGGCAATTTAGCCTACTGCTATGACATTAAAAACTTCCTTTCGTCTATTAGTCACTATTATTTAAAATTACAAATTCCCTAAAAATATTCGAAATGCAATGGATTGGTCATCTCACCAGAGGAAGGGCGATCTCTCGCGAAGTATCCGTAGTCCATAGCGCTGCCAATCGTGCTGCGATATCCACAGCTCTCGGGCACTTTCTAGCACGGACATAATGGCAGCTCCCTTCCATGCCACCATACCCGCGTCCATGCCCTTGGTGAACACATTCACCTCGGTCCCTGTGGGCTGGATTTGTTGGCTAATCCGATGCTCCAGCCAGGCGGCTAGTCCCGGCAGTTTGGCACTGCTGCCCACAAGCAGAATGGAGCCAAACATCTTGCGCTTGGTCTCATAGCTGGTTAACCGGTTAATGGCTTGGATTACGGCCTGGTCCAAGGGCAATACCTGACCGTGGCCGTTGTGGTAGTTCAGATGTCTTTCGGCTGTCTGCGGCACCTGTTGCGGCTGGCAGTTGCTGTTGGCTTCGTCCTGATCCACCACAATGAGTTCTTCATCGTCTGCGGTCACGGGCAGCTGGGGGCGTGGCAGTGATCCTGGACCAGAAGTCAGGGACAATGTTTCGCCACCCCTTACCCCGTTTTTACGACCAGTCTCCTTTAAATACTCCGCATCGAAACAGTCCTCGCAGTCGTACTGATCCTGTGCCGCCTGTTGCGTGCAAACCACTCTTGTCCGGCCTGTGATGTTCAGTAGCTCCGTGTGGAAGAGGGCCAGTGGTGCCATTATGGCTTCATCGCCCACTTGGATGGTGTAGCGCAACCATTGGCCGTTCTGTTTGCGTATGTTAAAATGTTTCTCCTGGGCTCCACAAACGCTAACATTTAGGTGGCAGAACTTTTCCTTTAGTTCATCTAACAGATGAGCATCCACATAGCTTTCTTGGACATTGCACTCTCGATAAGGAAAGCCGCACTTACGCAGAAGCAGGAGAAGAACTTGGTCCAGGTCGCCGCCGCCATAGGGCAATCTTACTCTCGCATCCAGTTGGGAAATACCGTCTTCGATGCAGGCTATAGAGGTTTTCTGGGCACCAATGTCCACAACACAGCCGTAGCCAACGCCGGCGCCATACGTAGAGGCCACGCTGTCCTGGACGAGAAAGCAACGCCTGAAGCCAAGGCGTTGCAGCAGGAGGGTCATGAACTCACGCAAGTATCGTCGCACATACACATCGTTGACCACCAAAACGGCACAGTGGCTGCCCAGTTCCCGCAGAGGGATCTTAAGGCGAGTCTCAAGAGCAAACGACCAGATGCGTTCCAAATGCTGCAGGCTGGCCTGAAAGGAGAGACTCGTTAGTCGATGGCATCCCAGTGATGTACCTATGTGCGTTTCTCAGGCTCAATGGTATTCTATATATATAGGGACCACCTCACCTGCAGCGAGCCGCCCTTCTCCTTGTGCACATTTAATTCGCCCCTTTGCATGGGAAAATGGATGTCGTAGTCGCGAGCATCCAAGGCGCCGAGACGCAGGATCTTGTCGTCAAAAAGGACGGATGCCTCGCGATCCAACCAGGGCTGCTGGTCCTCTGATGATTGATTACTTGGTTGCGGCACCTTCTCAGCCTGACTGCTCCGGTTGAAGTGGGCCAGTTGCTGCGGCGGAGTGGCCACCCGCAGGCGTTTCTTTTCATCGACAACGCAGTGCTGCAAGATGCGTGACACTGCAAGACGTTGCTCTTCAAACTCCACCATCATGGCGGTATTGACGTTGTCCAAAGGCGGAAGGAGGGGGTCATGGTATGGTCGATCGCCGTCCACTTGCCTCCGTCTGTAAGCCACTGCATGGAGAATGGTCAGGGGATTGAGGTCGGCCGCCCTTCCAATCCTCAAGTGCTGAGATCCCGGATGGATAACGATGATCTTTGGCGCCTCAAGTGGCTGTGCCTGTGGCTGGGGCAGACCCACTGGCGGCGGAGCCGGTAAACGGCCACTGCTAGTGCTGCTGGCACGTGATCGTCTAGGTTGAGCATCAGACATTTGGTAACTTGATTATTTAACCCACTGCTACTCCACTCACTGCATCTTCCGCTTTCCTGATCCTTGGGCAACAAAAAGCCGATCTTCTCGGCAACAACAAAAAGCCCGTGCTCAAATAGTGTGACCATTTCTGGAAAACAAAAGGATACCAATTGAATTCAAGCAAAAAAATTTTTGAAATTTTATTATTTTTTTTGTTTATATGAATATGAAAATCGTTTTAGTTTAATAAACATGTTAATATTCCAAGTTAAAAAACTGCGTTAAAATTTTTTTTGTTATCTTTTTTAGTTAAGCAGGAATAACGACTCAAACTTTTTTTTAGGTAACGGCACGAAATATCCAGCCACTGTATGTACTAAGTTACTTAATCAGTTAAGCTAGGCTGAATTTTAAGCAATGTTAAATAAATCCCAAATGGTAGAGCACCAAACCATTCGTTTGGAGTTGGGTGCCCTCAAAGTTATCTACCCTGATCCTCGGAGTTCGTATCCCTTCCTAGAGGAACGCCCTAGGAGTTGGGTGCCCACAAAGTTATATATCCTGTTTTCCCGTAGCTAGCGAGGTAATCCTTGGAGTGCGTATCCCTTCCTAGAGGAACGCCATAGGAGTTGGGTGCCCACAAAGTTATCTGCCCTGTCCTCCCGTGGCTAGCGAGGTAATCCTTGGAGTGCGTATCCCATCCTAGAGGCGTGACCTAAGAGTTGGGTGCCTCCAAAGTTATCTACCTTGTTTTACCGTAGCTAGAGAGGTAATCCTTGGAGTAATCCTTCCTAAAAGCACGCCCTAGGAGTTGGGAACATTCCATATTAAAAATACCAAACAAAATACTAATTTAAAAGTACCTTTTGCTAAATTCCGTTACCTTTCAAGAGCTGGTCGCACTGTCGAGAACGTGGTTCATTTGTTAATCATCATTATCAGATCAAGCAGCTGTAGTCTCCGTTGTGAAATACGCCATTCCAAATTTACATAGAAAGTGAGCCCAAACGAACCCAATCAGCCCAGGAATGTCGCACTTCACATGCCTGAACTGCGATGCCCGCTTCGCCAGCGCGGAGGTCCAGCGGGACCACTACAAGACCGACTGGCATCGCTACAATCTGAAGCGTAGGGTGGCCCAGCTGCCGCCCGTCACTGCCGAAGAGTTCCAGCAGCGCGTGCTGAGCGCCCGCAGTGCTTCGGATGCGGCCATCGAGGAACAGAATTTAAGTGTCTACTGCCAGGCCTGTCGGCGTCAATTTGGCGGCCAGAAGGCCCACGATAATCACCTGAACAGTCGCAAACACAAGGAACTGTTGGCCCGCTATGAGCGGGATCAGATGACTGCCAGTGGCGGCAGTACCAGCACCGCAGCATCTGTTTGCACACGTAGCGTCGTGGAGCCACGGCCCCATCCTGCCCTAGCCGCGGCAGCAGCTGGTAAGGGTCGTCTGGCCTTTGCAGAGCGAGCGGCCAAGGCGGATGATGATGAGGAGATGGAAGACGATGATGACGACTTCGAGGACATCGAGGAGGAGGAGGTAGGAGCGGTTATCATCCTAGATTTTAAGATTTAAAAAAGGTTTCATCAGTGGTTACCAAATGTGGTTTTTGGATCTTTGTTAATAATGACAGTGTCCACAGCTCCCGCTTTTTAAAGATGATCCATTAACATAAATTTCCTTTATTTATAGGTTGACTCCGATGAGTGGGACAAGATACCGGAGAACCCTCTGACAGAACGTGACTGCCTGTTCTGTACACATTCAAGCGAGGATCTTGTTGAGAATCTAAAGCACATGTCCGTGGCGCACTCGTTCTTTATTCCTGACACCGAATACTGTACGGACATCGAGGGTCTGGTCTACTATCTGGGCGAAAAGGTGGCCAACTACTTCATATGCTTGTTTTGCAACGATCGCGGCAAGACATTCTACTCCTTGGACGCGGTACGCAAGCACATGATCGATAAGGGTCACTGCCAGATGCTGCACGAGGGCATAGCCCTAGCTGAATATGCAGAATACTACGACTACAGTAGCAGTTATCCGGATAATGTGAGTTTTGATCAATATAATCCCATGATTAATAGATTGTTCCAATGGCTATTTTAATCCTTTAACCCAAACAGAAAGAGGGCATGGATATTGATGACGAGGTTGTTCCTGAACTGCTTGATGGCGACGAGTACCAATTAGTTCTGCCCTCCGGCGCAGTCATCGGCCATCGCTCCCTGCTCCGCTACTACAAGCAGCGTCTACGTCCGGAACGCGCCGTTGTAATTCAGAAGTCCGACCGCAAATTGCACCGCGTGCTCAGCGAGTACCGGGCTCTGGGATGGACGCACACACAACAGCTATCCGCCGCTCGCAAGGCTCGAGACATCCATCTGATGAAGCGTGTCCAGTCCAAGTGGCAGATGAAGCTTGGTTGCAAGGCCAACAAGCTGCAGAAGCATTATCGTGCCCAAATTCTGGTCTAATTATCGCTGTTCGGTTATAGTAATTTTAATTTACTCCCATCATGTACAATAAAAACGATTTGAGTTTTGCTTAAATTAAGCTTGTTTGTTTGCTTTCTACTTGTATAATTACTAGCGATTTCTCGTCAAATAAAATTACATAATTTAAATTAACAATTAAATAAAGTTTAATTTTGATTCGTTTATTTAAAGTAAAGTTATGTCGTTACGGATACAGCATAAAATTAAACATTATAATTAGACCAAAAAAAAAATAGTTTCTAGCATGTAAAAAAAATAAACTCTGCCGAATCCTTTAACTGGCCCACTCACGATCCACGCCTCAATTCAGAAGGAATGGGGGCGTGGTCAGTGATGTGGACGCGGCGGTGAGAGCGCGAAGTGACTAATTAGTAAAAACCGCAGGTGAGTGAGTTTTTGTATGTGTTTTTCGTGGGTAAATAATGAGGGTCAATTTCAGCTAGTTAATGTTAATGTATTTATAGTTTGGATGTGTCTGTGGTGTAGTGGTTGAAATCGGTTGCCTTATGTCCCAGTTAACGAAGAACTGAAAGGGTTTTCTTAACTGAAAAATTTCAAAATTAAATTCCGCAGCTTAAATCTGCTCTAAAAAAGAACTTTCATAAACCTTTGCGAAACTTAATGGTTATATAGACTTCCGTTTTGAATTTAACCTATCCTTGGCTCAAAAAGTTTTTAATGATGGTTAAACATTTTGAAGTAAATTTTCAAACGAGTTTATCGATGTCAAGTTAGTGCTATTCATAAAAGCATATTTGCTTTACAAATATTGATAAATAAAAATAAATATTTAAAGCATATTTGTAAATATTCGTCACAATAAACTCTAATATTATTAAAACTATCATAAGAAAACGAAGGAATTTTTTTAAGATTTCGAACAAATCTTACAAAACTCAAAAACTTGAAAAATACATTTAAAGAAAAACCTAGCATAAAAATCTTTGAGACATTTCAAAGAATTGAGAATGCCATAAAATGAAATCGGGTCATAACTAATCAATTTTGGGTAAAGATAACTCAGCCTTGTCCTGGCGTTAGCCGTGATATAAGGCTCCCGATTTTGGACCACCTTGAGTACTGCTGCGTTGGTGATTAGGTGGTTCCTTGGCTGGGCGGTGGTGGTGGGTGGCGTTGCAATAAATAGCAGCAGAGAGCGGCAAAGGGTGTGAAAAAAAAATAGTATATTAAGCGGGCATCTAAAGTTTTTAGCTTTTATCCAGTTTATGCTAATGTATAACTACAGGATTCTGTTGAACACAAACGCCCACCATGGGCGACGACGAGGAGGCATCGCTGCTGCTGGCTCCAGTGGCTGAATTGCTGCCACCGCCAGCATTTTGAGAGATATCTACCTGCGATCCGGGTCCGCTGATATGCCGCCTTTGGCCAACAACACCCACTCCACCAGATGTACCTCCCGATGCCGTGGAGGAGGATGACGACGATGAGGGCGGCAGTTGCAGGGGCATGGACATGGGCATGGGCAGTGGCAGTGGCAGCGGCAGTGGCGGCAGCGGTAGCTCGCTCAGCGAGGCGGGCGCCGTTCCATAGAGCGTTCCGGCGGGCTGTGATGGAAAGAGAAAGGCAGCAGCCAAGGGCGGCACTGGATTCGGTCCAGGATTGCCACCGCCTTGGCCACCACCTGCCGCCGAGGCACTGATCACACTCGAATCGGTCATCATTAGATGGGAGGCCGCTGCCGCAGCTGCTGCTGCCGAGGACATGTTGCCATAATAGAGCACCGAATTGGGTGCATAGTTATTCGGTTGCAGTTGCAAGATCGTCGGTACACGCATCCTGCCATGACCATTCGGCGGCGGTGGCGGCATTTGCGGCGGATCACATTCCATGGCGTGCGGATAGCTGATGCTGTTGTGGTTGCTGCTGTTGTTGTTGTTGTTGTTGCTGCTGTTGTTGTGGTGACCCACCATGTTGCCACCATAAAGACGATTGTGCCGTGCGTTGTTGTTGCTGTTGCTGCTGCCGGGACTGATGTGATTCAGGCTGCCGAGGCTGTTGCTGCTGTGATGGCTATTGGTCAGCGATGGAGGCGGATGGGCGGTGGGCTGTAGGCTCAGAGCGGAGAAGTTGTTCATCGCGTTGGCCGCCGCCGAATGCATTAGCAGGCCTGCAAAACCAAACAAATATGAAGATATTAATATAATTTATATTCTTAAATTTTCTTTTTAAGAAAACCCCCTAGTAGTTTACTTAGCCAATCCTTGGAAAAAACTAAGCTTATTTGTCTAGAAATCTTTTTATAAAATAAGTTACCGATCTTGATGTTTTAGCATAGATTTTACGATCAAAGGCACTTAGAATTTTCCATGGCATTTCAGTTATGACGAACAATTCCGCCCCTAAAAACAATAAAGGTATCTAAATCCTTGCTTATTTTTTTTGTTGATTATATCATAAGTTTTTATTGAAGATTTTTTTTCACTTTTTTTTGTAATTTTTATCTTTTGCTTTGGTTTGCTTTAGTTTTTGTTTTTTATGAATTCCTTTTTCTGGTTTGGTTTTGGTAAAGTTTCCATTTCGGTTTCATTAATCGTTAATAAATTATCTCGTACTTATTCAACTTAAACCATCAGCTGTTGTATGTTTATATTATATAAATGCCACATATGTTGCATGTCCATATGTGTGTCGGTCTGTCGGTTTGTGTGTATGTGTGAGTGCTTTTTGTGTACTTTAAATTTGGTTTGAATTTGAATTTATGTTTTTTTTTTTAATATATTTTTGCAATACTGTTTCGTAAAAAAAAATGCATTATGGTCTCCCCTGGATCTCCTCTTCTCATTTCTTCTATTGCACTTTCTTTTTGCTTTCGTTTCCGTTTCCGTTTCCGTTTTTGCTTCCTTTCGAAAATGCAACTCTGCTTAAATAACAATTGGTTATCGTTATCGTTATTATTGCGTATGTTTTTCTTTTTGCCGTCTTCTGTGTTTGCTTGCGGGTGTATGTATGTGTGTTTGTGTTTGTGTGTATGTATGAATGGTGATTTTTAAACTTATTCGACCTATAACACTCGCTTTTCGGGTTTTAGTATTTTACACAAGTTTCGTTAAGTGTCTCTCCGGTTGCTGTTAAATTCATAGATCATAGATCATGGATCATGGATCATTTATCATTTTCTTTCGGGGCTAACCTCTAATATTAATAAGTATTTACTTTTATATGTATTTCGTATCCGTTTTGTCTGCCTGCGTTCTTTGTTTTGTTTTGTTTTGTTTTCGTGTCTAATAAAATTAATTGAGTTTTCCGCATAATTACTTGTAAGTGTTATATATAGATGTATGTATGTTAATTTATTAAATGCTAAAGTTCTTCTCTTTAGTACGTACTGATTTCATTTGTTATGCTTGCTATACGATTTTCATTATTTTTTCTTATTTACTTTTTTGTGGTTTACTAAACGCATTAATTTCTTTACCAATTCTTTTTTGTTTCATTTTCTCTTTTGTTTGTTCTGCTATTTTTACATGCCTACGACTTTATACTTTTTACAAACTATGATTTGTGTTTGGTTTTTAACTCGTATTTCGCATATATATGCCGCTCTATCGATACTTATCGCCTTTTCTTTATTGGTTATCGCTTATCAATCGTTCCAATTAAAACTGTTATGTATATATTTATAGATTTACCGCTGCTTCATTTCTGAGACTCTCTGTGTTTCTATTTGCTTTGTTATTTAACATTTTTGCCGGTTTTTATTTTTCATTTGTAACAATGGCCGAACTTTTCAAAGATAGCGGCAATGTTTTCGAGGGTTAAATATTTCTTGCGGTTTTTTTTTTTATCACAAAAGAAAGCGGCTATTCGCTTGCCTGCTCGCTCTCCTTCTTCTCTGGGGTTACGTTACACGAAATCCCTGTAAATTGCCAATAGATTGAGAAAGAGAGCGAGAAAGCTACTGTTAAGTTAACCCTTTAATGCCCATGAAGTATTTTTACCACAAAAGGGGTCGTAAAAGCAAACATAAAGCCTTAATAATCGGGATTAAATACTATGTATAGAGGTATTAACAAATTGAATTCTTACTGCCAAGATTTGGTAATAGTTTGAAATTTCGAAAAAAGGACTTAATGGCCATCGCCATTGATTTCTTTTTGTAAGGATCAAAGTTATAGTTATAAACGTAAATCGAAATAAATTTAATACAACTATTAGTATTTGCTTTTACCACTCTCTATACGAAGGCAATAAAAGGTTCCAAATTAAGGGACCAACAAAAAGAAATGGATGTATGTCTATATTACAAACTGGGTTAAGTTCACTTTTCATTACTTGACAATTTTTTATGTACTCTGGTTTACTAAACGGCTTTTCTTTCTCCTTTCCTCTTTTGAATTTTGTTTCGTTTTTTACATGTCTACGATTTTTTCGTTTTGGTTTTATACTTTTTACAAACTATGATTTGTGTTTCGTATTTCGCATATTTCACTGAGATCCATTATCGCTTTTCAAATTATCAAATTTCGTTTTTCGCACTCTTTTCTTTTCGAATTTCAAACAGCAGGGTCGTTTTTTTCGGCTTGAAATTTGTTTGAAAGGAAATTTTGCATTCTTACTACTGTTATTTAAAAATCAGGAAAATGTGTAATGACTTCAGTTGCCCAATGAGAAAGATATTCTGAGAAAAGTAATTGCTATTGCCTACTTTTAAGCGCCGTAAGAGGCGAATTCGTATCACTAACAAACTTCGTGAAACCCTTGCTTGATCATTTCTATTACAGAGCTAAATCTTTAAAAGTGAACTAGAAGAGATTTGTTTAAATGCCGAAGTCAATGGTAAAAGGTGTTAAAGATTTCGCCAGTGGCAGTCGTGGAATAATTTATACATTCGTATTCCAACGAGAATCCCTGCTGTTTTTTGTCTCAGTGTTGTTTAACTTGTATGTTGTAACCTGTACTTATGCATATATGTATGTATGTATATTAAGATGTATGTATATATGTATGGCAGTCATTAAGAAAGTCGTTAAGGATTCCTCTTATTATTATTCTTATGTATTCGCAAACTCTTCGTACAGTTCTATGACACTAAATGCTTACACTTAAGTAATTAATTCTTAGACATTTCTTTGCGTTATTTAAGTTGACAAAAAAACGTTAAACACTTAACACACGATTGTATATCCATCCGAGCGCTTAAAATGCATGAGCATAATACAAATTACATATTAAATTCTAAAAAAAAAATTCTTGGTTTATGGAAATCAGTGAAGGCGCCATTATTTTTTGTATAGGAAAAAAAAACAAATATATTTTTCTTGTTTTTGGGTGGCGTTTGAGAGAGATAGACAGAGACAGAGGCGTGGAAAGAGATAGATAGTGTTTGAGTTAGTGAGTGTCTGTGTGTGTGTGTGTGTGTGTGTGTGAAAAAGAGACATGAATATTTACAAAACGCCGGATCTGTTAGATAATATGGATAACATGACCAGCGAGGATCACCGGGCGCTACACTAATGTTATTGCAGCTGCTCTTAATGTTGCACATGGCATGCTGCTGGTTACTGCTGCTGCTGTGGCATCCTTGAAGTTCCGGCCGCCGCCGCCGCCGTCGCAGTTGATGTTGCTGCCGCGGACGTTGCTGCTGCAGTTGTAGTTGCCGGTCATCGGCGATCATCTGCTGCCATCATTTTGAATTTGCATTCGATTTATTTGATATATATTTGAGTTCGAGTTCGAGTTCAAGACCGAGATCGATGTGTTCGAATAGAAAAAGAAAGGAATTTATCTTTATAGTTTGGGGCCACAAGCATTTCGTGTACATTCTTGATTGCTACAAATTGACAAACTTCTAACTTTTCGTACAAACTAATTAAATTAGCACTAAGCGCCGAACTAAAGATAAAACGAAACACTTCTTACACTTAAGGGGGTGACTAATGCAACTAAATGGCAATTATCAATTATCGAATAAAAACAATAAATGCCTAATACAAACGATATTCAATATATATTCAAGTACAAATTTGTCCACAGCTAATAACTAAATTATAAATGCTTTTCGATTGCACACACACAAAACACACACAAGAAATCGAGCAAATGAAGACTGCGAACACAGTCAACACCCGCTGCGAGCTACAACATATAATTTGGAGCTTCTGCATCAAATCAGCTCACAAAAAAAATCATAATCATAATCAAAAAACATAAAAATTCTATGGGACAGCAGCTACAACTTCAGATTGGTTAATGGTATCGATTTTTAAGGCCAAAGATCTCTCATTTCTAATGCCATCAACCAATCTTTAGGGAGTATATTACTAGGAGGATTCGACTACTACTCACCATGACACTGGGCATCCGACACACCGCCAGGACCCGCAAGTGGTGGCAACGGCAGTGGCAGCGGCAGGGGCAAGGGTAGCGGCATCGCCTGCTGTTGCTGCGCTGCAGAGGATCCTCCGCCGACGCTTGAACCCGAACCAGATGATCCTGTGGCCGTGGCCGCTGCTGTCGCCGCCGTTGGAGCTGCTGCACTTGATGAGGAGACCGCACCGCTACTGCTGCTGCTCGTTCCAAGGCCACCGCCACCACTTCCTCCACCAGATCCTCCTGCTCCGCTTGATCCAGAGCCACCGGCTCCGGCATTCGCTGTGGCGCCTGCGCCGCTCGTATTGGTCGCCTCGTCTGCCGTGCGCTTGAAGAAGTTGTGCTGCAGGGCATAGTAGGGCGTTACCCGGGTCTTGGGGTCAAAGTCGAGCATGCGCAGGATCAGATCCTTGAACTTGAGATAATCGGAAACGGAGTGACCAGGCTCATCTAGACGCCGGCCACCTGGACCGCCTGTTTCCACTCCAAGGATATCGTGTAGTTTACGTGATCCTGGCGGCTTGTATTTTCTCCCATTCTGATTCTTCTTCAGCACATAGGAGCCATCGGCCACGATCTTATCGAAGAATTTGCGGGTCTTGTGCGCCTGGTCGAGTAGATACTTGGGCGGCATGCCCAGCACCTCGACGATCTTGTTCATCTGGTCCACCTCGTTGCAGCCAGAGAAGAGCGGCTCACCAGTGTGCATCTCGACCAGAATGCAGCCCAGCGACCACATATCGATGGCCAGGTCGTACTGGATGCCCAGCAGTACCTCCGGCGAGCGGTAAAACCGCGATTGGATGTAGTGGTAGATCTGTAAGAAGAAAACAATAGAATTTGAAGTTCCTTGTTGACTTTGGAGGACTATATTCAAGTACTTACCCGCTGTCCCAGCTGGCAGGAGCTACCAAAGTCGACGATCTTAATCGCCGAGCGCTTTGGATTGCACAGCAGGATGTTCTCGGGCTTCAAATCACAGTGAATTATGTTCAGTTCGGGGGTGCTGAGGAAGAGCAGTGCGGTGCACAGCTGCTGGGCGAACTTGCGCGTGAGGTTCAGCGAAACGCCCCGGAAGTTGGTGTTCCGCAGCAGGTCGTACAGGTTGTATGAGAGCAGCTCGAACACCAGGCACAGGTGGTTGCGCCACATGAAGTGCCGCTTGAGCTTAACTGTGGATCAAAAGGATGGATTAAATATTTAATTGAAAATGAAATTTGTTAACATTTACGTACCGATGTAGTATTTGTTTTCGGCATCCGCCCGGTTCATCATCTCGAGCAGCTTGACCTCGATCTGTGCCTGGTTTAGGAACGGTTTCTTATTCTTAATTATCTTGATCGCCACGTGGCACTGCTCTTCATGGTCGTAAGCCTTTACCACCTGGCCAAAACTGCCTTTGCCTGTGGGGTTTAAGCAAAATTTCGTTAGGTAAATGATTTATTATAAGATATTTTCTTTCCACTCACCGATCAGCGAGTCAATCTCGTAGCGATCCAAAAACTTTTCGCCATTCTTGATTATATAGTCGTGATTATCGTCGTCATAGCCATCGTTATACAGCTTTCGCTCCTTTTTATTGGACGAGTCGTCGTCTCCTTGCGTCTGCTGGGCACGGCGTTTCTTTTTCGCATAGTAAACCTGGAATTATATCCAGTACAGAGATTAGTTAAGAACGATTAGATATGGAGGAAAGTTGGAAGTTGGGATAGCAATATTTGATTTTGTAAGGATAGTTATAAAGGATCGCCATCTACCGGCAAGTAGCATGACTTACTGGTTATAAATGTAACTACAGTGAAATAAATCGATCGATATCAATCGATAGTTTTCGACACTGCATATATGAAATGTTTTTAACCCTTTAAAAAAAAAACAATATGAATCCAAAATAAAATCTCCCAAATTACAGGTGATAAATTTAATTGGATTTTATTGGCCAGCTGAAAGTTATCCCGTTACTTCCACTTCATCAACGACAAATGTAAACACAAAATGGGAAAATGAGAAAATAGCGAAAATGAGAGGACAAGACCGGCAAATAAAAAAATGCCGAAAGAGGGCGACGCCAAGCCGAAAAAAGAAGAGAAATTTGTCTCTCCTTTTTTCCGCTCTTTTTTCCTCGCACTCTCTTTCTATCTACCATTCTCTCTCACACGCTCCCTTTTCATATTGAAAGGATGGGGGGAAAAAAGGTTGCAGCTTGGCGAAAAAAGTTGTTGCTAACGCGGCAAGTTAGCGGTGGAGCGAACGAGATAGCGCCACATTGCGAGAGAAGGAGAGAGCCCCACTCTCTTTCTCTCTCAAAAACGAAAACTGTAGCATACAAAACGGCAGCGAAAAGGCATTTGCAATATTACGGCATCTCTAAACGGCACAAAATGCCAACTGCAAATGTAACTGTAACGTCTGTCAAAAACACTCCAACTGCTCGAGAGCACCTGTCAAATTCAAATACCTGCAACCAGCCAACCGCATCCGCATCGCCATCTGTCAAATCGTTTAACTGCAGGACTCATATTTGCCAACATCAATATGTTTAACTTTTAATCACAAATAAGAGTGTAATACTGCTAATTTTAACAGTCTAGGACTGCTTTTGCATTTGTAATACCTTGCTCATCTTCTTTTCTTATTCCTAAGATTTATGCATTATTCAAGGTTTAAAATTACAATTTCTTGTCATTTTTTGCAGACTTTGAAAATGCTAATTTAGAGTTCTCCCTATTTTTCTCCTAAAATGACAAGATTTTGTTTATAACTAAGCTAATAATGGCGAATAAGGATTGTTTTACATCGTTGTAATCGTTATTAAATTTACATAAAATCTACATTGAAAATTATAAATGTGGAATTTATGTCACTTTTTGCAAATTTTGATGATGTTACAGAAAATGCAAACTTAGCTTATGACTTAACTTAACTTATGTCTTATAATCTCATTCTTATCTCCGAGTGGCCAGTCCATATATCTCCGGTGGCTGTAGTCCAAAACAGAGATAACCAAAACCAAAGGAGTACCGGATCTCTGCGGTCGATGGACTAGAACTGGCAGTGACCCCAGCCAGGCACGCTTAACTTAATTTATCCTTGAATGATCCACATTCCATGGGCGGCATGCAATCCGTTTGCACAACTTAAAAATTTTGGGCCCCTCGGCTTATGCAGTAAAAATAAAAAACTTACCTGGATTTCCGGCTTCCCGAAGTTTATCGATGATATAGAAGGAATCGTCATATACATCAAAAAAATTCATGATGCACTGCATCCTCCATGGAGGCCATGTCCCACCAATGTGATGGAGAGCCAGCATCACACGTCATCAGAAGTCCAACACATGGATTTCCAAAAAAAAATCCATGATGCACTGCATCCTCCATGGAGGCCATGTCCAGGTACCACCAATGTGATGGTGAGCCAGCATCACACGTCATCAGAAGTCCAACAGATGGATTAAAAAAAAAAATCCATGATGCACTGCATCCTCGATGGAGGCCATGTCCATGTACCACCAATGTGATGGTGAGCCAGCATCACACGTCCTCAGAAGTCCAACACATGGATTTAAAAAAAAATCCATGATGCACTGCATCCTCCATGGATGCCATGTCCATGTACCACCAATATGATGGTGAGCCAGCATCACACGTCATCAGAAGTCCAACACATGGATTTAAAAAATAAAATCCATGATGCACTGCATCCTCCATGGAGGCCATGTCCATGTACCACCAATGTAATGGTGAGTACCACTGGACCACTTGGAGGCACTTGAAAGCACTGAACTAACACAAACACACACACACAAAAGTGACTTGACTGATTTTTCACCGGCCAACAGCGCCCTAGTCACAATATATGTGCTAGAACCAGTTGGGAATTACAAGAGCCGCGGGGTGCACAAAACTTTGATTTAACCAATATAGACTTTAACTGGTCATTAACATACGAAACTTAACTGGCAGATATGTAGCTGTTTAAATTTAAAAATTTCTGTTAATTCTCGGATTTTCCGTTGCTAAAAATTGTTAAAAATTTGGGCAATGTAAAATGCCTGTTTTGGTCTATCATAATCCTGAAAAATAAGCTGCCTTTCTTCACAAGGAGCTTTATATCGACTAAAATTTGTTAGAAATATATAACTTATCCTTTTTATGGTTAAGAATTCTTAAGATTCAAACCTGAACAGTCCAATATTTTGCCATTTTTTGCAAAAATAGATAATATTACCTCTTTTAAAAAAAGGACAATTTCATAAATCCCGATTTTCGGCCTCAAGAAGTCAGTTTTCTGCCCATAACTAAGCCAATAATGATCAAAATATGGAATAGTATATCTCGTTAAGGTTGTTTTCTGATTTGTATATCAGTCAAAGTTGAATATGTACACTTTTTTTTTGTCATTTTTCGCAAAAAAAAGATGATGTTACGCCTTAACGAAAATCCGAAATGCGATTTATCCCCAAAACTGGTGGTACTTTGTCCATAACTAAGCTAATAGTGGTCCAAATATGGAATGTAATACCTCGTTGAGCTCGTAATTTAATTTCCTCACAATCTGCATTAAAATTTAAATTTGTTACTTGTCTTGTTTTCACAAAGTTATAAATAAAAAACATCAAAAAAAATATACCAATTTTCTATCAGTTCTATCCTATTCCGAGAAAAAAATCGACATTTTCGCCGCCTCAACGCTATAGCTGCTTCCCAACTTGTCTTCGAATCTAAAACTAACTTTTAATTAAAATTAAATATTCATGAATTAGGTACATCAAAATCGAATCGATTCAAAGAAAAAGTTATAAGTAGTCAAGATAAATCCTTTCTATTTTTTTAGGGAGTTTTCACGGGGTCCCAGCTCGCGTGCAACTCGGATTCCCTCGATTCCCTGCGTGAAACATTAACGGTGTAATGTGGCAGAGGACAATAACCCCGCCCACTCAAGGCGTATAATCACCGATTTAGGTCGGCGGCATTTCGTCATAACGTCATTTGACATAAAAGCCAAAAGTATTAGTTATTTTGAGGGGACGTTTTGTTTAGGAAATTGGGAAACTTGGCAGGAAAACCGAGACAGTTGCGTGTGGCTGACTTTTCTTACTTATTTATCCTCTTTATATATATATTTTTTTTTTTTTTTTTTTTGCTGTTGTCAACTGAGGCGGCAGACGACGTCAATCGAAGTCAACTGCGAATGGGCGAGGGTGGTGTGGAAATTGACCCACCAAGCGGGTCAAGGACAAACGTATCTTTAGCTCAGCTCAACGCCACAAATATCCGCTGTCAGCAGATAGTCACACAACCCAAAAAAAAAAGAAGATAAACCACAAGACAAGAAAAACCCCTGACAGAATTCCGATCGTCATAAGAGCGTGAAAAAAGAAAACGGGATGGATGCCAAGGTTCTTGGTTATTTTCTGATATTGCTATTAGTACCAAACTAATTTTGTTCTTATTTTACATTTTTTTTACCATTTACATAGAATAGAATATCTAATAACCATAGCCCCCTAACTGTTATTAGTTATTGATTAACAAACTAAGAATCGCTAAAAGATCAATAATATATCTTATTGATATGCCCTTAGAAAGTAACCCATTTCGATACAATAAAAAAAGAAATAATGACTAAATTTGTTGGTATTTTTCTGGCGTGGGTTGGGCAGTTTGTAGAATTCTTTTTTTAAGGCTAATACTCACCTCATTGATGTGCTTGTAGGTCTTTATCAGATCGACACTCAGCTTGCGCAAAGGTCCCGAGGCGGGGTCCCGAAAGTGGGAGGGTATACGGGCCTGCATGGCGCGCACCTCCGACGAAGACGAGGGACTAGAGTGCTGTGGAAACGAATGGAAAACTTATTAATTGAGTTGTAAAATAAAGGGGGTTACAGGTGTACAGTGATCGCTGGCTAATTTAAACGAAATGAGATCTAAATTCAAATCTAGATTGGATATGCCAGCACTGATGACTCCTCTCAACTTGTAGTTTCTATAAAAACTATAAAATATCAAATCTATTTTACAACTTGAAGTATACTTTTGGCTGCTTAACAAACTTTATATTAGATTCAGGCTACAATGTCAAGGTAACTGCCATTCTAGTTTAATTTTCATTTATTAATCAAAAGACAATCTTTTTTGGATCCACTACTTAAATATTGTTGTTAAACCTCATTAATTGCCTTACTTGGTTAAGCCAAAACCAGTTGTTAAGAAACCTTTCTTTTGTATTTCGAAGGCTGGGCTAACTTAAACGTGGCTATTAACCTTTCTAATTGCAACTTATAATTTAACTGGAGCATGGGAAAACGTTCTCTGAAATGATCTTAGCCTTTTCGAGGTTGCTTACTTTTATTTTAGGCTTACTCATGAAAAAAATAAGATTATAGACAAGGAATCACATTTACTTTTTGATATTTCCTATATTCTTTGAGATCAGACTGTTTTCGGGAGATAGGACAGTTAGGGTTTATGATATAGTACTCACATGATGCATGACATCCCGATGCGTGGCAGGCAGTTCCTCTTCGCCGACGAAGCGTCCGTAGAGGGGGGCGTGGCGTTGTCTTCCGCCCCCGCTCCCGCTGATCTGAGCTGCGTCGACGGCGACGCTGCCTCCGCTGGACCCATAAGCGGATACTATAGAGGGAAAGAGAGAACAGAGATATTATCAGATATCGGCGGCAATTAATATACATATATATATATATATTTGGTTTCTTTCTGTATTTGTTTTCGATGGTATTGTGCTTTTTGTGCTGGTTCATTGACCGGATCGCTCGGACACCGCTCTTCTGCAATATGCACCTGTTTTCTCGCACACCTGACGACGTCAGCGGCGAGAGTTGCCAAAACGATGATAAAAACGCAAAGGGTAGAGAGGAAAACGATACACGGAGGGAAAAGAGGATGCCAAATGCAATTTACTTGATATCTATCAGATATATCTTTCAATCTTTAAATTAGTGAAATCATTTAGGTGTATTTGAAGAATATTCAATTACAACTTCAAGATCGTAAATAGATCTTAAATCTGTTCAAGGATCAAATTAAATATTAGTTTAACATTTGTTTTCTCAAAGAACAAACCCTTTTCCCTCTGTGCAGAAGCAATTTAGAATTTAGAAAAAGGGGAAAAGAAGCTCTGCCTTAATTTTAGAACCAGACGGAACTGAAATTATTACACAATATGCAAGGCGCAGATACATAATTCTGGCGTTTCTTGATTCTATTTCCCAAGTCTCTATGACCATTTCACTTGCTCACTTGCTTTTTGTTTTGCTTTTGGCTTGGTGGCTTGTGCAACGAAAATAGCCCCACGATATAAACAAGACACCGAAATAAAATAAAAGTAAACTAGTGAGAAGACGGTTGAGGAGGGTTTATAAATGGGGAAAACCTGCAAGAGGCAGCAGCTGAGTTTGAATGTTAAAAACCAAGCTAAGTGATATTCTATTACCTAAACAATCCACCTAAAACAGGTGATGATAGATATACGACTAAGGAATGGATTTCTCAAAGAAAGATTACATTATCAAGGTAACATAAAAAGAAGGTCTACACCTAAAACACCTATTAATTTCCCCTGTAAGCTTACTAGTATAATATATTGGTTCCTCTGTTCTATTCCTCAATGATGATCCCTGAGTCACCAACAGATTGCCATCGACTTGATCTCGAGATCGTTTTCGTTCTGCATCCACTGTGTTCCAAGCACTTTTGGGCTGGAATTTTGAGATGATTTGATGGCCATAACCATCAGCATAGCCATCGCCATCACCATCGTCATCGCAATCGCCATCCGCCTCCTGATTGCCATTTGTTGGCCAATTTCTGACACGATGCTGGCAGCCAATTTGCGCCAAATAATTGATGTAATGAGGCGGATGATGGTGATTGTGATGGCTGTTGTTGTTATTGTTGCTGCTGCTGCTACTGCTGCTGTTGTAGTGATGGTGGCTCAAGCTGCTGGTGCTATTGAAACTGCCACCAGGTGCTGGACCAACGACAAATGCCGCCCAATCCGTGGCGGCCTTGTCAACTGCATCGCCGCCGCTTGTTGACTGCCAATAAACCAGAGCCGTCGACATATCTCCTTTTTTTTCCGTCACTTGCACTTCCCGTTTCCTCTTTACTTATATATTTATTTATATATATATTATTTTTATTTAATTTTGTTTAATTTAAGTAAAGATCCATGGGACTGGCTTTTGGAAACGCGATCTGCGTCGCGTGAAAATTCAGCGCAAACTGGCGCAGTTTTTTCCCTGTCCCCAAAGTTGCCACTCGTCGTTTTTGTCGTCTGTTTTATTTATACGGAACCGTGTTTTCTGCCTGTTCTTTCATTATTTTTTTTTCTTTTTTTTTTTGTGATTTTGCACTGTTTTATTTATTTTTCTTTCTTTTTTTGTGGCTGCTGCATTTTTGCGAATCGCACGAACGAACGAGCGATAGCGGTTGCAACGGCCATCACGATCTCGTCGTGATAATGATAATATGATAATGAAGATATGTAGGGGATGCCCGGCGATCTGGCAATGGGATTTCTACTCTTTCTTAGTATTCCAAAATGTTGTTTCAGTTAAGAATTGATCAATTTTTTTACTATCTTAAGAAAATGACTAACTTTTCTTAATGAAAACCTTAAGTTTATTCCTGTGAATACTTGAATACTTCTTCAATGTTGCAAGACTACATTTAATGGTGAACTAGTCACCATTAATGGTCAAATTAATATAACGCTAAACAAAAACAGATGTGTCTGCTGTTCTTTCTATATCATTCTTGGTCAGAAACACTTTTATGCCTGGCTTTTTGTTTTTTATTGCAGCTGTTTTTTTATTTATTTTTTTTTTTGAGTAAAAAAAAGGGAAGTTCCGCTTCTCGTAGATAATGGAATTTCAATAATGACATGTAGCGAAGTGAAGTGGAGCTGAGTGGCGGAAAATGCGGCGGGCGGTTGGGTTGTGGGTGGGAAAGTGTTCGCACTTGTCTCGTGCGCCCAGAGATACAGATATATTTTCATTTCTTTGTTTCAGCTTTTGCGTCGTCGTCGTCGTCGTAGTCGTCGTCAAGTCAAGTCAAGTCAAGGAAATCAAAACAAAGCAAACGAAATGTGAAATTAAAATAAAATGTAATTAACCCCAGGCAAAAAGTGTGTGCATAATGCAGTGCGTTACAAAATTGTATAACTGGTTGAGCTGTCTCTTAAAGAATGAGACTTAAAAATAGGAAATTACCATCACAAAGTATTTTTTAAATATTGCAAATGATATGAAAGTTATGTAAACTTTAAACGCGTCATCTTGAATTTTCATTTGGACCATTATTCCAAGCCAATTATAAATGATATTTGCTTTTATATAAATAAATTGAACGCTTGCCAATCGATGGAAGAGTTGAATGATAAATGAGTTTGGGGCCCCCTTTAGCAAAAATTTGGAGGAGAGTGAACACAGTGCCCCAGCCCCTCTATTTATAGGGATCCGATCCTCCGTCTTCAATGTAGGATTTCCCCTCGTTCTGATCTTCGGCTTGTCTGTCGCGTCTCGACCGAAAATAAAAATAGTTGACGACATTTTGCTTTCGTTCCTCGCCTTCATTTTGCCCACTACCACTAGTGCTAACCACTTGCATTTTGGCCCAGGAATGAGATCGGGCCATTATAAACAACCTCCATCCGATAATTACATTTTGGGAGGGAACGGGGGAGGTCTATAGCGATGACGATGACGATTGCAATTGCATCCGGAGCAGGTGAGTCACTCGTGACTCGTTGAAAAGGTAATATCATGAATTGCACAGTTACTGGCGGGCACTCCACTTGACAAGTTTATGAACAGATGTACGGCGCCAGGCTAATCAGATATACTAAAGTTACCCCCTGTTACCGTGTAAGTAACCCCACATACCATATTTGACAAATAATGGGGAAGTCCCACCTTACGAGTCACGGGTTTTCGAAATACTACGGATGGATTGTGGCAAATACAGACGGAGACGGTTGAGTGATAAGCAAACAGTTGACACAACATTTGCTGGATGAATGAAGTGACATTGTTGCATGTGCTCATGGGTAGTAAAAGCTGGAGAATGCCAGGACGACATTCCAAAATTAGCTGCTAAAATACTCCTAAAATTTATTGGCTAATCGGTCATGTATAACCCCCCTAACCACTGCAATTGCAATCAGTAATAGTAGTTGACTTAGTTATTAGAAAAGCAAATAATGCACTATCGTGGTCGTTGTAAAAACTGTGCTATTAACACCCTCTTTTTCGTGGGAAGTCAAGCCCATTTACACGGCAGTTAATTTGATTTAAGGCACCTGGTAAAAATTCCTCTAATGCTGTCACCTTAACTGGGGCGGTAAGATAAAATCTCCTTTGAAAGCTATTTGGAATGCAAGTTAAACTTCTGCCTGCCGAACTTCTGTCTGCCTACGTACAAATAATTGCAATGATCGGATTTTAGGACTTGTGATGATTGTCAGATTTTGGAGGGTTCCGAGCAATATGATCATGATTTTTTCTTACCAAATCTAAAATATTAAAAAAGGGATGTGGATACTTACGTTTCTGTTTGTTCTTATCCATAACGCCGCCGCTATTCGTATCCTCTAATCTATACATGGGGCTGATGTTTGTTGGTTTTGCGCTGATTAATGAATCGTTATTTGGGTTTGTTTATTCCTATATGTTACTCTATATGTACTTGACATATATATACTCGCGTTCATATATATATATATATATATATATTATATATTGCGTTATTTGTTCATACGATTTGGATAGTTTGAAATTGTATTTTTATGTTTCTTTTATGTCGGATTTTGGTTGTTTGTGATTTAGTTGTTTTCAATAAATTAAATAGATTTTTTGTGTATTTTTTTCGTTATCATTTGTGTCGTTGTTGTTGCATTTAATTTTAATTTACTTGCGTTTTTTTCGTGTGTTCCAGTTAATATAGATTTATGTATGTGGTATTGGTTAGTATATATATTTTCGTATATATTTTTATGGGTCGAATACTTTTTTGTTGTTTGTTTTATGTTTTGTTTTGTTTTGTTTTGTTTAAAATTATGAACACAAGTTTCAAGTCTTTTGTTATTGTATTTTGTATATATTATATTTTTGCAATACAATTGTCAAACATTTATGAAACAAACAAAACAAAAACACGTTTCTCTTCCTCTGCTCTTTCCGTTGTTGTTGTTGCTGTTGTTGTTATTATTGCTCTTTCCGTTTATTTACCGTTTAGCATTGCAATTACACACACTCCCACACAACGGGAGCGTGTGTGTGTGCTCTAATGAAAACAAAACACACACACACACATACGCGCGCGAACGCTAACGCACACAGACGCACGAGGGAAATCTGAGAAGAAAGCCATAAAAAAAAAAGTTTGCGATCTTGCTTTCTTCTCGTTTTTGCGTTTTTTGGTAATTTTTTTTTTTTGCTTTGTTATCGATTTTTTTTTGCTATTTATTATCGATTTCCTCAAGTTAATATAGTTTTGGTTTTATGGTAATTTTTGGCTACCGCTATTTTCAACATTTTGTTTAAACATCTTTACTCAGCACTTTAAACGATTCTCTTTTTTTTTTGTTATGTTTTATATTTACATTTGATAATGGTAAATAATTGTCGCCACGCTTTGTTTACAAAACTGTACTGCTGATGCTGCTTCTGTGGTTGTTGCTTGCTGGAATGAAAGGGGAAAACGTTTGTTTAATTAACTAATTGAATTATAATTATATATGGATAAATCTATATGGATGTACATATATACAAATGTATATTGGAGAGCCGGAAAAGATTTGAAGCGTACGGCGCAAATAAAAATAATAAATAATAACAATCTATAGCTCTCTGCCGCTGTTAACTCACTGTTAATGGCAGCTCTCTCTTTTGCCGCTCGCTTGGACGGTCTTTCTCTCTTTGGCAGGTGAACGAACGACACGCGACGCAAAAAGCATGCGTCTGTGTGCGAGTGAGAGAGCGCGCAAGTTCAACGTGTGGCTTGGCTTTTTTTTCGATGTTTTTTTTTTCCTGCCGGGGCGCCGCCTCTAATACATACACACACACGCCCACCTCTGACATTGCACTCACACACACACATACAGGCACACACCCATACACACGCAAAACGAGTGACAGCTGTTTCAAGTTCGATTTCGATTTCGATTACTCTTTTTCGACTCTGTTGTCAAGGCGAAAATTTTGGTGTGCATTTTAATTACAAATGTTGATTAACCCCACACAACACACAACACACAAAACAACAACGCACAATATACGTGAGCAAATATTTTAATTAGCTAAACAAAGCACCAGCACATTGTTGGTGTTGTTGTTGCGGTGAAAGTGGCGTTTATTAGCGTTTAGAGGTGCGCTGCTTGCTTTTTCTTTTTGTTTTTTGTTGTCGTTGTTGCTGTTGCTGCTGTTGTTGCTGCTTTTCTGCGGCACATGTCGGCACTTCGCGATTTTGTTGCCAAGCAAATGGAATTGACCAGCAGACGGCCAGGGTTGCCACCCCTCTTTCGATTTTTGGCTCTGCCTCTCGGCAATGGAAAAAGGGATAATAAAAAATAATTACCAATGCACATTTCCACAGACAGCTGCGGTCACAATTAGAGTGGCAACTAAACCACTACAGCAACATTGATACCACATAAATTTACTTAAAATGTTACTAACTCATTAACAAGTAATAGAAAGGAAAGACACCTGGCTTTGGAACTATTTAAAACTTTGGCAAGCAGTGGAAATAGTATGTCTACAACAGTTAAGGTCGATTTCTCCTTGTAATATGTTTAAGCTTTAGTTAAATGTTTTTTTTTTTCATGCAAAATCACACTGCTAATGTTTCCAAACTAACAACTTGACTAAATGTTAAAACTTAACAACTTAGGATCTTAAAAAATCTGGTAAATGCTTAAATAAGATTTTTCAACAGCCACAAAACATCTGAATGTTGGGTTTTTATTGAATTTCTGCAGAAAATAATTCACACATTTTACCGGCAAACAGAAGGAGGAAACCAGTTCCTAAATCAACAACAAAAACAACGAATGAGAAAAAGAAAACTGCAGCTTGTGAATCAGAAATGTATAAAAAAGAAACAAATGCGTCACTCCTCTCTGCAGTTTGTGACTAATAAATAAATACATACATAAATACATAAGTAATTCCCAGTGCGCGGATCTTGGCAGATCATGCGGCTAACGAGTGTTAACCCGTTGTTGTCAACTGATCGACCGCCGACCACCGACCGCTTATCAATAACAGTTCATTTGACTTTTCACACTTTTCCGCAATGTCCGGGGAGAGTTATTTATTTATTTGTTGCTACTTTTTTTTTTGCATTTATTTTTAGCACAGGCAGCAGCCAAAGTTTTTTGCATGCTTCATCATTTATTTTTGGGCCAACACGAAATTGGCACTGAAAAACAACAAAAAGCTGCAATAAACGACACATACCCACGCACTCCCACACACACACAAAATAACAATAGCAGCAAAAAGCCAAGTAAAGCGCACTGAAACACTAGATAATTGTTTTCTATTTTTCAGAACAGCTGGCAACCCTAGGCTGCGGGTGGGTGGTCTGCAAATCTCTCCTAGATCGGATCTCACCCTACTCCCCCAACTTCTAGGAAAAATACTAAAAATTCCACATAAAGATTCCTATGAATACAGTAATCATTCGCAAAGGCATCTAAGGTTTGGGCTTAAGAGTGTTTAGATAACAGTTAATTACTATCTGAAAATGTATTTAAAAAAATCTTTTATAAATATATAACCCCTAAAGAAGAGCTCTATGAGTGACCACTGTGTTTTGATTACAAAAATGAAGCTAAGAAAATCATGATCGATATCTGGCATTCTAAGTTTCAAGTGGGGAATTCCGGCAATCGGTCTCCATTTATCACTAACTGATTCCCAGGCCACTTTAACGAATAGTCACTGTATCGGCGGGCATAAAAAATAAAACTTTATGATCAGCGGCCGGCGTTTGACGTCAGAATCGGTTTGTCTGTCTGTCAGATTGTGCCTTTATACGTATACTGAATATATGTATATGGTTGCCTGCCTTTTGCTGCTCGCGCTCTCTTTCTTCTTTCTTTCTTTCTCCTTTCTCCGCTAAGCTAACCTAGCCACCTATCCACCCACCGAACTACATCCACCCACCGCAGAAATGGAAAAAGAAGAAGACTACGTAGGAGCACAGAGCACCGAGCACGTCATGTGGTGACCCAAATCGTTCGTGTGACTTTTTCCATTTGCGCTCGTTTTGTTTAATTCAATTTGCGTGCACATTAAATGCTGTTACTAAACTAATAAGTTAAATAAATCATATTTGTGCAACAGCTTCTTCCTTTGCCTGCCTTTTGTTTCTTTTTCTTTTTTGCGCAACATGTGGCGACGCCCGAAAAAAGGCAAAACATTTTGTTATTAATATTGCGTACTCACACTATTTTACCCAAATGTATATATATATATATATTTGGCTATGTGCGTGCTCCAGATTTTCTAGGTGTCTACTAAAAATACCTTGTAGGCGTTTTCCGCTTCTTTCTGTATTCATTAGTATCGCTGATTAGCCCAAAAAAAGAACTGAAGGAACTTAACTTGGCCACTGAAGAGCCAAGCAATTAATACGGCGCAACTTCTATAACTTGAACTCAACTTAACTACGTTCTTTAACTTAATGAAATAAAAGGCCAATTAGTTTAGGCAAAAGTCTTTACATAAATATTATTTATCTTTATATCCATCACTTCCAAACTTTATAAAATTTGTAATGATATTATTAAAATGTAAATTAATTCAAGCATGTTAACACCAAGTAATCCCTTACAAAGTTCTTAATTTCATTATGAAGATTTTAAGATAGAAGATTCGGATGGTTCTGAATCTTAAACATACATACTTTTAAAAACCCATTCTTGTGGAATCAGTTAAGGAAGTACGACTGTGATAACAAAAAACAAACAAAAAACGACAACCGAAAACGGTTTTTCGCTTTTGAAAGCACTTTTTCAATGGAAGATTGTGCAAAGAAAGGCGAAGAATTTATGCTTTCTTTCTCTGCGCTCCCCCTGGCCCTATCCCCCGTCCCGTTCGCACCCCTTGGCTAAGTGCGTAGTAGAGAAAGAGACGGAAGAACGATAGAGAAGAATCGAAAGCGGAGAAGAGAAGCGGGAGCAGCGAAGAAGAGCGAAGAATGTAAATGCCGCTGGCTGGCTAAGTTTATTATATTTATTTCTGCCGTTGTTGTTGCGGCTGCTGCTGCCGCTTTTTTTTTTATTGTCTTTTTTTATTTACTTTTCTTTTTTTTTCTTTTTAACTTGACTTGGTTCAAAGTTCAATGACCGATTTTGCCTTTGCCGAAACTGAGGCGAAATGAACTGAAATAAAATAATGAAGTGAACTTAAGTAAGCGGCGCAGTCGCAGAGTTTTATTGCCATCTCCCTCATACAAACATACACACCACACACACACACGCACACACCGAGGCACATGGCCACACACAAGGTCAGTTAATAAAGTTGATTTTTGCTCAATACGCAATAGCGCAAAAATGTGCAAATAAAAAATATAAACACTAACAAGTGGCAAGCGAAAATACAAAAGAATGAGCGGCAATTAGGGAATAACCTTTCATGTTTCCAAATTGAAGTTATCTTTAGTCACTGCATATAATTTAGTAATTACTAGATAATTTCATTTAGTAGTTTTAATCAGTTTTATTTGGTGTTGAAAATGATATGATCATCATTGAAAAATTTACATTGAATAGTTTGCAAATATTAAGATCTCTTGTTTTTCCTTTTAAGATTGAAATATTTGACATAAAGACAGATGGTAGATGGTCTATAAGGTAGATGGATACTATTATTTATTTAAATATATAAATCATTATACAAGTTTCTGATAATTCAGTGAATATTTGTAAATATTTGAGAATATTAAAAAAAATCAAACAAATCTATTACATTTTATTATCTTTAGAACTTTATTTCCCTAAGTGTAGCTGGGTGTTTTGTATGGTAATTCAAAACTGCGCATTCATTGATGACGGATGACGTCGCAGCCTGACAGTGGCATTGAAAATTTCAATTTCACAAACAGACTGCAAGCAACAACAACAATAACAATAAGAAATACAGGAAGATCAAGAACAAGAAGGCTTTACATATACTATACTTAATAACAAAGGAAACGAAATGACAGAATATCAAATTATTTAAAATATATATCAGAGTAAAATTTCGAACTTTTCTCATTTGAAGAATAATATATATTCATTTCCGAAAAACAATATAAAAATCTTCAAGTTTTTTCTTGGAATTGTCATCTGAAAGGTAAAATCATATTTCTAGAGAACATAAAATGGAAATTCTTTTGAGAAATAAATATATTTCAGTGGTTTTTGTGTCACCTAAATCTCTGCAGAATGAAATATTTTATTTTAAATGCTTTCGCAGCAGGATAGAGAAAAGGAAATAAATTATTTCCCAAATAAAATATTTGATTTAAATCCTCCAATAAACTTGCCTTGGGCAAGCATCTAGCCTATTACAACGCTATTAACCAATATTTACTGTATCTACACTGCAGATGAGTTGATTTTATTTTCACTGCCTGGTTTTCCCCACCCTCTGGTTGACTGCACCAAATGCTGCACTGATTAGAGACTAAAATAATAATAATAATAATAATCAAAACAAATGGCAGCACGTGTTCGGCATCTGGTTTGTTGTGATTAAGTGACAGTTGTTCCACCCACTTTCACGCCTTTCTCTGTTCGCCACACGTGCTGTAGCGTTAGTAAGTTACTCATTTAGTTAGTCAGTTACTTAGTTAGCTAGTTTGCTGCGTCAGCTACAGCGACGTAATTGCGCCGCAATTGGGGACTAATGAAATATTCTTGATACGCATTTAACCCACAGAAACCGAAGGAGAGCAAAGGTGTTAATTACCCATCGCTATGGCAGCCATTAATCCTGCGGGTGAAAATAGAAAGTGGGGGAAAAATATGAGCAACCTCTTCTTGACTTTCCACTCAATTAAAAAATCGTTAAAAGGAAGCCAAACGCTTAACGGTGCATGATTGAGAGGATTTTCTTACAGGCAAATTCAGCAATTTGAAACGAAAATTCTATTAACCGAAATAGTAAAAGGTTATTTGTGATGAAATCTTTGATTTTTGTATCATTTGCAATCGATTTGGACCATAACCTATCTATAAAGTTAGTTAGTCCCAGTAGCCTGAGTCAAATTCTGAATCCAAAAATCAAATTCTGAATCCAAAATGAATATATTTCTTCTATATTTCGTACTACTGATGATTCTCCTGATAAGGAGTGCCCGTTCGATGAGCTTTGACCTGCCCTTCTATGGTTATGACTCCTATATGGACACCTATTTGGACAACACTAACGATGAAATATCTGAAGATGGGCAGCGCAATCAGAATGCCAATGAACAAGTTACTATAGAGCCACAGCCTTTACTATTATACTCGACTACATCACCATACAAGAGTAATCCATCTTATGAAAATGCAGATTGTGGTCGGGATGAAAATGACTGTTGTGATAGTAACAATACCAGGAAAAAGGCCACTTATATTGCCCAAAATGCCGCCCAGGTGGCCAAGGCCGCCAATGAAGCTCAGGCGGCGGCAGCCGAAGATGCCTCGCGTCGGGTTAAAATGCAATTGGCCGATAAGGCCATCTGTGCTGCTCGTGCCGCCAATGCTGTTCTGGCAGGCAAAAAAATCGTAGTGGATAACTATGCAAGGGAGATCGGAGAAGCCGAATCCGTTGTGGATCAGGTGAGCATTTCCCTGGAGCGTAGCGAAGAAAACGCGGAGGCCGCCTGTTCAGCGGCCAAAACGGCAGAAAATGAAACCAACTCATTCAGGTATACTTATTGAAAACAGTAATACGATATATACATACATCAAATGACATATAGGTCATTCTTTTATATGCATTCGGAATCAATATTCCTAGACAACCCTTTTTCCCAGGGCCCAGGTGGAGCAGACACGCGCTATTTTATCTGATATCGATGACCTAATAGAGAACAATAATGCAGATCTTCAGGATAACACCCAAATGTTGAAGGAAGCGATGGCGCGTGGTGATTACTTGACCCGCCAGGTGGCGGTGGCGAGGTCGGAATATGGACAGGTGAAAGAGGCGGCCTGCCGAGCAGCCTGCGCCGCCGTGGAGGCCAAACAGAAAGCAGGTTCCTCAGATGATGTTTGTGGGCCTTCACCGGCTCCTCCGCCAAGAACTGGAGGATGTGGCTCTGCCAGTGACAGTAAAGAATGCAACGCCCTTTTGGAACTCTACAGGCAGCGGCGCCGGCAACAACAACGACAGAGGCGAGAAAAGCTTAAGGATCGGGCAGATCATGAACAAGGGCAGTACAGGGAAGATCACTTCTACGATAGGATGCGCTCTATATACCGATAGGGCATACAGGTTGCTTCTATTATTATTGTTATTATTTTTAATAATTTAATTACACTGTTCATTTCGTATTGTAATGAAGAGAAATACACAGAGTAATATACAGATATATTTACAAGTTGTATTCTTTCCCAAAAACGAATCTTGTCTGGCAATCGCTTCATTCTTTAAAGGATCAGAGTGATTCATTTCCCCTTTAATTCAAGTGCATTCTATTTTTTGATAGAGGTTCCAAAGTGTACGTTCTATTTTTATAATGACTGCAGATTACATTTCTAATTTAGCAAATACTATAGATTGCACAATCTATTTTTGAAATAGTTGCAGATAACATTCAAGGACTGATCTCAATTGCAGTCTATGATTTTATTGAAAAATCAATATTAAAACGAATATGCATTGATCATTTAATTTAAGTCGAGGATCTTCTTTATGAATGAACACTGTAGCTGTCTGAATATGCAATTGTTTACCAACAAATTCGCTTTGCAGTGCCGTAATTCTTGCGAAATAAACAATAACATTGCAGCCATGTTGTTGGGCGAATGGAATAGGCAAAGGAAAACGGGTGCAAGGCCAAAAAATCAGCGAAACACGGTCGCAAAGAGAAGAAGGAGATAGAGCGTGGAAAAGCCATCTTTTTCCAGTCAAAGATCGAAAAAAGAAACACAGCTGCCTATGCAATGCGTCCAGCTGTTTGGGTTTTTCCTTCTTTTTCTTTTCTTTTGAATTTTATACATTTTGGTGAAAACGGTGGGCGGTTGGGTGTTAAATGTGCAACGGCAGCAGGGTTGCCACCTTTTGCGGCGCTGTTGCGCCGTTGTTGTTTTTATTGCTATTTTGGCGTCGCTTCTTGAAACTCGAAACGGAAGAGAGAAGGAGAGCAAAAGCGAAAGAGAGATAGGGCGCGCGCATTTCGCAGCGGGCGACAGAAAGAGAAAGGAAAGCAAAGAAGAGAACAAAATCCATCGAATAAGAATAAATTAAATTATAATTTTAAAATCGTCAATTAACACTTGAAGTATATTTAATTAAGTAATTACAAAAACGTGAAAGTCATGGTAAAAAGTGTGAAATTTTCCTTTAAAGTAGTAAACGATGTTCGGTTTTTATTGTTGGCTGGCTCTATGTAAATCGATTCTTTCAGGCCTTTTTGATTATTTTGAATTTAAATTAAATAGCAAATATCAAGCAAATCATCAACTTAGACTAATGTTTCTAACTTTTTCTTAAATCAACTAGACATTTTAATTGCTTTTTTGAATAAAACATATAGATATTTACGGTGTTAAAAGTAAAAAGTTAAACCTAAACAGCAGCTTCGAACCTCTGGCTTGTACATTATTTCATGCTGACCTTAGCATTTTTTTAAATAAATAAAACATTTGGTAAAATATAAGCCGCAATTAAATTGGTTCAAAAGTCTAATTGTGTTTTAGCTATGCTATTCAAGAATATAGTTTTCAATAAGTGATATAAAGTTTGATTTTAATAAAGTAATAAGTGGAACTTTATGGAACTTAAAATGCCGGCAAGTCCAATTGGCTTGCCTTTTGGGCGCTTAACAGCAACACTGTTAACAGTTAACAGCACGCTGTATTATGTTGGACGCTTGAGTTTCGGCTCTCTCTCTAACTATTCTCTTTTTTCAACCTAACCAAACAGAAAAACAGAAGCATAAAAAAGACTTACTTACATTTGATTTTCGCCGTTGTTTTTCCCTCTGTTGTATTTTTGGTTGTTTTATTTCCAGACTTTTGGCTTTGTTATTTTCGCTGCATTTATTCCACACATGTTGGTAGTTGTTGTTGTTGATGATGATTGCAGCTGCCGCCGTTGTTGTTGTTTTTGTTGGTGCTGCTGCTGCCACAGAAAAACATGTTTCACTTTATTCCCTTTTTTCTTTCTTTCCTTCTTTTCTGTTGTTGTTGTTGGTGGCAAGAGAGGGACGTCGATATGTGACGCGCACACACACACACACACCCGCAGCAAAAGAGAGAGAGCGAGAGGCAAACAAAAAAGATATTGCCGTTTTTCGTTATTCGTTGTTGTTGCTGCAGCCGCTGCTTCTTTTTCTATGTTTCCATTTTGTACTTTAATAAATTAACAAACTTTTAACATTTTCTTTTCATTTTTGTGCAGCTCTCTCTTCGGGTTTTACGCTTTTCCGCCCGTCTGCCACAAAAAAGAGCGCGCCTCCGCAGTGTACAAAAAAAAAGGCACACACCAAATGAGGAAAAAAAAAACACACACACACTCGCGCACGCAGCACCACACGCATACACAGACACGACCGAATCGAGGGAAAATGCTAAATTAACGCGTTAAATTTTCACTTTTCATCGTTTTTCCAGCCGCTTTTATTTAGCTCACTTCACCGATTTAAAATTTTTATTTAACACGCCGCTTGTGTTTCCGCGCTGCGCATTTTGTTGCTAGTTTTAGGTCTTGCTTCCCTTCCGTTCGTTGAAACAAGCCAATCATCGGCCGCTCGCTCTTTAGTACTGCAAGTACAGCCAGGGCTGGGTAACAACTGACTGTCCGATAGAACGATAATTATCGTTTTAGCCGGTACATTCACCTAATGTTGACATTATCCACCCCTTACTTATACACGGCAGTGCATCCCTCTAGCCAGTGCAAGCACCACGCCACACTTCTAATCTATATTTTTCCGTTAATATGTTTGAATATTAGAATTTTTTACAATGACATACATATTATTTATAATACGTTAAAAATATATATGTAAGAATATATGTTTTCATTAAAATGATGTTCAGTGGAGTTGAGGGTAACAACCGGTTCAACTTAGAACATAAAATTCCAGTTATTTTAAAAAGCAAGAAAGTTGTAAAATTGTGACCCGATTATTTAAACTTGATCTGTAAGATGTTAAATGCAAAGGATCGTTAAATTATCGTTTCAATTTATTTATGGGCCATTAAATGTTTTGTGTTTTCCCTCTTGGTTCTCAGTTTAAAATTAACTCAGCAGCAAGTCCTTTAAAAATGTTATGGCAAACCAAGTGTTTATAAGAATGCATTTAAAGTATTTTAAAAATTTAGTTTACTTTAGAGTCGCAAGTGCTACAGGTCGTATTTTGAATATAATGCTTTTGCTTACCCTTTTTATATCGATCTCAATATCTTTGGGTACCTCAAATCCAGCTGAAGGTTTTCAGCAGAAATCTCCCAATCCCAATGTGGAAAATCCATGTAGTGCATCTCGTATTTGGGTTTGGAGACCCATCCTCGATAGATTTGTTAAGGTCAATTCCACCGATGATATGAAAGCCCAATTAAACGCTATGGCAGAAACCATAACAACTTTGCAGAATCGAATCACCTGCAAGGATGAGCAATTAGTTTCACAAACGAAGGAAATCAAGGATCAAGGTGATAGAGTTAATGTTTTGACACAAAATGTTAAAATCTTGCGAAGTGAGCTGATAACTGCCAGGGGTGAAATCATAAAGAAAGAGAAAAAACTTAAATTGAATACGGAAAAAATAACTAAAATTACCGATGAACTTCTGGAGTGCAGTCGGCAAGATACTTGTCCTGCTAATCGTCCCGATGGAATTTACAAAGTGAAAATTCACGGATTAAAAGCATTCGAAGTGCCCTGCAGCTCAAACGGTTGGTTAACTATTCAAAAACGTATCGATGGCTCCGAGAATTTCGATCGATCCTGGAAGGACTATAAGTATGGTTTCGGTAATGTATCTGGAGAATTTTTTATCGGACTAGAGAAAATGCATTATATGACTCGAGAACGAAGCTACGAACTGTATATCAAACTTGGAAAAGTTAATGGATCCACTAGCTATGCTCATTATGATAATTTTCGGATTGGAAGCGAACAGGAATTATATGAATTAAAATCTCTGGGGTTATATAATGGTACAGCTGGAGATTCTCTGAGAAGACATGAAAACCAAAAGTTTACCACTTTCGACAGGGATAATGATTCCTTTAAAAATAATTGCGCTTCCGATGAATACGGTGGTTGGTGGTACTACAATTGTGCTCAAAGGTAAACAAATTTAAATAATAATCATATTTAAGCGAGTTATTTAAATGTCTTAAAAATTACAGCATGCTCAATGGAAAGTACTACAAGGAGGGACACTCCAGGGATAAAAAAACGAATGGAATTATGTGGGGCTCTTGGCATAACAATGATTGGACATACTCGCTGACCTTTGTTGAAATGATGATTAAGCCTAAAGCCATTTAAGGTTTCAGAAATATCTTTAAAATTCCTTTATACTTTTAACTATTCGCAAATACAAGGAGATAATTGTCAGAATGTACAAGATAAAATATATTGTCGACATTAGCGGTATTTTTGTAAAAAAGAAAATGAATTGGAATGTTTTTCTAGGGCGATGGTATTTTTTTACGTTTCAGTTGCGGGCACACTGCTATTTTGGTTTCTATTCGTCCCATAAAATTCAAAAAATCTTTTTTCCTTTTATCTGAGTTTTCAAAAGATTTCTAAATTGAAAACTCAGTTGACTCCGACTCAGTGCCCAAATTTTCAGTGTGTCCTGCCGGAACGGAGGTGTGTCACCAAGGAAACTAGCGGCAAAGCCACAACAATTGGTCGTTGAGAGTGACGAAATAGAAATCGGGAGATAGCAGCGGCACCAGCAGCAGCAGTAGTAGTAGTAGTTATAGTGAGTACGAGCACACCAGACATCGCACATATCACCGCACGCTCAGTGCCCAGCGAGCAGTTTCGGCGAGCAGTTCCCGTGAGATATAGCCGCGGATATGACAACGATAGATTGAAACGCACTTACACTGGATATTTCTCCATTTTCTAGACGCAGCAGATCCGTAGTCCCCTAGATCCCCGAACCAGCCCGATCATGTCCAGCGATGCCAATACGCCCGTGCTGCGCAATTGCATTCAGTTGCCGCTGCCGGAGGAAGAGCTCCTGGAGGTTACCGCCAAGGCCAAGGACTATGCCATCATGCACGGCGCTGCCATGCGCTCAAAAACAGCCTTCAGTCCGGACTCCCTGAATGTGGGTGGTACAGTCGAACATTGCTAGTTGAGTCTTGTGTAGTGATTTATAATACTTTCGTAGACAGAAGTGCTAGATTTCAAACAAAATCGTAAGTTTCCGGATCGAAGGAATTTACGTTAAATGTTCTTTATCAAACATATTTATTGATAGAGCAACAAGTGATTTAGACTGGATTTAACGACTCAAGAGGTAGTTTCTAATCTTTTGTATATCTTTAAATATATTAAAGGACAGATAAGCTACCTGTAGTTATTCTTATATAAAATGAAGCAGTTAGAAGGGCTGCTCGAGATTCAACCTAGAATTGTTCGATTGAACTAGAAGATCACAATACTAACCAAAATCCTTTGTAGTTCGCCCCGTTTGTGCTGGTACCTTCTTCGTTTCCGCGCAAGGAGTTTGAGAAGGCGGTGGCCCTGCAGCCGATCATCAACCGGCTGATGCACAATGTGGCCCACGACGAGGAGTTCATCACGACGACACTGGCGGAGACGATCAAAGTAGATGAGTTCACGGCCGGTCTTTTTAACATCTATCGCAAGGTTTTGGCGCACGGATTCACCCAGGTGAGACTTCGTCAGCTTGCGTTCATTCATCTCTGATCCTCCGCCCTGCACATCACCATCACAAACCACAACGTATCCACCTCATCCCCATCGGGAGTACATATACAGGCAGCCAGTTTGGGTTTCTCGCTAGAATTTATTGAGCCCCTCCACCCGCGGTCGCAATCTAATCGCCCATCCATAAATCGCCCGGCCATAGTTATAGTCGCTAATCTCGCGTGATTTATACGAGCATCCTGGTCTCCCAGCTCCTTATCGTTGGTTCGCCCAGTTAGCCTTGTTAATCGACGTAGGACAGCCCATCCCTGACCCTAAAAACGCTAGCCTTTTGCCATTGCTCTTCCTTTTTTTTAATTTTCATTAATTTTACCTAACGAAACAGCACAGAAACGAATTTTATGAACTTTTCCATGTCGATCATATATAATAATTTTGTTCATATCAGAAAGGTGACAAGTTGAGTTTATTTTTAATAATTGTATATTGGTTTAGTAACTGATAGGGCTTATTAAAAATAACTTTGTTTGATTATTTTTTAATCTCAATTGGAGATTGTAAAAGTTTTAATTTACTTTCCCTTTTAATTTATAGTTACGAAATTGTAATTTGAGTTTACTTGCAACATTTTTGAAATTTCATTTATATCAAGTTAAAAATGAATTTTGTGTGCTGTGCGAATTGCTTTTCTTGTCACCAACTGCTCAAAAGATAAAACTAAGCCATGCAATTGTACAAACTATCGATCTCAACCACAATCTGTTGCTCCATTATCCGTCACTCATTGCATCGCTTTGCTTCGAAAAATGATCGAATCAAATGAAACCGTAAACAAACCGAATCGAATCGAAGAAAATATCACTGGGGATGCTGCGCAGTGATCTGATGCTGGAGTCCGGGTGTCCAGAGTTGTCGCCACGGGCGCTGAGGTTGGAGGCTGGCGAGGATGCGGAGGCTGCTGAGGGGAAAGAAGCTGGAACTGCTGCTGCTGGCACGGGCAGAAAGGAGGAGGCGGAGCGGAAGGAGCACAGGGAGAAGCAGCTATGCCAGGCCACCAGAGAGCGGGAACGAAGGGCGACCGGCGCTCAATCCGCATACTGCTGCTGGAAACAAGTCGAGATCAATACGATAGCTTCGGGCTTTGGCCATTTGGGACCAGCAAGTAAAACCATACAAAGGTGCTGTCTGTCCACACCCACTGTCCATCAATGCAACCATGGCAACACCACCACCACCATCAGCAACACTTTCCGCTACCCAATCCTGTTATGACCCGATCATCTCATTCCTGCATCGCTTGCATCCTCCGCCTAACCACACCAAATCACACACTAACACTAGATCCAGAAACCTTTTTGATTTCCGATTCAATTACTTTATATTTTCATTCCTGTCTTCTTATCTTGTAAACTGTATAATTTTATACGACTTGACAGTTTACAAGACTTAAGACAAAGGGATTACAAATTGTAAAGTTTCTGCTAAGATAATCCTGATTTGACTTTTATATTGAAAAGAGAACTTACAGTTCTGTACTTTCTTAAAAGATCTTCTTACTCCTTCTACCTAAAATATAAAATGAATCAATGCATTATTTTTGAGAACAATAAGTTTAAATTTTATATAAAGTAAAGAGTAAATTCTTCGGTAAATTGAACTTGATATATTTTTGAAAATCTAACGTGCTGTGTGTGCTTTGGTGTGTGTTGCTTTGTAAAGTCCCTTGTAACTACTTTAGTTAAAGTTGATTTTGTTCCACTGTTTCTTAGACATGTATATATAACCATAGCTACATATTTGGATGGCAATATGATTGAATGCCATTTTTGGTTGAGTCCTTTTGAGATTGTTGCGTAGATTTTTGATTTGCTGCCGCTGCCTGTCGCCCGTTGCCTCCTGCCTGCTCTGTTCCTCATCTGATCTGCTCTGCTCTGCTCCTGCTACCCGGCTTCTGACTCCTGCATCCTGCCACCTGCTAACCCGCTTAATAATCTCCATTTTCCCCCTGTGATTGTCCGTTCAGCTGTTCCCTACTTTTCCAACTTATCTTAAAGTCCCTTCCTATACGACAGTCACGGATATGTTTAGTTAAGGGACAGACTTTTTAGATATTTACGGGATATATTCACATGATCTGATAAAGCCTTGTGTTTAGGCAATACTTCATTGCCGAATTCTATATTTCACAACTAAAAAATCTCTAGAACTTTCTGGAACTTTCTTCTGCCATGAAAGTGTCTAGCGGCTAATCAATAAAAATTTTTACATTTATATTTTGGTTGTTCCTTTTTTAAAGTCACTTAATGATAGATATTAAACTCATAGTCTCAAGGCCAGTATATGACGATTATTCGCTATTCGTAGACCAAATATATATGTATATATGAAGCCCCCACATGGAGAACCCACAGCTAGTCTACAGATAGGGTTACAGATAGGGATACGAGCCCAACTGATATAGATACGCCTGGTAATTGTTTATTTAAAGTGGATGTGGGCGATAACAGGGCCCATCAGGTGCATTTTCAGGGGCGAAATATGGATAGTAAATCCAGGAATTCGTCTTTAATTATACATTTCAGCACAAAAAACCGGATCCTATCTGTGGAGTCTCGAATTCCCAAACTTCTAAAATGTTAAGACCGAAAACACCTGTTTGTGGTGTTTTATTTTAGCGATTTGCCTGTTTACTTAATTGCCGGCAGCAATGACGTAAACTTAATTTAAACAGATTAGTATGTTTATTAAACTGTAGAAGTAACCACTGTAAATGTCGATGGGATTATAACTCGTTTTTGCTGCGCAATGCTCGGTTACACTTATCATGAAATGCGAAGAGAGTAATGATTTCATGAATGACTAATTAGCATAACAATCATAAAAAAGTTCGCGTTGAACCGAAAGTATGATCCACACTTCTTTCAAAGTAGTGAGGTCTTCTTTTATATGACGAATATGTATTTTTAAAAATACGATACAATCCGTAATCTGACAAGTCTTCCAGCCACTTAAAAAATATGAAGATTAAAATATAGAATCTTATATTAGAGGCACTCGGGCTCAATTTAAAGATAAGTTTCAACTTCATGATTGGAAACCTACTTTCTCTATCTAATTCTCTTACAATCAATCTAAGAATAGACCAAAAAAACATATTTCTTGGCTATATAGTTTAGATCGTATTGGGGAAAAGCATCGTTTCACTCTACCATCTTGCACCATTTCTCGCCTATAAATAATTTAAAATATATATTGTATCCGCACCTGCCTCATCCTATATATATATATATATTTAAGACCTATGGACGAGGATCACACCATACCATATTTTTTTAATCGCTTTATCGGCTAAGTAGTAACTTTAAGGGAAGCACCTAATGTATATATATTGTATAATGATCATAATTGCAGGCATATAGCATCGGTCTGTTGCGATCCGACTATATGGCACACGTGTCCGAGGGCTGTGCGATAAAGCAGGTCGAGATCAACACGGTGGCCTCCAGTTTCGCTGGCATTGCCACTCGATTGGTGCCACAGCAGAAGTATTAAGCGCTCTTCTCTCTCTCTCTATCAAAAGCACGAATGCACAAACACACACCTCAAAAAAATACCTGTCTTTCTATACCCCAACCTACCCCTCCCACTCACGCACGCATCGTTCACTAATTACTGATCAGTGATCAGATTCTTAGAGGTTTTGTCTCTAAAGTTTGCTGATCATTGATCACTGATCACATCCCTAGAGGTTCCATCTATATCGTTTTTGATGTCTCTTTTTTGCATGCGGTTTAATTGGTTATAGTTTTATCCGTCTCTTTCTACACGCTGTAGCTTAACAAATGTTTGACATTTACACCTAACCCCTTCCTCCCCCACAATTTCCCTAACCCCTTTTGCGGTTTTGGTCTCAATTAACCCCCTCATCTGCCCCCAACAATTGTTGTTGTTTGTTGCTGTTGTTGGTCATTAAGCGATTACGGAATTATGCTAACCTGTCTCTTTCTGTTCCGGCACTTCCCGTCTCTTTCACCCATGCAGATTTGTACTTAGCGAACTTGGACATGCGGATAAGCTGCACAATGTGAGTATTCCTTGAGAATCCTTTAGGAACATATGATAGAAGTAATACATGTGTCTTACCTCCTTCCAGATGCCCGATAACAAAGCCCTGGCTGGACTCTGCGATGGCATGGTCAGGGCCTGGGAAATCTATGCCAAGCCGAAAGCTGTGATCCTGTTCATCATCGAGGACGTGTCGTATAACATCTGCGATCAGCGATTCCATGAGTTCTACATTCGTGAGACCTATCCGCACATAAAGGTGCTGCGTCGCACTCTTACCGAGGTTCATCGGGAGGGCAAACTTGGCCTGTCCAAGGAGCTGCTTCTGTAAGTAGAACCAGAAAAGAGGCCTATTTATACGATTTTTTCACTGAATGTATTAACATTACCATTATTATAGGGGATCCCTGGAGGTGGCTGTAATCTATTTCCGTGCTGGCTATGAACCAGGGCACTATCACTCACAGGCGGAGTGGGATGCCCGCTATCTTATGGAGACATCGTTGGCCATTAAGTGCCCCTCGATTCATTACCATCTGGCGGGGACCAAGAAGGTTCAACAGGCACTCGCCCAACCGGCAGTTCTCGAACGTTTCATTAACGATCCGGAGGAGATCAAGGCAGTGGGCAAGATCTTTACGGGTCTGTATTCACTCGACGACAACGAGGCGGGCAATGCCTCCTACGAGATGGCACTGCGGACTCCAGAGCGATTCGTGCTGAAGCCTCAGCGCGAAGGAGGTGGCAATAATGTTTACGGCGTGGATATTCCAGATGCCCTCAAGGTAAGTTAACTATTTTTAGTAGTTTTAATTTATTTCAACAAGAGGGGTTCTGGTAAACTTTTGTTTTGAGGAGTCACCTTTAACACTCAAAAATCTATAGTTTAGTTATAAATCGTTTTGATTTTTCTTGCAGCGAATGTCGCGCGTGGAGCGGTCTGCCTGGATACTCATGGATCTGATCCATCCGCCGCTGACCAAGGGCTATATGGTGCGTCCCGGTGGCGATATGCCGCCCCAGATCGTCGACATGGTCTCCGAGCTGGGTATCTTTGGCGTGGTCATCGGTGATGCCGAACACATTATGCATAATTACCAAGCGGGACACATGCTACGCACAAAGCTGTCGACCGCCAATGAAGGAGGTGTAGCCGCCGGAATGGGCGCCCTGGATAGTCCCTATTTAATTGACAGCGATGACGAGGACGAAAACAACTAGGGTCCTTCAATTGAAGGCTCCAAACGCCGGCATTCCACCTGTTGCCTCAGTCTTGTATAAATAATTATTTTTGTAAAGCGTGTTGTAAATTTTTCACAATTTTCCCCATCCCAAATTGTAATAAACAAAACGTAAAGTTAGAAATTTCTGGTCAAGATGCAAACTGGATTTAGGGGTAAAAGCTTTGCTACAGTTAACTCGAACTCTTAGTTTCTAAGAACTATCACCGGGGAGTAGAATTGAGTGGGAAGGGTTGATCACGCGCAGCGTTTACTACCTGATCATCTTGCGATAGGTGACGTCCATCAGGCGGTCCACCAGGCTGTCAATGGGATGGATGATCAGAGGGATGCTTGCAAGGCCAACCAAAGTGGGCACCGTTTTTAGTATTGGCGAAGGAGCTCGGGTCAGCAGTGATTTCGTGGCCCATGTGATGCTAAAAGAGTAAAGAAAATATTATGTTATTATATTAATACCATTTTATATGTTAGTATGGATAGTCAGTAGATTAGATCATGAAAAACTACTTGCTTTAACCTACTTTATAATATATATAAACAAGTTTGCAAATTTTAGAGAGACTTATGACTGCATTGTCAATGTACTGATACAACATTTAAGTTCGTTTTAAACATTAAACCAGTTTTCTGCGACACTGATGAGGTAATGTACTATATATATATATAAACAAGTACATATCTATAGTTTAGTTAGCTATTACGTAATGGATAGGAAAAACGTAATGGATAGCCACAAACGATATAACAAGGTTTTCAGGGAATGATCCCCTGGGAACAGAAATACCCACCGATTGATGACCAAGCCAGGAATGGCGACAGAGGCCAGCATTTGCCAGCAGAAGACATCACCGCCCTTAATGGCCACTTCCCTGGAGGATGCCCCGTTCATCTGGAGGCGTAGTGACTTGTCAAAGGTGTCTGTGCAGACATATCCAATGGCCATGCCGTAGGTTGCAGCCACCAAAGATTTCGGCACCAGCGGGCGGAAGGACTCGCCAATTTCGTTGCTGTAGCCTAGAAATAGGGAAAATGGTTTATATTTATATAGAATTACCAAGATCAGATATAAACTTACCCATATAGCGAATGAAGGTGTCCCGGTATATGTCCAAGTCCTTCTCAATTACCTTGTGGGCTGTTTCCTGAGCTTCAGTCCCCTTAAGGACATTTTGCTTGTCCTCCGACATTGTCTTCACTGTACTATTATTATTATCACTATTTCTTTATGTGGAATGAGATTTTGTTGACGGATAGTCGAATTGGGTAATATCTGATGGTGATCTGTTCCCACTGACGGAAAATCAGCTGGAGACTGCGTGTTCTAAAATTTCATTGTTTTTCAAATTCAAATTTAACCGATCAATGAAGTTGAGTCCGCCAAACTCCACAACATGAAAGCCGTAAAAACAAACAGTTTATATAAATAATTAAAATCATATGCGGTTATCGATAATAGGGAATCTATATCGATTGGAGATAGCTAACAAAAAAGCTAAAGATAGCTAAATTATTTTGTAAAGCTCTTTTAATTTAAAATGAACTTTTAAACAACATTTACAAGGCCATTTTGTTTCCCTTTGGCATAAATGTTATTTAATTTTATTTATTATTAAAGATTTATGTAAAACCTGTATTAAATAACTAAATTTCAAAAGGCCCTCCACAAAAGTTTCGTGTGACCAGTTACGCTGCTCTTCGGCGATAAGTGAAGCACTCGATGCAGGCACACTGGCATATAAAAAAAAACAAGACGTCGTCATTCGCGTTGGAATTCCAACAAAATAGTTAAGTTTTCCTTTTGTTTAACACTTGTCGAACAGCCAACAAGTTAGCCAGTGACGATTGCCTGGATTTCGGAGCAAGTCAGCCAGCATAAATGTGAGTAATGCCGGAAAACCCACTGCAATCCCCGCCCCCAAAGTTCGCGATTTGTGTTTTTGTCAATGCCGCTGTATGTGCAGAGCATTAGTCATGCCCAGAAATTCGATTTTGCTTGCGAACTGCGTCACCGAAGGACCCTGAAACCGGAATCTACGGAGTTACCTCAAACTAAAGGCTTCGGATTGGGTAACCAAAAGCTTTGATTTTCTATGAGAGCGGACAGGAAGAGGAAGCAGATGACTGGCTTTAGGCCACTAATTGAATGCCGAATCCCGCTGGGGAGGGGCTTTTATAATCTGAAATACAACTAATGACAACTATATTCTATAGCCACAATATCTGGGATGCGATCTCGTATGGAAATTCGACATCACCAAAAATCCCAATATATATATTTAAATCTTCCTACTAAGGCAGTTTTGAATGCAGGTCCAAATTGCGCAAACCAATACAGCAAGAGTAATACATTTTCCATATTTCAAGAAAGCATATGTTACAGTTAGATTTCTAGAAATCAATATCTCTATATATAATAACTTTTTCCCTATAATAGCCTTACATTCAATTTATAACTTGTTTAATTCGATGTAAAAGAATTTATATGTTTATATTGTAATCCAATTCGGATTAAAGAAGATATTGCCCTTACGATCTGTTATTTATGTTATCAAAAATGTCTCTAAAAACTGAATTAGACATTTCTTCTATTGTCAGTGCTATCACTGAGAAGTGAAGTTCCATGTTCTAAAACTCAAACCTATAATTTTTCAGCACTATGGCAGCCGGAACCACCCTACAGAAGGCCATCGATCTGGTGACCAAGGCCACTGAGGAAGATCGAAACAAAAACTACGCGGAGGCATTGCGTCTTTATGAACATGGAGTGGAGTACTTCCTTCACACTATCAAATGTAAGAGCTCTTTTAAAGTCATGTCATAGACAGATTATAAAAAATTGTAGAATAAGACTTGTAATCAAACTAAATACTTACATGGCAATTCCTATCTTCCCAATAGATGAGGCGCAAGGCGAGAAGGCGAAAGATTCGATACGGGCCAAGTGCCTCCAGTATTTGGATCGCGCCGAGAAGCTGAAGGAGTACCTGAAGAAGGGAAAGAAGAAACCGCTTAAGGAGGGCGGTGAGTCCAGTGCCAAGGACGACAAGGATAAGAAGAGTGACAGTGATGACGAGGACGGAGACGATCCAGAAAAGAAGAAACTGCAAAGCAAGCTGGAGGATGCGATTGTCATAGAGAAGCCAAAGGTTCAGTGGTCCGATGTCGCCGGTCTAGATGCCGCCAAAGAGGCGCTGAAGGAGGCCGTTATCCTGCCGATTAAATTCCCGCAGCTGTTCACCGGCAAGCGAATTCCGTGGAAGGGCATTCTCCTATTCGGACCTCCCGGTACTGGTAAATCCTATCTGGCCAAGGCTGTCGCCACGGAAGCCAATCGCTCCACATTCTTCTCGGTGTCCAGCTCGGATCTGATGTCCAAGTGGCTGGGCGAATCCGAGAAGCTGGTCAAGAATCTCTTCGAGCTGGCCCGCCAGCATAAGCCCTCGATCATCTTTATCGACGAAATCGATTCGATGTGCTCGGCGAGATCGGACAACGAGAACGACAGCGTCCGGCGCATCAAAACCGAGTTTCTGGTTCAGATGCAGGGCGTGGGCAATGACACTGATGGCATCCTCGTTCTCGGAGCCACCAACATACCCTGGGTCCTTGACTCAGCTATCCGGCGACGATTCGAAAAGCGTATCTACATTCCGCTGCCGGAGGCACATGCCCGCCTCGTCATGTTTAAGATCCATCTGGGCAACACCACCCATGTGCTCACGGAGCAGGATCTCAAGGAGTTGGCCGGCAAAACTGAGGGGTATATATAGCAAAGCATATTAATTTGGATGGCTTGATATGTGTGGCTACAGTAGTAGCTACTATCTGCTATTTGTTGCCCCACAAAATCTAGCCATTTTGTGTACTGTTCATAATTAGAATTCTTAACTAATTAATTGATTTTCCGCTTTGCAGCTACTCTGGCGCGGATATATCGATCGTGGTGCGCGATGCCCTGATGGAACCTGTGCGCAAGGTACAGACCGCCACACATTTCAAACGTGTATCCGGACCAAGTCCCACCAACCACGAAGAGATTGTTAACGATTTGCTAGTTCCTTGCTCGCCGGGGGACAACGGTGCCATCGAAATGAATTGGATGGATGTGCCCAGCGACAAGCTCTTCGAACCGCCCGTTACCATGGTATGGATATTACATTATAATCAGACCTTTTCCCAGTATTTATATTATTCCTATATCATATTTTTCCAGCGCGACATGTTAAAATCCTTGTCACGCACGAAACCTACTGTGAACGAAGACGATCTGAAGAAGCTGCGCAAATTCACAGAGGACTTTGGCCAGGAGGGCTAGAGATGATCCCCGCCAGAAATCGCCAGCACCACCAGCTAATTCTAATTGTTGCCTATTGCATAAATTCTAACACGTTTTACTTCTGGCTCTCCTTAAACATTTTTTTTTATTTTATATATATAATATGTAAACATACGAAATACGGTTAAATTGTAATTGAAATTCGTCGTGCGATTGCTACAGAGACAAGGGAGATGCAGTGAGCGAAAAGAGGTTGGGATTGTTGTAATCACAAAGTCAATGTATTTTTGTACTCTTAATGTTAAGCGATAGAAGAAACCCGAAATCTTGAACAGAAAAACCGAATGCAATACGTGTGTCTGCTGCGCTTGCGCAATATTTGCCACTCGGACTCGCCACGGACAACTGACAACCAGATCACATCAAGAAAAAGGAGAAGCAGAAGCAATTTGAAGGAGCTAGTGAAGGAGTTTTAACGCAGCCGAGCAAACCTATTTAAATTGTAACGTACCAGAAATAAAAGCGAAACTTGTATACTTTACCGACATCCCGAGAATGCCAATTGCCAAGTGACTCGACGCGGGGGATTCCCTCCCGCCGCAAATGACCCCATTTCAATGTAAGCCACCACCAGGTGGGTGGGAAGCGGACAATCGGCAGTGTAGAGAAACTATGTGAAGAGAGTAGGAGCATTTTTGGCCCCTAAGTGGCGCAAAAGAATGCGCGACTTTTGCCGCCTGCCCTACATGCTGAGCGATAAGATCTTTCTGCGCGGCGAACGGCCCACCAGCATATGTATATGTTCGTTTCTGGCCGATCGACCAGATATTATCGGGCATGTTGTGAACGCCGACCGCTCGCACAGTGGGTAGTCCAGGAGTGAATGTTCTGAAAATAATTATTTTTGTTTAATTATTGTTAAATGCTAAAGCATCTTTTACTTTAGATAAGTTGTATTCCTTTTTTCTTGCCCTTCATTTTTTTTATTTAGGTTAAAATAGCTTTAAAAATTTTGGCACCATTTAAGTCAATCAATAAATATTGTAAAATATGAAAAATGGAATATAAAACTTTCTTACTGTGGGGTTTTTAAAATTTGAAAATTCTTTTAAAAAAACTTTAAAAAAAATGGATATTTCCTAACTAAAATTTTTTTTAATTCAAGATATTACCAATATACCACAGATATGGATACATTTCTTACGGCAACCTGACCCATAGTCCAATGCTGAAAGCTTCCGAGCAGTGATTGTGGAGGCTTGCGTTCGGGTTTCGGATTCGACTGAGACTTCGGCTTGTTGGGGCTCGGATCGTGAGTTTTGGGCCGGGCTTTGAGCCAGAGTTTTCAGTTGATCTTCAGCCGCAAAGGCTAGAGGTTCGAATTTGCTAGGATCGGTCCGCGTTCAATTTTCGCTATATTTCGCCCGCACATTGGCAGTTCCGTTACGTGAGTGCAGCGCCGTCGTCTCTGCGTTGCACAAAGCCAAAGCTTAAGATACAAAGCCCGAAAAGATACAGATACACGGCAACAACATTTCTCGGTTTCTTTTGCGCAACTTTGCTAAGAGCCCTCTCTATACAAGATACGAAAAAAGTGCGTATTTGTTGTGATTTGTTTTTGTTTGGTGTGCAAGTGGTTTTTTGTTTTTAAAAGGTGCATTAATTACCTGGCTTTTGGGCCTGGCCCTTTACACACCTTATTTGATATCTTTTTTTTTCGAGTGCGGTCTATGGTGCACAGTGGAAAAATGTTTACTTTGTTAACTATAATATTGATAGTAAATAAATGAGACAAAATTCATGTCTTTTTTAAAGAAATTTTTACGAAATACTGTTCTGTAAATTCTGCGATTTTCTTTGCTATCTGCCAGTAGGAACTGCTCATTCTATACAAACTAAAGGATTTCCTAACTATAAATAATATTTTAAAGAATATTACTTTAGAAAACTAATAATCATAAAATCACTTTTCAATCGCAGGAAATATATTTACATTTCCCAAAGTGAGATTTTCCTACGGTAGCTGCTGCTGTTGACTCGCAGATACTTCAATGTCAAAAGCCAAGATGAAGAGGGCTTGAAAAGGAGTCAGCAAAGAGGTCAGGGAAAATAAAAGCCACCTTTTTTTTTGCAGTGTGGTATTGCTGCTGCTGCTGCTGCTGCCGTGGTGAAGCGCAACTTTCACGCGCTTCAGGTGAAAACCGTGAGCCGGGTCCGAAATAAGCGAATTGAAGAAGAAGTTGAGGTTGAAGCCGCACAGCAGCCGAACTCACATAATTTGTTGTTATTTTGTTGTTGTTGATGTGTTGTTATTGTTATTATTATTATTATTATGACTGTTGTTGCTGTTTCTGATGTCGGTGGTGACTCTGTTTTTCCCCCACACATTCCCATTGTATTACTTATATATTTTTTTTTACGTGCTTTACTTTGTGTTTTTGGCTACTGTTTTTGTGTCAGTCGCGGGCTTTGCGAAACTATTTCAGAAATGCATATTTCTTGCGGCTCAAATGTGTCCAACTGAATGAGTTATGTGCATAAAATTAAGAGCACAGCCATGGGGCATTAGTCGTCGATTTTTCTTTGAGTGTTCCACTGCTTGCACTTCTGTGGTGCACTGCTTGCATCCAGTTTGTTTGATTTTTTTCTTCTTCTGAGATCAGGTATACCATATATTATGCATGTTTTGATTAAACTTGTTTGCAGAGAGGCATTAACATCAACACCTGACCTCCTCGCCACCCCTCCCCACTGGTAGATCAGAAAGAAAAAAAAACAAACTAAAAATCATGCTGACATTGACACGAATTGTCGACGGTAGCCACAACTAAAAAATAAAATAAAAATAAATAAAACAAACAAAAGTCAAATCATACAGTTTAAAGTTGAGATTCGAGCAAAACTGCCAACTGCCAACTTTAAATTTATGACTAAGATTTGTGGTGTGCGCGCGCTCTACAATTAAAGTGCATAAAATTCCACCAATGCCAGGGGCCAACAACAAAGTTAAATATATTAATTTGGCTTACAAATTTGTTTTCGTTTAGTTCGGAGGCGTAATGCACTGAAAGGAAATGTGGCAGGGGTTCTTTTTGATTTTAAAAGGAATTTTAGATCATGGAATATAATCCTTAGGAAAATCTTAATTAAAAATAAGAACTTTGATAGGTCTTTAAATCAATCAATGAACAATCATTATATTTGATATGATATTTTTCGCTGTGTGTCATTTTTCGAATTGCATTTGAAGTTAAACAATCCGATCGAAGACCCAGCGAACAATCAACTCTTGTTGATTGCTGCTTGTTGGTTGTTGGTTGTTGATTGTTGATTGAGTCGATTTGGCCGAGGAACAAGGTCGTTTACCACGCATATTATCAAATGCAAATGGGCATTATGTCTGCTAAATGCTGGAAAATCTCCTCGAAATTATTTAAGCGTAATTTCTTGGCTAATGGCTGTGTGTTGAATGTGTCTTTACCCTTGCCTCTATCAATTACATCAAAATTGCAGTATTATCTTTCAATACGCTTGTCATATTTTATATACTTTTTAGTAATACACATATTACTTAAAGTTCCCATAAAAGAAATAATAATAACCATGAAAGGAGACCATAAAAAACCAGCACAAACGAATTAAATTTCTTTTGTTCTTGTCAAAGCGAAGCCAGGCATGTAATTAAAAAGACTAATTATTTTTAATCTGGTGTGCTAATTGCGGTTGTCATTACGTTGGCCAAGTGAGTGGAAAGCCAAAGATAAGTCAGAGTGCTAGATTTTCCAGCTAAAATTCTGGGAAAATTCTCTTGGAATTAGGCCTAGAAAGATGGCAACTTTCATATTTTCTATTATTAAGAATATATTTTAGAGAGTTTTCCATTCTATAAAGATTTTCCTTGGTATAAAATATTCTTTTTGGTTTTCTCTACCTTCTCTTTAATCATCTCATTGTCGTTGGGTAACTGGGCCAGAAGGTTTCATAAGACATGTGAAATGATATAGTAGTGGCTGATTAGGTCAACTCGTTCCATGAACCATAACTGGCAACTTGATGCTGTCGCCGGGAAATGACAAAAGAGTGCTGCTATTTGGATTTGGAGTGTGTGCTGTGTTGTGATGTGGTGTGGTCTGGTGTGCTGTTCCCGAAAACTGTGTCACATATTTGTAATCCCATTCAATTGCATGCATGTAATTGTGCTGGCTTTTTCGGTGTTGTTTTTCTATGTAATTTCTGCCGTTGTGGCTCTTTACCGTTGCATCTAGCTGATTTATGGAATATTGTTTATTGTTTTTTTATGCTGCTGCTGCTGCTGCTGCTGTTCTGCATCGCTAATGAGGATTGCGTGGCAATCCCACAAAAAAGTTCTGTGATTCGGGGAGGCAGGAAAAGCACTTCGGCAGCGACCACAAATTGCATGTAGCAGCTATGGAAAGGTGCACAGAGAGAAAAAAAGCCAGCTTAGAGTTGAGCTCTCATTAAATCACAAGCATAATAGACATTTGTTGCACTCATTTTTTTCACAGTGTAACTACCAGCATTAGGCTGAAAATCCCCAAAGACGCGAGCGGAAATTTTATGCTTTGCTGGTTTTCGTTATATTTTCTTGCCCCAGCTTTGGCTCTCGGACTTGAATCGGATCGGCTTCCTCCCTTTTTTTTTTTTAGTTGCTGGGTCCGTCGTAACAAACAGGAAACTATTTTATGCTGCCATGCGAAAATTGGCTAAGGAAAAATGTATATATGTATTTTCGGTTTTTGGGTTTTCCTTACTTCTCTTTAATGTAGCGCTTTTGCCGCTGTTGTTGTTGTTTTTGTTGGGCTTGCAATCATACATCAGCCATCGGTGGCAAGTTCGTTGCCTAAGTCTTTCGTTTGGCAAGTGGCATTTTGCCCAGAAATTGTAAACGGATTGTACGTTGCGGGAATACGCTTGAATTAACCGTTAGCCCGGTTAGTTATAGTATATAAATCAGTGTTAAAGATCATCTAAGTTTTTAGCACCAACACCGTTTGAGAAATCCGACATGGTTACCCATAAATCACATTGCGTTTCTTCATTTTCCGTTCGATTTCTTGGTGGAATTTACCTAGCCAAAGCTAGGAGAGTGCAAAGTAATAATACTAAAAAGTTTTAACTATTGCATTGAGGTTTCTGTTTTGACAGGGGCACATAGTCATAGTCATAGTCAGGTCGTCTGTCCGTATGTCTTTGGCTTTGGCTTGACAAATCAATCAAATCGCTTCATGCGAATTTCGATTGCACAAAGACACAAGGCGAAGACAATGCATTGGTATTGTTTTTTGTGTTTTGTTTTTTTGTTTTTCGTCTGGCATTTGGCAATGCCGAGTGGCCATTTCCATTGTCCGCCATTCGTTTGGCTCACGTCCAGAGTTTAATGAGACATTCCGGCGGACGGATTGGCGAATGGACGAACAGACGGACGGACATAAGGTAGAAAAGCACAAGCCGCCAGCTACGAACTGCACTTTTCTTTGGCATGGTTCGGTTTTCTCAATCGATTTGCAGACTTTCCCAGCCAGTTCTCAGTTCGTCTCACTTTTTCCCCATTCAAATGAAACCTACACTGAGGGAAAATCAATTTGAATTAAATATTCATGGAAATGCTACTTGAACTCAATGCAAAATCTTTAAGAAATCCTAGGAATCCTTCTAATCTCCTCCTTTTTCTCAGTGTATTCTGAGTTTCTTATTTGCAGTACGTGCATCTGTTTTTCCCGCGTGCAGAGAGCTCTGGCACTCGTTCTTCGTAATGAGCTGAATTAGCCGGCAAATGCGAAAATGAGCAGCGGAAAGCGTCAGAGCCGCCAAATTGGGTTAATCTATTTGAAAGTGGAAGCGTTGGCCGCACCACCACCAGCCAACAAGCAAGCCAACTTTATATATATATATATATATATAAAAATCAGCATCTGATAGAGCTCCCATGCGAAAGTCGCCTTAGAAGCATTATTTTGTGCGTTACTTTCCATTTTGATGGCGATATTCGAGTCTCGGACTCGACTCGAGCTGATGCTGATGCTGACATTTGTCTCCGCTTTCTCAGAAACTTCACCTGTCAACCGACGGCTTTTTATTCTTTAACGGTACTTGGCTTTTAATTTCCCTTTTCATCAAAGCCCATCATCAACTTTAAACGTTCACACGATGTGAACAAAGGGCTCCCCCTTTTAAAGATAATTATGTGCTGGCATCCGTTGGGATCGGTTGGCTATAGCTAATAAAGGTGATCAGTTCAGTCACGGCAAGTTGAGGAAATTGTTATTAGCAGGATGCTACCAAGTCAAAGAAGAGCTCTCGTTTAATGATCTATATTAAGGAAATTGAGGCGATCTCTAAAAGTTAATACAACACTTTGGTTTTAAGTGATTAAAATAGTTGGTTTCCTGATTTGTATTTCTTGGAAAGAAACTTTAACATTTTCTTGGTCACTTAAAGATTTCATAGGAACTGCCTTTAGGTTTGTGGTTTCAGCAACTTAAATTTCCATATTAAAGTTAACAAGACTTAATGGATTTCTTTGATAAGTTGGTATTCATGGATATGAGTCATGATCATAACTCTATAAACTTCATTTCCTAGAAGCAAGCAATGTTTGCAAGACCAACAAACTAGTTCCCATTTAGGTTACTAAAACCTTTATGCCAAACTTCAGTTTTTGCCAGACCATTCTTTCGAAATCTTGCAATTGCAATATTATAAATGCATTCGCTGTCCACTGAACCGATGACAAAATATTCCGTGGGCGGTCAATTTCCAGAGGTTCAACGAGTATCTAACAATGGAGATCTTTTTGTAAATGTTGCACAATCGACAAATCTTTAGATGCTAATTGATAGATCATGCCGTCCGGTCAACGAAAGTGAAATGCTGTGTTGATTGAAGACCACAATTTGTTAATCGATAGGGGAAACAGTTTAAGTGCGGTTTCAGTTTCAGTTTCAGTTTCAGCTTCACAGATACAGATTCAGTTTCAGTTCCAGTTTCAGTTTGGTGTTTTTATGGCCAAAGGTTTTCACTTTCGTTTGTCACATCTTTATATCGTCGCCTGAGTCACACCTCCAGCACCACCATCACCACCTCCACCAACCACTCTTGCAATTTGGGGCCGAGTAAATTAGCCAAAAGTCAACAAATAAAGAGGCAAACAAACGCCGACGGCTCTTGGCTCTTGACTATTGGCTTTGTCTGGTCTGTGACTGTGCCTGTGCCTGTTGACCCAAATGTGTGATTCGGCCAAAAAAGTGGTCGGGCGGGATTTAGCGGCCAGAATGCTCGGCAGTCAAGTGTAAGGTCAATGGACTACTAATCGCTGTAGATGCAAGATGCAAGATGCAAGATGCCAGTTGCCCGTTGCAAGTTGCAAGACATTGTGCAGGGGACAAGAGACCATCGAGCAGTCGCACATGCGCAACATCCTGTTCGGGCGACACTGCAACCGGCCTATTATACAATGGCCAATGGCTACACAGAGAGAAAGAGCGATTCCAATGCTTTGCATATCAAATATAGTTAAATCGAACTTTAATTTAACTACCTTAGGTTGATTTTGTATTAGTTTAAAAGGAGTTAAGTTTGAAGTTTAAGTTTCTTTTGCTTCCTTTTTACACTTTTTATATATTTTTTCTCTGTGTGTAGCGAAAACGTTTAACGTTTTTGCGCTTGACTCTTCTGATTGCAGACGACTGATCGCCAGCCATCAATCAGGCCATCAATCAGTCAATGCCGCTTGTCGCAAATTGGAGCTGGAATTGGAGCCAAAGCCAGTGCCTGAACCAGAGCCAGAGCCGCTCTCCCTTCTCGGAGAAAGCCAAAGTCGCAACCTGAAACCTGGACAGTGGATCAGTGGACTCGACGACGAGGTCCACAATACTCGATACTTGGCATTCGACGAGATCCCAGCAGTGATTTGGCGACAGTGTCGGTGGTGTCTGCCTTTTGGCTAAGTCAGTCAGTGAGTCAGACACTCGAACTTGCAGTCATAGTTATAGTCACGACTCCACAACCACATCCACATCCACGTCGTCTTCGTTTTGGTTTTTTTGCTGCTGCTGCTGCTGCTGCTGCTGTTGTCGCCCGGCAGGTTCACAAATAAGTGAAAGTGAATTTGTTTATTGTATATTTTGCTATTACCAAAGCGAAAGAGACGCATAACACCATTCAGACAACATCTACAAACCGTCTACAAACTACTGGACTGGAGTCTGCAATTTCATTCAGTGCCAGCGATTGAGAGAGATCCCCCCAGAAGACAACAGCTTGTCGGATATTTAATCAATGAAGATCGTTGTAGAACAGCTGAAACTACTAACGAAATCAGCATGCTAAGTGCTAGCTATATATTTCTGGCTCTGCTGATATGCCACACGGGAAATGGTGAGTATACGCCCCGTGGGCTCCATTAACTAATTGCCAGACGGCGGCGCGAAGCATTAACTAATTTACTTAGTGCTCGACTTGTTTTGCTTTTAACGATCTGTAACTGTCTGTATGTATATGGTTTATATTATGGGTGTGTGGGTGGTGGCGGTGATTGTGCCAATTGAGAAGACGATCAACGAACCACTTCACAGCGACGATTGCACAATGGTCCAGAGAGCAGTGTTTTAAGGGGAATATAAGCGAGGTTTACACAAAGAGAAATAGGTATTAATATGGGTCAATATATCTTGAAATTTGCAGGGTAAAAAAGTTAGAACTTTTCCTTAAGATTTTGTGTTCTTTTTTTTTTGGTTTTCTGCCTTTTCTTGGAATAGAAAGCTTTTGAAACTCTAAACCTCTGCTTGATTTTCTAAGATATCTGAATAGACATTTTCTGATTCAATCTAATAACATTTTATCGCTTTTTTCCGTGTAGTTATTCATGTTCACAAGTGCCTGATTGTCTTTGCTGTGAAGGTAAAACCAATAAAGCAGAGACCAGCCAAGATTAGTTCAGCCTTGAGCTGAGCTCAGCCATGGACTGAAGAGCAGAGGACCTGGCAAATGCATAAATATATATGTGCATATATATTTATAAGGGAATTACTTTCTCAAGAGATCAAAGGTGTCTTTTTAGCAAGCTTAGAGTATCTATTGTGATCACAAACCCAGTAAAACTTAAAGTTCTCTAGGACCACAGAAAGGAATGTTCTAAGTTTGTTATTAAATTTCTTATTTAACAGTTCCATAATCCTAAAGCCTCGAACTCACGTCTTGCCATTATTGCAATTATTGGTTGCTATATAGATAGATATAACTATTTCCCCATTTCCTTAACTGAACGCTAGAAGCTCGTTAGGCAGACGACGCGTGTTGACAATTTTGGACCGTGGGCTTGGCTGTTGCCTTTAGTTTTGATTTTGAGTTTCAGTTTCAGTTTCGGCTTTTAGGTTTTTAGGTATTAGGCTTAGGCATTTTAAAAACGCAATCACGCTCCAGCGATCTATCATATAAACTCGCACACGAGCAGCGCAGTTATGTCATTCGCATGCCGTGCGTTTCGAATCGAATTGGGTTTGAGTTTTGGATTTGGGTTTTCTGTTTTGGGTTTTCGGTTTTGGGTGGCGAAGTGCACGGGGAAAACGTAAGGCGGAAAATTAAAATTAAAATAATTCACGCGTTGTCATTGGAAAGAAATTTTAAATACTTGTCACCAACTTATCGGCTTAAGCAATAGCTGTTATATCAGGCTAAATGATGTGCTGTGACAACTTTAAGGCTTGGCCCAAACCGGTTTTAAGACTGGGTGGGTATTCGAAAGTACTTAAAAGTTTAATTGCCAGTCAAAGGATAATGGTAAGGAAAACTTTTAACTGATTTTAGCAATGAAAACTAAATACTGCCTAAAAGTCAAGAATAAACTTGCTAACTGTTTTCAAGGCAGGCTTCCTCGGTTGATTTGGTTTTAAAATCTAAAAACAAATGGGAGGAGCTATGGCCAAGTTGGAAACCCAAAAAATCGAATTAAATCTAAAGTACCTGTCGGCGAACGTGCTTCCCATGCACATAACGCTACTTATTTAATATATTCGAATTTGATAGACCACTGACTCACGTTTGCCTGCCGTTTCTGGACATTTATAGCCATCGCCCAGGAAGTGGCCAGAAATGTTACCTCAGCGCCCTCGCCGTCTGACTTTGCAAAGCTATCGCAGGCCGTTCAGGATTCGCTGGTGGAGCACGAGGAGCGTCAGCGGGAACGATTACGTCGAGGTCATCGGTCGCGTAGGGCGGTGAAACGTGTCTGCTATGGCGAACTTGGTTGCTTCGAGGACTCCGGTCCGTTTGCCTATCTAGAGATGCTGCCCTCGCCGCCCGAGGAGATCAACACCAAGTTCTATTTCTATTCCACACGCCAGCGTTCGGATCGTCCACTGATGGAGCTTTCCTTTTTAAACATGACCAATGCCTTTCGGGGCAAACGGGAGACGGAGGTTAGCACCAGTTCACCAGAGGGCAGTGGCAGGTCATCGTCGTCCTCTTCTGCCCTGAACTCGTTGCCCTCCCAGAACTCCACGTTCAGCACAGAGCGCCCTGCCGGTGGTCAAAAGAAACCCACACCATCAATTGATGACCTCGAGGGATTCGATGAGCTGTCCGTGCGGGTTATAGTCCATGGCTTTGGCTCAGCCTGTCCACACGTGTGGATTTACGAGATGAAAACAGCGCTCATGGCGGTGGTAAGTAGGATGGGTTACCGATTACCATTCCCTCCCTTGTCATACTACATCCTTTTCAGGAGGACTGCATTGTGATCTGCGTGGACTGGGAGAATGGAGCCACCTTTCCGAACTACGTAAGAGCGGCGGCCAATACTCGTCTGGTGGGCAAACAGTTGGCCATGTTGCTCCGGAACCTTCAGCAGCACAAGGGACTCGATCTAATGCGCACCCACGTCATTGGATTTAGTTTGGGTGCTCACGTTTCTGGATTTGCAGGCGCTGAGCTTCCGGGTCTTTCGCGGATCACGGGCTTAGATCCGGCGGGTCCGCTCTTTGAGGCCCAGCATCCGAAGGTGCGGCTGGACAGCAGCGATGCCGAGTTCGTGGATGTGATTCACTCGAACGGGGAGAATCTGATCCTTGGTGGACTGGGCTCTTGGCAGCCCATGGGCCATGTGGACTACTATCCGAATGGAGGACGCGTGCAAACGGGCTGCTCGAATCTTTTCGTGGGCGCCGTCACCGATTTTATATGGTGTAAGTTAGGGTTAAGACTTCTAAAATTTCTCGAACTTACTAAGAAACTATATTTTCCACAGCTGCCCAAGCTGCAGAGGATGAGGAGGGTCGTTCGTTGTGCAACCACAGGCGGGCTTACAAGTTCTTCATCGATTCGGTGGCGCCACGTTGCTTGTTCCCAGCCTTTCCCTGCGGCAATTACGATGACTTCCTCAAAGGGAGATGCTTCCCCTGTGCCCAGGATGATGAGGACCTGGCCGAGGGCGTTCCAAGGTGCGGCAACATGGGCTACTATGCCGATCGATCCACGGGTAGGGGACAACTGTACCTGCTCACCCGCGAGGAGGAGCCCTTCTGTGCCCACCAATTCCAACTGCAGATCTTCAACTCCTTCAACGATCTGCCACTGCGGACTATAGGTCGTCTGGAGGCCATTCTCGAGGGAGATGGTGGTCTAAATGAGACCTTCGAGATATCCGAGTGCGTATGGGAGATTCCAGAACTCCTTTTTAAGGATCATAAATAACCGAATGCTATGTTCCCTTGCAGGAAAGACGATGCGGAGTTCTTCGCCGGTGACATTGTGTCCAAGATTATTGTGCCTCATCCGGCCTTGGGTTTCCCAACCACCTTGAGCCTTCACTACAAGTCCTACAGTGGGTGGTTGAGCAAGGGTCTGCCCCATTGGGACATTGACAAGGTGGTGCTGACGGACAGTTTTGGCCGAAGCCACTCCTTGTGTCGTCCTTCGACGAAACTAAGCAGTGGAAGTCCGGTACGCCTGCGTCTTCAGGCTGGCAACTGTGAGCTAGACAATCAGGAGGACTACGGAGCCTATACCACCCAACCACCTGCTGCTCCGGCGGCGGGAAGTCCCACAATGACTCCCACCGATGTACCGGATTCCAGTGTCCAGGAATCGGGCTTGGCAGCTTCGGTGGATGGCGTGGAGACAGCCAAACAGCGCAAGGACATCTTCAATTTGGGCACTAGCTTTAAGTTGGCCCGCAATCAGACATATCCCTTGGATCAGGGAGACGAGCTGCCTTGGCAACCGATTTTGGTGGGCAATTCGCTGGATAACGAGACTGCCGAGGCGGCGGAGTCCAGTCGAAGTCTCTCGGACTCGATTGGTGGCGAGATCTTTGAGCCCGTGCTCAAGGATCGTAGGCTGGCCGTGAATAGGGGGCGGAATTTGCAGGACTATGGCACTACCGACAGTCCGGAGATTGTGGAACCCGTGCTAAAGGCCACCACACCGCGTGTTAAGCAGGGCAAGGACCTGGATTTGTCCGAAAGTGAAGTGGCTGCTGCTGGAATGGTCACAACTTTGGGTGCCATTAGTTCTGCAGTAGCGGGCTCGTCACGCCTACCAGCCAAAACGATGGCGCAGGTGGGCACAGGACGATCTCCGGATCCGGATGAGCCGCAAACAGTGCAGCTGTTACCTTTTCGTTTGGGCGAACTCCTTCAGCGGGCCGAGCGGTATGCTCGGGAAACTCTTTTGCCGCTAATATCCGTGCAGGCACCTCGCTTCTTTGGCTTCAATGTGACACCTCATGATCGGGAGCCAGTGCTCCGTCCTGGGGATTCACGTAAGCCACGCTATATTCCACGCTATGAGGAGTCCGCATTTTTAAATACCAGTTCCAGTGCCAGGAGGCGGTCGCAGAAGGCTTCACGTCGATCGGCGGCAGTCCAACAGAGAAATCTCTTTCGGCTGATGCGATCGCGATCCCAAAGGCAGGGCGACAACGACAATGAGTCGGGCGAGCAGACTGGGGGGCAGACGGAACAGCAAAATGAGGTTAACTACTATACCAATGTCTTGCAGTCGGAGTCGAGATCTATGCGTCCCGAAACTCCCGACTATAGACCCGTATTTATCGACTTACCCACATATAAACCACAAATAGCTGCAGCTTCCGCTTCGGCTGCTGTTTCCACACCCCTGGCATCGGCTGCCGCTGCCGTTTCCGGTTCCGTTTCGAGGGCTAGAAGGCGTGGCCGATCACCAAAGCTAATTCCCTGATATTCAGACATTGAGATATTCAGCTCAGCTAGCTAAGCTGTCCCGCCATCGGGGATGAACACTTTGTGATATGCACACCAGATCGTGGCTATGGCACAGCTCCAAAATCGCAATCCCAAAACCCATTCACATTCACTGAATTTTCACCACACACCATCCATCCACACACACACTGTAAATATCCGAACGAGCAAGCAAAGATACATAGATATTGAAATGGAATTTCAAATCGTGGGCCGTTGCGTCGTAGTAGTTAAGATATTGAATGTAAGATTTTAAATGTGAGAAATTTAGTTGTTAAGATTAAACATAATGTCGAGGCTCTCGACTTTAAGATACCAGAATGTTATGATTTTTTTCATTTTTTGGGTTTAACAGTTAACAGTTCTCTTGAAATATATCTCTGAATTTATGATATTTATAACGTTTTGAAGGTAATTAAAAATCACTTTTCCGATTGACTCTGAAATAAACACTGCTTCCTGAGGCTCACACACAGTTAACTGCTTGCTCAGATCGACTACTTGCAAGCATAGCTGTCCGTTATTATCAGTTCACCATAGATCCATACTGCTTACCACACTGCTTAGCATTCAAAAGAGAAATAAAAGGCGGGCCTTTTGAATTTTCCTTTTAGCATAATTTATTTTATATACTTTCCATTTAATTTGTTTTATGTTCATAAAGTAACGTGTGTCTGCCTCTGTCTGTGTAGGTGTGTGTGTATGTTTTGTATGTGTGTTGAGCATGTGTGTGTGTGTGTGTGTGTCATGTTGTTGTTCTTGTTCTTCTTCTTTTTATATACTTTATTATTCACTTTAATTTGTTCATTTGTAAGCTGCTTTGATTTGAGATCCAATCTGGTTTTGTTTAAATTTACAATGATTGTAAAAATTGATTTTCGGTTATCGTAACCTTGGTTTTGTTTTTGGTTTTATTATCGATTGCTTTAAATTTATCGAAAGTCAAACGGTAGATTTTGTGCTTGCTCGCCTTGTTTGTTTCTTTGTTGCTTATTGTAGTTTATCTTTTTTGGTGTTTGGTTGTTTCTCCTTGTGTGTTGTTGTTGTTGTTGTTTTTGTTGTTCTGTTATTTGTTTGCTTCCTAGCTGTGTGTGAGTGTGTTAGTGTTTGTTTTGGTTTCGCTTTCTCTCGTATTTAATGTATAATAATCATTTTGTTTCGTTTTGTTTTTGGTTTAACTATTTATAAAACATTTCATTTTAGAATCTTAACAACATATATATACATGTATATATATACTATATACATATATATATATATATTTTATAATTGCTGCGGCGTTTGTTTTTGTTTTTGTTTTTGTTCTGTTATAATTTTATTTACTTAAGTGTTATTTATGTATACGTTTAATATGTAAATTTGTTTAGCATTAATTCATAAGTAGTTTTTTCCATATGCCCATCTTCTGTTGTTGCTGCTATTTGTTTTTGTTGTTTTGTTTTTGTTATTATTGTTGTACGCATAATTTACATGGAGTGACTACCGCATTCGTAATGCTAATTCTCTCTCTCTCTTTACCAGCTCATATTGCTCTACTTAACTCGCTATCTTTCCCTCCTATCCATCCCTATATCCTTCTATACCATACATATATCTCCTGCCTCCTACTTGATCTGGGCCTAATACGTTGCTCTCTGTGTGTGGTTGTGTGGTATTATCTAGGCATAGTTATCATAATTTTACTTGCATTTACTTTTATTGTTGTATTTCGCATGCTTGAGCTAAGTATATATATATCTTTTGTTTTATGTTTTATGTTTTTGTTTCTTTGTTTGGTAGTTGCACTTTATTGAATCGAAATGAAGACTCGGAATGGAATCGAAATCGAAATCGAGAATGAAGACTGATTTGATTTGATCTTTGAACTAAATGATGGTGTGGCCATATCAGACATATATGCTCTATATATCTAACTCCCTTAGATTGATCAATCTATAGGTTTAGCTTCTATAGCTTTATAGCATATATGTGTGTTAGTGCCACACACAGTTGGTGTGTATATATTTTAAATCTTTATTTGTTTTTAATCCAGTCTTTGTTTTTATTCATTTTATTCGCTTCTCCTCCTCCTCCTCCGGCTTCTCCTTCTATCCTCCACCTCTCTAATCGATCCTGAAACGAGCAACGAAAGAATCTCGGATTCCCTGGACATGGGGGGGCGGGGTCTATTGGGGGGTTGTTCTCTACTGGAAGGGGCAAGCTGGACTTAGCTGCAGACTGTACTTGATCCTAGGCATCATCTTCTTCTGTTATTTAACATAGTTCTCTCTTCCTCTTTCTCCTCACATCCGGCTCACTTCTTCGTCTTCCACTTTCTAATACCCTTAATTATTTTGGCAAGTTATCTTTACTTTGTTAATAGTTCTTTTTTTTGGGTTTTTGTGTTTTTGTTTGTTTGGATTTGTGACTCTTGTTTTTGGTTTATATCACTTTTAGTTGTAGTCTGGCCAAGTTGGTTCATCTCTGCACTCGCTTTTCATACTTTCTATTCCTTCTTTCCAACCTTTCATTCTTTCCTATGCTGTCTGCCTTTTCTTTCTTTTCTTCCTTTTTTTTTGTTTTTGGTTTTTAATAGTAAGCTTCATTTTTCTTAGCGATTTCTCTGTTTTTAATATTAGTTTGTAAATTACGCTTATAAAAAAAAAAATATTTTGAATTTGGTTTTTCCGTTTGCATGACTTGAAGACGATATGTTTTTTAATTGTATTATTTTTATTATTATTATTTATGTCTATATAGAGATTATTGTGTAATTATCGTAGTTAATATTAAGAATATTTTATATGCAATCTTGTGGTATTTGTTGGTTTTTGTTGGTTTTTGTTTTTTTGTTATTGCTCATTGGTTTTATCTAATCGATTGGCCGACCGAGAACTTCTCAACGAATCGAACGAACTAAAGACCAAACTGAATCCGGACGCAGGTCCCTGAATCCGTAAATCGATAAATTCATAAATCCGTAAATCCGCTAATATATATATATATAATGCTAATGGATATGGCCGGGACTTTTGACATGAGTGCGCGGCACGTACAAAAACATGGACTCGGGGATACTTCAACATTTGCTACTAGTATATACATATATAATCTATATATATATATATATATATCTATATATATATATAGGGCCGATCGGAGTATATATATATATCTATATGTCTGAGTGTTTGTGTGTGAGTGTGTGTGTGTGTGCAAGCAGGCGTGTGTCTTTAAGGCCAAATCAAGTATACGTAAGAATGTCTTTCGGTTCTAGTTGATTCTCCCTCTCTCTTTCGCCGCCGCTTTCTTCTATCTCTATCTCTGTCTACAACTTCATCTCCTTAACCTTCCTTCCTTCTTTCTTTCATTCCCTCTCTTTCTCATTCCCTCTATCGCTTTCTTTTTCGCTTTCGTTTGCTGTGTGCGTGTGGACGGTTTTCAAAGCTGTAAATTGATTCGATTTATTTAACGTTATTCCTCTCTCCCGTTCTCATTTTCATTTTCATTTTCATTTAAATTTTCTTTTGCTTTTTTTTTTGTTGCTTGGTTTTCCGTTTTTTTGCGGTTTTTTCATTTTTTGTTTTTACATATTTACAGATTGCTTCGGTATAAATATTGGTTTAAATTCTTCTTAATTACAACAAGCAGCAAATCAATAAAAACTTTTTATTCAGTCGCATATCTAACAAAAAAAATACATATTTGTATATATATAAATATCATATACATATATATATATATATATATATGTGTGTGTGTGTGTTTGTGTGTATGTATATATGCCTGCGTTAGCTTAGTTCCCCCAAATCTTTAACTATATCATCATCATCATCATCCTCACTCTCACTGTCCTACCCTGTCTTGTCTTCGACGTCTTCTTCTACTACGGTTTGTGAGATGTTTCTTCTGTGGTCCAAAGTAATTTCTTCTCTGATTCAGATTCTACCTCTCCTACTTATCCCCCGTCTTCTCTCCCATCATTTCGATCCTCATATTGGTTAGCAAGAGCAGTTAGAAGCAAAGCTTTTGTAGGTAGGATTCTAGGTATAGAGAAATTTAGATATGGCTTCGATCGATCGATTTGCACGCTAACATTCGGCACTATGCAGTACACCGCACAGTGAAGCAGTGGAAGCAGTTCGTACGTATTTGTATCTTATGTTGTATAGAAATTGATATATCGAATGCGCATGCAAATTGAAATTGATAATTTGTTGTCGGTTTTATCCCTAACGATATTTTGTTATTTACTTCTTTCTTTTTTTTTTCGCTTTTTAGTTTTGTGTGTGTTTTTTTTCGTTTGCGTGTTTGACGTCTTTTTTTCTAGGAATTTGACAAAAGTTGAAATCGCTAGATTGAACGTTGCTTTTGTTTTCTTTTTTCAAATGAGAAGATTTCGATTGTTTTCAAATCACAAAAATCAGGAAGACAGCGAATCAAGTTACAACTCATGAACATGTTTCTGTGTGTGTGTCTGTGTGTGTGTGTGTGTGTGTGTGTGTGTGTGTGAGAGCTCTATTAGATCCCTAAAGCGCTTCTGTATTTGTATTAGTTGGTAATTTTTGTGCGGGCGAGTGGAGACAAAAGAAAGACACATACCACAATTTCTGAGGATATACATAGATATAGATGTATCAATTGGGAGGCCTGAATATCGAAATATCGAAGCTTGTACAACGTTATCTCTGTCTACTACGGTTGCAGGAAGACGAACTAAACTAAACTTAGTTAAACTAAAACTATAATCAACTGCACTAAACTAAACGAAAGCAGGCCCATGCACGTGTGCATCACAAGGGTCTCTATAAGAGATCATAGCTAAGTACTGGATGAGCCAGGATTCTTCTAACAGGTCTCATTATAAAATTTGCAATTTCTTTCCTTTCCTCTCTTCTCTTTAATTGCTTTTTACTTTGTTTTTTTCTTTTCGGTTTGGTTCCTAAATGGAAAGATCAGCGCGGTACCTTGGGTTTCTTTTAGTTCTTGTTCTTGTGGCATTATCTGTGTTTTTTTTTGTTTTCTTCATTTTTTGTTTTTGTGGCTCTTTTCGATTTTCGGTCTGTAATTTGCTAAGTTTAATTATTGTTTTTGTATCGTTAGCAGCTTTCCTTATTTTTTGGTTTTAGGTTCCTTTTTGTATTCCCTTTAGTTAGCTATGATTTTGGTTTTTAGGTTGGTTTTTTCCTTCGTTTTTGGTTTTTGGTTTTCAGTTTTTAGTTTTTAGTTTTTGTTTGTTTGGTTTTTGTTTTTTTTGGTTTGTTTTTGGTTTGTTTAATATTTATTTTATGTCTATGTCTATTTGTTCAGCTTCAGCTCTGACTTACTTATTTACAAAATAG